TTGAGGTCCCCATCCTCCAGCTCAGGTCATCTTTGACCCAGATCTCTGTGCTCAGATCCTCAGTCATGCTCATGAAGAACTTAGTCATCATGGAGTCTTTGGAGTCTTTCAGACCATCAGACAGTGCTTTTATTGGCCTCAGCTCTATCAAGATGTTGCCCACCATGTCCATTCCTGCCATGAATGCCAGATTTGAAGCACTCATAAGGCAGAGGTTCCCATCACCACCTCCACTTCCCCTAGAATCTTCATGAAGGTTTATGTCAATGTCATGCTCATGCCCAAAGCTTGTGGATATCACTATCTTGTTGCAGCTCAAGATGATCTTTCCCCTGCTGCAGAAGGTCATGCTCTTTGACATGCTAATGCAGACAGTCTCACTAAGTTCTTCTGGGAAGAGGTCTTCTGTTGTTATGGTGTTATTGCACAGGTTGTCACTGACAATGGCAGTGAGGTCAAGGGTGCCTTTGAGAAACTCATGAAGCACTATTCCATTCCGCAGATTCGCATCTCCCCATATAATTCAAAAGCAAATGGAGTTGTAGAGCATGGACACTTTGTTATCAGAGAAGCTATCATCAAGGCTTGTGAGGGAGACCTTTCACTCTGGCCTTCCAAGGTTCATCATGCTTTCTTTGCAGACAAGGTTACTACTTGTTGCTCCACTGGATTCAGCCCTTACTTCTTGCTCCATGGTCTTGATCCTGTCTTGCCCTTCAATCTCTTTGAGTCTACATATCTCATCAAAGGATTCTGGTTTGGAATGACTTCTCAGGAGCTCCTTGCACTATGCATTCATCAGTTGGAGAGGAGAGAAGAGGACATCAATGCCACTTTCACCACTCTGCAGAGGTCTCATTTGCACTCCAAGGGTCAGTTTGAGAAGAGGTATGCACTACGATTGGTGAAGTCTGCTTATGAGCCAGGAGACTTGGTATTGGTTCACAACACTCAGATAGAAAAGGAACTGGATTGTAAGTCAAAGCCATGCTACCTTGGTCCCTATGAGGTTGTTCATCGCACCAAGGGAGGTTCCTATGTTGTTAAAGAACTCAATGGCACCATTTCTGCTCAAGGAATCACAGCATTTTGACTCATTCCCTATTATTCTCGACACACTCCTTTACCAGAGGTTATGGAAAAGGATGTTGGGGAGGAAGAAGAAGTTAACAGCAATGATGATGATGATGATGATGATGATGATGATGATGATGATGAACATGATGATGAACATGAACATGAGGAAAACCAAGAACACAATAACAAAAATGACTACAACTCAGATGACTATTCATGATTTCTCCTTTTTCTTTTCATTTCTTACTCTTGTCCTCTCTCATTCTTTTCTTCATTTCATTTGGATTTTTCTGTTTTCCCTGGGTTCCCTGCATTGGTTGCAACCATCCTCTCAGCAAAGCAAATAAAAATGTCATGAATGAGGCTCTGTTGGTAGAGAGGATGAAGGGGGAGTGTCTTCTGCTGTATCTTGCAATAAGGAGGCAAGATGTGCATCATACTTGTCATGGATGCAATCAGGGAGAGTGGAGAACAGTAGATTATACTGTAGCTGTCGCAATCTTGGAAGAATGATGGATGAGACTGGTACAAAGACATCGCACCATGGTTGGCCATTTCACTGAGCCTTAGGTAGGATGGTTCACATGGAAATTTAGTTGAGCATCCAAGCTAGGATGCATCTGGGAGCAGGGAAGGGTTGAGGTTGCTCCCCTTGCCTGGCTTTTTCAGCTTCTGTCATTGTAATCAAACAGCATCAGGAATGGTAGGTGGACTAACACACCTTTCTCCCTCCCTTTTTCATTGACATCAGAGCAGGTCAGCAATGTTAAGTATGGGTTTACCCTTGGGTGACCAGGCTTCAAGACTGGGTGACAGGGGCTAAGTCCAGTTGGACTGGAATTAAGGCCAGAGGTCAGGGGCTAAGTCTGGAGGACCAGACTTAAGACCAGGAGTGCAGGAATAAGACTGGTAGCATGGGAAACAGACCAGTCTTGGAGTGCACACAGGGGGAAGCCAGTCTGGGGTTGGATCTACCTCCCTTGGTCTCAGCTTATGTGCTGTACCCTTATGCAAGCTGGGGAGAGGTCTGGGACAGGGGCTGTGGATAGCTTAAGGCTCAGCCTTAGCTATTGAGTAGACTCAGGGTGTAGTACAGAGTTGAGAGTAATACTAAATTGATATTCTGACTGGAGTACTACAAAGTATGCACAGGGGTTAAATACACAAGGCCAGTCTGGAGTAATGAACATGAAGCCAGACTTGTTGGTAAGCTATTAGCAAGAGGATTAGCAAGGTAGGACAGCCACATAGGCTGTGCCAAGACTAATAGTCTAAGTCCAGGTGACTGGCATAACTGGAGATGGACACAGGATTTGTACAGTAAGCAAAAGTCAGATGAATGGACCAAACTAAATATAGTACAAAGGGAAACAGACCAGAGTTATGTCCAGGTGACCTGGACATGGACCTGGGAGGACCAGGGTGGAGCAGCACAAGGCTGGGAGGCTGGAGTGGACTGGAGATAGGGGTAAAAGACTGGACTTGAGTTATTTAGGCTGGAGTTGGATTTCTTAGGGCTGGAGTTGGGTTTTCTAGGCCAGACCAGGACTGGACTTGACTGGAGTTAGGGGATATGGGTCCAGACTGGATTGGGACTGAGTCTAAGGGTCATGGATATGACAAGCAAGCAGAAGATGGTCAATGGAATTACATATTTGAGTAGATTTGATAATCTCATCCACTGATACCCCCAATAAGGTATGGACACAATCAATTACATTTGTAACAGAACACATGGACACACTGCATTACAAAAAATGAGTCAGGTAGAGTCTTCTATTGCAATTGAATCAATACATGTGATGACCTCTTGGTGAATATCACATACTATTCAATGTTACCAGAAGCATTATTTTCCTCTGGGTCACTTGTGTAAGGGATCTCTGGGTTGCTCATACAAGGAATCTCCAGGTCACTTGTGTAGGGAGCATCTGGATCACCTACTGGTTCACTTGTATCAAAAATCCCAAGGTCAGTGGAGGGGACCTCAGGGTCACTATTGTTAGAGTGCTCCATATTATTTGAATCATCAGGAGAGATAGGTTGAACAAAAACCTCTGGCTGAATGATGCTGTGAGAAGTGGCAGTCTCCTCACTGCTCCAGCAGGTTTTATGTAATCATTTCTTCCATTCCTCATGTTATGCCCAAGCCAAGTGACTCCATCAAATGGACTAGTCACAAATGGCATGAGGGGATGTTACAGGCCAAACTTGTCATTACCCCTATGGCTCAACTTGTGGTGGTGAATTCTGATAGATGTTACTTCCACTGGCAAGTTCTTCTGAGATTGTGACAGGGAAGGAACAAGGAAGATGCCAAAGAATAAGCTGAGTTGCAAAGTATCAAAAAACTGAGGATACATGGTATGGTAGCAGCTACATAAATACCTCAGGGAAGAGTACTGTAGCAGTCATGCCAAGGCAACAGTCATGTATCCACAGCAGTAAACAATGAAATAGAAAAGAGTCATATGGTATCAAAGATGGGGGTAGGGATAGTGACAAGGGTCAAACCAGCTGTGCCATCAAGGTGCAGCATGGGACCTGACACCAGAGCAAGAAGTAAATGATCAAATAAATAAAGTGAGTCAAAGATGAAATATGAAATATACTGTTCATCAGAGATGGGGATGCACTGTCAATGTCACAATGATCTCCACAGCATCAGCTGCAGTTGAAAATACCTGCACTGCCAGCAATCTGAGCTGTCCATGGAGCATGGCCATGCTGAGAACAATGATGAGTATGAGCAACATGATGAGGCACATGACACACATGACTAGGAAAAGATGAAAAAGGAAAGACCCCTGACAAGGTCATAACACCTCAAGGTGCTTCAAAGAGTAAGAGTGGAACTCCTTCCACCTCTCAAGCCTTTCAACTCCCCAAGATAATGCAAGGACTTGGTAATGTGTCACCTCACAGTCTGCACATTGGGCATGGTTGGCATGGCAAATGATATCTGGTGGCACACCTTCAATTATATCATTCAAGGCATCCTGGCACTGTTAGAATTAGGGAATATATTGTATCACCATTGAGAACCATCTCACCTTGCAGGCATCAGGGTCTGCATGGTGGTGATGAGCAGGGTGATAGGTATCTCCTAAGGCCCTTTGTGCATGGGAAAGCTCTGTGCTATGACCCACTGAGGGATTAATTATGGGGACAATTTCTTGCAATGAGCTGCTTTAGCCAATGATAGAGGGCAAGTAGAAGGGCCAAGTTCATTGTTCTTCCCATGATCTACTGAAACAGTTTAGTACAAGCATAACAGGGATCCCAATATGCACCTTCATGTCTGCCCATAATGGCTAGAGTATTTGACTGTTGTGTAGTGGTCATATAATTTGTGTGACTGGAAGAGGATCCAGGTCAGGAGAACTTGATCTGACTGCAATCAAAAGTTGAGTTGTCTAGATGTGAGGTGGGAGTAGGTGGCACATAGTGGAGCTTGAAGGACTTAGAGAATTTTCAGCTCAATGCTCCAAAACTCCTCAGCAATGGATTCAGTGGGACCACTGACTGCAAACAACATAGTGGGACCACCAACTGCAAATGACATTGATGGCAATGGCTATGAGTGGGCATCCTTTTCTGGTGAGGAGTATGTGTGTTCCTTTCTTGATTGAAAAAATATACAAGATTTTGCACCCAGGCATCTGACATGATGTCCAGTATGCCAACAGATGTTCCCCTCAGCCACTACCATTTGTGAGCACTTATACAGTGACCCTGGATGTTGTCAGAGGCTCTTACCCACCCTGTCTGCCTTGTGTGTTGCAAAGAAATCCCCAGATAAGCCATGCATTGGCCAATATCATCCCAGATCAGGATATGTGTGCAACCTAAGTGACTCTAACATGTTTGAATGAATGAAACAAGAGAAACACCACTCTGAGAGGGAGCATAACCCATATTTTCCATTTGCTGATAGGGATGAATGGGAATTGGCCAAGTTCCTTCATACTCACATGATGCAAACACAAATCAATGAATTTTTGAAGCTACACTGGGTAAGTAATTCATCTCCACTAGTTGTACTATGAAACAATGTCTACACAGGTTACTTCTAAGTCAAAGGTCAGCTTTAAATCTGCAGGGGAGCTACTATCACTCTTGGACACAATACCCAAAGGGCCAAGCTGGCATTGTACAAAGATCAAAACCAAAGGTTATATAATGAAAGGGCCCATTCATCTTTTCTGGCATGACACACCAGAGATCACATGGGAGCTCTTTGGAAACCTGGTGTTCACAAAGCATATGGAATATGATTCCTACCATGTTTTCAAAGGAACTGAACAAGAATATAGTGAATGGATGTCTGGCAATGATGCCCACTGCATTCAGGTGAGTTCTCCACCCTGTCTTTTCTTTCTGGTCCAAACTCACATGTCTACAGGATCAACTACCAGATGTCACTACAATCATGCCCATCATGCTTGCATCTGATAAAGCACCTGTCACTCAAATGACTGGCAACATTGAAATGCACCCATTATTCCTTACAATTGCCAACATCAACTCAGAGGTCCATATGAAAGTGACATTGCACACATGGGCATACATTGCATATATTCCAACACCAGAGTTCCTTGTCCATCCTGATTTTCAATCAGTCTTGGAGGCACATGTATGGCATTGTTGCATGGACATTGTTTGCACTGGCCTGATGCTTTCTGTGTGCACTGGTACTTTCATGAGCAATCCCAACAACCTTATCCAATACCGTCTTGCACCCCTCATCACCTACATCACTGATCTTCCAGAACAACTTATGATTGCTTGCATTACAAAGTCAGTATCTCCAATGATTGTGACCAAGCAGGGCCACTTTGGTAATGGAATCCTCCACCTGCCCTGTGATGGCAAGCTCACCATGCAAAAGCTGATTGCACTTCATAATGACCCCTGAAAACTTCCCAAATATTTATCCAAAACTAAGAAGGAGCATCTCAGTGGAGTCCAGCTCCCCTTTGGCATGACTGGTGGTTGGAAATGACAGTTCATTGGGACAATCATGTGACTTTAGGGCATACTGGGGATGTAGTCCTTGGGAACACATATAAAATGTGATGAGATGCTCACCAATGCTTACATAATGTGCCACAACATTGAACAAACAATGTCAAACAGAGATTCTGTACCACTAAGCCTCCTTGCTGCAGCACAACTCAAGAAATCACCATTCTGGCTCATCAGGGACATTCTCTCAGGGAAATCTCAGAAATTTCTGGTGTACACTGCAGTATAATCAATAGAATATGCTATCAGCACCATTAGTCTCTTCAGAAACCTGCTAGCAGTCATCCTCTGCACTGTTTCCCTGCCAATGCCCTATGTGGCCTGGAACTAATCAGTACTGTGAGAGTTGAAAATGATGTGAAGGTCCAATCTGGCATTCACCCACTATGTAATGCATTTCTGTGAAGGAGAAACAGGTATGGAAGTCAAGGTAAGGCTAAACCCTCTTTACACACCAGGTACTGTGGAGGGATATGCAACTGAGCTTCTAGGGTGCACATTGCTGCCTTTTTATCTGGTGCTGGATATTTTCATTAGTCTTATATGAGCAAATATCTCTCTCCCAGTGATCCACAGTTCAGCTCAGAGTGTGAAATAGCCAACCCTCCTATGATACTGGGAGTGCACAGGTGGGTTGTGCTTCACCTGAGCCTTCAGATGAGCTTTTCTTCAACTTTGATGCACTAGTTGATGAGAAATTAGTTTGTTCATGGCAGGGTGAATGCCAGATTGAACCTTCACATCATTTTCAACTCTCACAGTACTGATTAGTTCCAGGCCACATAGGGTGCTGGCAGGGAAACAGTGCAGATGATGACTTCCAGCAGGTTTCTGAAGAGACTAATGGTGCTGATAGCATATTCTATTGATTATACTGCAGTGTACACCAGAAAGTTCTGAGATTGCCCTGAGAGAATGTCCCTGATGAGCCAGAATGGTGATTTCTTGAGTTGTGCTACAGCAAGGAGGCTTAGTGGTACAGAATCTCTATTTGACATTGTTTGTTCAATGACAAATCATTCAGTAGACCATGTGGCACATTATGTAAGCATTGATGAGCATCTCATCACATTTTATGTGCTCCCAAGGACTACATCCCCAGTATACCCTAAAGTTACATGGTTGTCCCAATGAGCTGTCATTTTCATTTGGGTATTCCATCACCAGTTTTTATCCAAATATTATGTAATATGTCTTGTGAGAGAGCCATTATCAGCTGCTTTGATCCATCCACCAACACCTTGGACTAGATGATGATAGCTCACTGTCTACACCATGATTAATGAAAAACATGCAAACATTGGGACAATTTTCTGAGCCACTGTATTTTGGAATTTACTGATGTCCTTGTGCTGACTTAGTGCAACTTACATAGTTGCATTATGTTATGCCCACATCAGGGGTCCTTCCTTTTTCAGCTTCTTGTGGTCACATGCATCACATGCCTCATCACATCCCTAATAATCATCACTGTGCTAGGGGTGTACATGCTCAAGGGATGGCTCAGATCTCCAGCAGCTGTGGTCATTCCAGTGTCTGCTGATGCTGTGGACTTATAGGTGATCTGGTGTTCCACTGCCCTCTCTGATGGACAACATATTTCATATTCTTCCACTTTTGCTTATATTGCTTATATGTCTCTTTCTTGCTCTGGTGTCTGGCTCCTCACTTCACATTGATGGTGCAGCCAGTATAGCCTTCCCCCTTCTGTATTGCCCCCATCATATGACACTGTATGACTCCCTCTGACTTATCTATTTGACTGATTGTATTGTTGATTACTGCAGATACATGTCATGACATGTCACTCACAACTGGTACAGTACTCATACTTAGAGGTATATAAACTCATGTACTGTACCTTGTATCCTCAGTTTTTCAATAGCTTGCAAGTCAGCTAAATTCTTTGCTTTCATCCTTGTTCCCTCTCTGTCATGATCCCATAAGACCTTGCCAGTAGAAGGAACCTCTGTTGGACTTTCACAATAACTGAGCCATAGGGGTTATGACAAGTTCAGCCCATAGACTCCCCCTCACACCACTCATGACTAGTCCATTTGATGAAGTCACTGGGCTCAGGCATAACAAAATTGAAACACTCTACACAGCTTTTCAGGACTCATTGACCCCTTTGTGCAAAGTCTACTCATCCCTCAGTTTACTGAACTTCAACAAAACCTCCCCTTGCTCAAACCAAGATCAAGCTTTAATAAATCACCTCTCTAAGTTCCAGATCTTGTGCCTCCCTATGTGTAAAGTCACTTGATCCACCTACTCTACCACTGACAGGTTGCTTTCAAGAAATAAATCCTCCCTCAGCCTTCATTGTCACTATCCAAAAAAGTGTCTAACCCACAGAAATCAAAGCCTCCAATCCCTCCTTGCACTAAACCCTTAGGCTTGGGATGAAACCCACCCTTGCCACCCATACCACTCAGAAGGTTAGGACCTTCAGCTACCACAACAAACCCATGGTTATCTTATCTATCCTGCTTTCAGGAGTCAGGAATCATGCTTAGTTCAGAAGAAGATGATGATCAGAAGTCTGAGACTTCTTTCAGATCAGTCCTCAAGGAAGAACAAGAAGCTGGTAATGTAAGAATGTCCATGACTATCAGTCATGGAGAATCTGTCCCAGAAATGCCCCCAAGAACCATTTCAGAGGATGAGCTGAGACAGAAGTTGGAGGAACAAAGGGTGCAGATGGCAGAGGAGCTCCACCAGGCTATGCATGCAACAACAAGCAACCCATTTCCTCAAGGTACACCTACTAACTCAGCATTGAGAGAATGGTATTGAAGGAACTTTGGAAAGGCCAATCCCCCAGAGCTGCCCACTGGAGGTAGCAGTAAGGGAAAGGCCTGAGATGAAGATGATGATGCCAGAAACTACTCAAGCTGCCCACCCAATGGAGGTCAGGAGGGGTATCTCTGGCTGTACTGTGCAGAGGCCCCAAACTCATGGGCTGCCAAACCTCCTTCCACTGAGTTTGCTCATAATTCCCAAATCCACTCTGTCCATCAAATGACCCCATTTTCACTCCTCCTTGGCTATGACCCATCCCCATACCCTGAAAAATGTTTAACCATGGTTCCCTCAGTTGATGAAAGATTGGAAAGGTTGGCTGCCAGTCAAGATGTCACCATTCTTGTGCACAAAAAGGCACAGGATTTGATGTGTTCCTGCAGCAAAGGATCCTACATGCTGCCCAAAGTTGGAGATCAAGTCCTCCTTGATACTGGGCATCTTAGGATCAAAAACCAGTGCAACAAGATTGTGCCCCGACATCTCAGATCTTTCAAGGTGACTCAGGTCATTTTTCCAGTTGCTTTCCAATTGGAGCTCCTGCCAACTTGGAAAGTTCATCCTGTGTTTCATGCCTCCTGGATCTTTCCCTTCACCAAAAATGACACTTATGGGACTGTGCCCACAGCACCATTACCAGAACTGGTGGATGATGAAATTGAATGGGAAGTCAAGTCAATAATCAATCACAAGGTTGATGGGCACAGAGGTAAACAGAGATACCTGGTTAAGTGGAAAGGGTTCCCACATTCATCTAATCTCTGTCAATACAGAAAATGACTATGCTGACCTTCCCCATGAATCCCTTTATGACCCTGCAAGCAACTGGCCCAAGCTGCTCCTGCCCCCCATCACTGTCTATACACCATCCTCTCCCCTGATGACTGACTCCAGCCTTCCTAGGTCACTTGCCTTGTCCTCCATCTCACAATGCCATCCAATATCACCCCCTGTCACCCACACTCTCCAACTTCATCCACTACAGTGCTTCTCAGTCAGAAGGGTCCCAGTCCCCAAGGCCAGAGTCTCCTCCAATGGGGACAGTAACCAGCAGGGAAAGGGAAAGGGTAAAGAGGTCCCTTGTGATGACACCAGTGGTGGAGGAACCAAAACCCATCCCTCTGATGCTCCTGAACCTGCCAATGTTCAGACTGCCTTTACCACCTACTCTGATGGTGCTCACAGGGCTGCCCTTGATCTCCTTGCTGCAGCAGCCCTTGCCAGGGATGACAAGCTGTGACTACCAATTGCAGCAGGTGACTACCTGGATATTGTTAGGGCACTTGACATCTTCCATGAAGGGGATGACATTGACAGGTGCTCACCAGAACAAATTAAGTATTTTGGGTTGCTGTCTGAAATCTACAGAGTGACAGATGTGATTAGTTGTGTGGTCAGCAAGATACACACCCAAAAGCTTAGCAGAACAGCACCCCTGTCAGAGGTTATAATGATCAACATGCAAGAGTGCAGTTCTTTGCAGATCTTAGAAGCAGTTACTGGAGGAGCATATCATCACCTTCTTCATCAGCAGATTGGAGAGTTCCTGGCACCACCCACTTCTTGACTTCTTGATTGCATTTGTCTGAAGCAAGAGGAACCATCAGCTTCAGAGGATCAAAAGCCTGTGATTCCCAATCAGGAAATGGGACAGAAATGGCACAAAATGGAGCTGCATTTCATTGACTTGGGGACTCTTTATAAAAAGGTCAGTGAATGGCTGGGGACAGGGACTCATAACTCCACTTGGGAGGTTCTGCTACAGGATGCATCATGGGCTGGACTCCACAAGCATTACCATAATGCTGTCCACACCTCCAACCCTCTCCCTGCAGCTCCCTTCCTCCCTGTCCCTTTGGATCAACTGCAGTTCTACCTTGGAGGGCAGACTCCCATCCCAGATGGACACCCTCTTCATCCACATGTGTGTTTCCAGTGTCATTACCTGGGACATTGGTCATGCCACAACAGACATGGCTCCCACTTTACTCTGGCCCTTGAGGAGCTGCTGTCTCCATCATCATCACCACCCATCACTGCCTGCACTTGTTCCCACATATATACTACTTGCAGACCCCTTTCCTCATGCCCCACTAACATGACAGCCTCATCCTCATGGGTCTGAGGACCTTGAGGGGGGGGGTGATGTTATGCCTGCATCAGGGGTCCTTCCTTTTTCAGCTTCTTGCAGTCACATGCATCACATGCCTCATCAGGTCCCCAATAATCATCGCTGTGCTAGGGGTGCACATGCTCAAGGGATGGCTCAGATCTCCAGTGGCTGTGGTCATTCTGGTGTCTGTTGATGCTGTGGACTTGTAGGTGATCCAGTGTTCCACCACCCTCTCTGATGGATGACATATTTCATATTCTTTCCACTTTTGCTTATATTGCTTATATGTCTCATTCTTGCTCTGGTGTCTGGCTCCTTGCTGTGCATTGATGGTGCAGCAAATATAGCCTTCCCCCTTCTGTATCACCCCCATCATATGACACTGTATGACTCCCTCTGACTTATCTATTTGACTGATTGTATTGTTGATTACTGCAGACACATGTCATGACACATCACTCACAACTGGTACAGTACTCATACTTAGAGGTATATAAACTCACATATTGTACCTTATATCCTCAGTTTTTCAATAGCTTGCAACTCAGCTAAATTCTTTGCATTCACCCTTGTTCCCTCTCTGTCATGATCCCACAAGACCTCACCAGTAGAAGGAACCTCTGTTGGACTTTCACAATAACTGAGCCATAGGGGTTATGACAAGTTCAGCCCATAGACTCCCCCTTGCACCACTCATGACTGGTCCATTTGACAAAGTCACTCAGCTCAGGCATAACACATTAGGTGTACCAATATAGTGACTTCATTGTCTACTGAGTTTACATAGTTGCATTAATTGCACTTACAGTATGTCCAAGGTGGCCAAAGATCTCCCTACTTGCTCACTATATTGTGAAGTGGGTAACAATAGACAGACATCCTCATTTTTGCATGCTGAGCTCAGCCTTCTACACACAATGAACCAGGGGCTGTGTAGGAACAAAATACAATTTTTATTGATTGGCCATATTACTACACCAAGATAGCAAGGACAGCATGAGGCCTGTCCTAAGCAGGGCACCTCAGTGTGAAAGAAACGAAGGAAATTCATAATACAAAGAAACAAGAAACAGGAGAAATCACAAAGGTCGTATATCGGAAGATTACGAACGGGGTCTTACGACAACGAGTGTATGCGTGGGTGTGTTGACAAAAACGTGAGTTGAAAACATCGAAATGAACAAGGAAAAGGTGTTGAAACTCATTGCCTACTTCGAAGGATGGACCAAACGCGTTGAAGACAGTAAGAGGGAAATGGTCGGGCAATAAGAATAGAAACAGGGAGATGACCAGGTTGTGAAGATAAATAAAAGACTGAAGCGATGCTTTGCTTTGGAAAAACCTTCGTTATCTCATATGGTTGTCATGATATGTAGCGTCCATGTGCCGCCAAGAGATGAAGACAAAAACAACCTAGAATAGATTGGCTTCGCTAGCGCTATCCAGCCAATTGTAAGGATCGATACAGATGTCTTGGGTGCGTGTTGATACAACAACAGACAGCTTGGTGTTCCGAGTGAATCGATGCAAGGAATGTCGATAAAATCCGTCACGTGAAAACCAATAGTTGGACAAGAAGGACGAGGACACAACGTCTCCAAAGATCAGCCATTCGCCAGATTGATGCTTGCCCCCAGAACACCTGTACCATTTCCGCTCCGCAAGCCATCGTTCGAAGATGGGCCAGGGCCCAGATGATGGTGACGGTGCTGCTCTTCTTCGAAAAGCTTGCGTCCCAGATCTGTGCGTAGATTCGCCCCCAACCCAGACCTCAAGGAGATCGCGGATCGAGGGACAGTGGTTGCGGCTGGCGAGGGCGAAACATTGATAAAATCATTGAGATTAAACGGAACATTCCCGGGAGTCGGAGGTGCTTGAAAGGATCCCGGTGAAGCAGACAGTTCTGTTGCCCTTGAAGGAGATGGCGGGGACGGGAGTAGCTGTGAAGACGGCGGCGCTGGAGAGTCCGGTGTTGGCGGGATAACTGTTGGTTCCGCCACCGCCGTTCCACCACTATCGTTGGGAGGTTCCAAGTGAAATGACTGAGTTAATTGAGAACTTTGACTGGCGGGAAAACTATCAACCGTGAGACTGCTTTCGCTTTTAAGGGGACTAGTACTGCCTTCCGATCCCGCAAAAAGAACTCTTCCTTTAGCACGAAGAGAGTTCGCACCTCTCAGAGCTCCAAAGGCTGCTAAATCCTTTGCGTCTTTGTCCCGTGTAGTAGTGGGCCGCAGAGGTGACGGTGACGTATGCAGGTAGAGCATGAGATTTGCAGCTTCCTCATCGTCAGCACGTGGAGTCGTATGGAGGTTGTCAGCACTGCCTCGTGGCGGTGTAGCTGCTCTGGTGGTATGGTGTGTATTGAAGGAATCCGCGGATGGCAACAACGACTGAGGTGCAGTCACGCCTGCGCCTTGGCCGTAGTGCGTGAACGAGTGGAACGACCCCGAGTCAGATATGGTCGAAAGGCTGGAGCGAGGTGAAGAGATGCTTGCTGCAGAGGGACGCGACTGCAGAAGCGATGTCAAGGTGGCTACGGCCTGCCTCTCTACATCCGCGGTCTCTTCTGCGGACTCCCTTTGCTTGCCCTTGTGGGACTTCGCAAGCTTGGACCGACCGGTCGCCGCTTTCCTGCTACGCGAATGAGCACGCGTACCCTCTGCAACGCTGCGTACTGCAGGGGAAGGAGGTGCGGTGCCTCGGTGTCCCTGCCGAGAACGAGACCCGGCTGACGAACGAGACGCAGCCGGGACCGGCGGGTCCTTCGAGTTGTGCACTGTCCGTGCTTGCTTCAATGGTGGAGGCCCCAGGAGGGCACTGTACAAGTTATGGGCGGAGTTCGTGACTGCGCCTGGGACATCAGCGTAACGGAAACGTGTGGCGCCAGAATGAGTTGATGATGATGCGACTGAGGATGGCGCGTTACCGCCTCTCCGTGCAGTTACTCCTTGGGTAGAAGGGCTACCATAGTAATGACTTGGCCCGGATGCTTTCCGCTTGGTTCCGATCAAGCGGACTGGGGCAGCAGACAGAGGATGGGCCTTTGCCTCCAAATCATTAATAGGAACGTGTGGGATGTTATGAGTAGCCTTGTAGGAGGCATAAGAGAGGCGGGCGCGAAGACCGCGTACAACCTATAGAGGGTGATAGAGCAGGTATTAGCCATCGCCAAAATGGACACGAAACACGGGCCAAGGGTGTCATTTTGAGAGGAACAGGAGAGCGACACGCTCGTTGACAAGGGCATCCAACGCGAGCGTGGGGTAGGCCAGACGGCTCGTGGCGGGAGACTGGATCACTTACCACTGAGAGTTCAGCGCTTGCCATGAATTTCTGGATGGCTTTCTCTCTCTCTTCTCTCTCCAGAGGGTCGATGTCTGTGGATACAGACTGGGCTGCCTGGCTGCAGATAGCTCGCCGGCGGGGACGCTGAGGTCACCGAGGACGATGGAGTCACCATGTGGAGCGCGTCTGTCACTGCTTTGCCTGAGTGTATTTTACAGCCTATTTACAAGTATGCCGCAGGGGAGCCTTTACAGGCGTTGCAAGGCTTGCCTAGGATGGCTGCTGTTGGCAGCGAGTTGTGGGTGTTGCTGTTCGCCTGTGTGGAACGGGGAGGAGCGCGTTACAGGCTTTGGAGGGGGACACACGCGCGACGACGCGCTCGCCTTATTCATCCGAAATTCCCACGCTGGCTGTCAGGAAGTACCCGTAACGTACCGGCTACTCAGCAAATACTCATGATGATGAAACGTTGCACGCAGCTTACACCCACGTAGTACATAACTACATATGCGTCATATCGTCGATTAGTGCCGCAAGGAGGTATGGACATGTGAAACAGGAACCGAGCCCGGTGGAGCCTCCTCGCGAGAGCTGGCCAAATCGGATGACGATGTCCCAGGAATAGACAGCTCGGAGTTCATTCGGACGGCATCATATTAAGTAGCTGGGAAGCACCAGGCTAGCAGAGACGCCGGAAGTCGTTCCTGTCAGATGAATGATGACAAAGGAACCATCACATGACTAGGCGCTAAGTCAAATGCACCAGCCAGATGGGAGACCCGTCGACTCGGTGTTAGACCGCGTCGTGGAGGTATCATCCACTCGACTTTGAGCCCCGGAGTCGTGGTGTACTGCCATCAATTCATCCCAGTACCATCGAGGAAGGAACCCCACGCGCTCTTCTCCATTCACGACCTCCGCTACCTCCGCTTCATTAAGCATCACTGCCGTGATCCCCACTCTCGGTTTAAAGGACACACGCCATACTTGTCTTCCAGACTCAGATTCCACTTTTGCCTGCAAGAAAGTAAGGAACCGGTCGCCCCATTCCAAACAGATACTCGGATCCCATGCACCGGGCTTCCCACGAACGAGTCTCGGTATCTCCACCGTTCTCAGCAATTGCACGGTTGTCAGACGTCCAGACGGCGTGCGGAAACCAACGATAATTTCCTATGGTAAGCCGAATGGAGTGTGAACATGCGAACACGCTGGTCCGGCAGTAGGCTTACCGGCACACCAAGAAGGAATGATTGCAAGTAAAACTTAAGCAACTTTCTGGTATATATCAATAAGAATAACAAATAGCGGTAGTGGTGAACGACGCACTTTTCGAATCTGGCTTCATCTGAAGCATTTCGTATGGATAACGATGTCTTGAGCTCAACGTAATTGTCGGTTTTTCCAGAGTAAGTCCCTGGAAGCAGGTAGGTCTAAAGGATGAGCCTTCCCGAGATCTACATACCACGAACGCAGTCTACCTCTCCCCCGATGATGACTCTGCGGTCCGCGAGCTTCGTCTTGACGACGCTACACCATTGAACATTGGTGTTCACATCGCCACCCCAACCAGGAGCACCCTGGGAGTCTGGTTGTGGTGTAGTACAGTAGGACTCAAACGCATACCCGTAGTACGACTGAAGTCGCTGACGGGGCGTCATCGCATTCCTGTAGAGTCAACAATATAGGAGATTGCAAAGGACGGACTGCCACACTTTTCCTCGAGTTTCGCGTCTGACAAGTGTTCTTCAAAGTAAAGGGTACCCTTCACGAGCATGACATTGAGGTCCCAGCCATCTCTCTCTTCATAAGGGGCCGCCAATATCCTTTCTCACCGTAAGGTCGACAGAAGAACGTAAACGGCAAACGATGGAGACATAAGCGAGGCCACCTTACTTGGTCATGATACCTCTCCAACACATCACGTTGACGTCGGGCACATTGACTACGGACGGTGACGGACTTGAGGCATGCAAAGTTTTCTTGAACCTCGACCACGCAGCTAACAGACCGTCGATTCGGCCACGTTCCTCTGGTCGCTTGATCCATTTTTCATAGTGAAAACCAAGATCCGCGCCGCGCGGAGGCTCGACGTAGTAGCGTAGTGCTGAGTCGTTGAATTCCAGAACATGGTCAGAGTTGTACGAAAACGTCAGTATTGGGCTTGGCCGTTGGATAGCAGGGACCTTCGAAGGTGAACTGGAAAGACTTGGATATGGAAGACTGGCCGCTGAATCCAACCGCTGCTTGACTGGCGGCCGCCCTGACTCAGGCAACTCCTCCTCCGCCTTGCGCTTGTGGACCATGTTTAGTGTATGGTGGCCTACGGAAGGCGAGTGTTTGCCACGGTGGCGCGGTCACGTGAGCCAACTCCACTGTTCATTTCGCAGTTTACTTTCCGCTAGCGTGCCTCGCTGCGTCCTCGAGGACGGTCACAGCGCTTAATCGTCCCAATAGCCCGGTAGACGAAACCAACGCCAACCCTTTCGTGTGATGAGCAAGGCACCACATTTCCAAGTTCCAGACCCAAGGCGAGCGGATGCGCTTGGCATTAATAGGCGTAGCTCGGTGTCGAGTGAACCCATCCGCAAGAAGACCTGTGTTCGGGGTGGATTTAATAAACCGTAGTTAGCGCACGCGTTAATAATTGCCCTTGAAAACGAAGCAACACTCACCCGTGATACCTTCAGGGAATTCCGTAACCCCGGGCCTTCCGCGTTCCTTCCCAATCCATTCTCTCCACTGTATTAAGCCTCTTACAGCGATCTTTCCGAGGCTCTGCCTCTTAAATATGCATTGCGACTGATTCCGACAGCATTGCAATTGCCAGGCAATGCTTTTAGGTATGTACGTACCTGTAGGGAAAGAGCGAACCCACGCGTCATCCCGAGAGCAGACGTGATGCCTCTTACTCTCTTTGACCTCATCAAGTTAACACGACTTTAATGCATGTTCGGAAAGCAGTTACCGTGCGCCGCCCTGGCAGACATCTTCCCGTAAGCAGGCGCCGTTATGTATATGCTCTTCCTAATGCTCTCCCTATTCCTCCCCCCTTACACCCTCATCGCACCCCTCATCGCACACGCCTTAACGAAACCATCATGATCTTCTGTGAGTACCAGGTTCTCTCGCTGTGTAACATTGCCCTGATATCGATACCGACGGAGTGCAGTCAACCGGAAACCCAAAACGTCTTCACTACCACCAGGGTGGCCCTCGCCATACCATAACAAATGTTCCCAACACGATTGCCTTTATCCCAACAGTCCACAAACCGTCAAGGGCGTCTATCAATGTCGGGGCGTTCCCGGCGGATTCTTCTGTGAAGGGACCTACAAGATATCGTCCTCTCGCGCACAGGAATCAGAAGGCTATCTGAAGGAGATGGCCACGAGATGTCGAGCTGCTGCAGAGGAAGAGCAAAGAAAACGCACGGTGTCGGAAATGAGACGACCCGATCTGAACTCCCGTCGGCGAGATGTAGGACCACCTGTGCATTACAAGGTGTTGGACGATAGATCTCGATCTGCGTATGGTCAGCCTCGTACGGTGGCCGTGCGACCCAGTGAAACAACTAAGAGACCGCAAATCTCTACCAGCAGACGGCCGTCGTACGCAGGGCATAGACCATCACAAACTCAGATTGAGCAAGAATACATGACCGATCAAATTATGATGCACTTGTACCCGGAACGACAAATCCACCCTCGGTGGTACGTCTTCATTGCTGAGCATACTATCCGCCGACTAATCCCGGTATTTTAGGATATGACCTGCGTTCATCCTGGTCGCGCAGTATGACCTTAACGAGTATGCGTTGTTTGACGTCGCACGCTGATACTACACGAGTATGTTATTACACCACATTCAATATGTACACCCACACGTTGTAAACAACCAAGCAGCCGGACTGCATGTTCTCTAAGAACTCAGATTCCGGACCAGTTCAACAGCATGGGGAGACCTTGGTGAGATCGAGAATGGATATGCTTTCGGGTGTCTATATAGAAAACTTAAAATCTTGATCAGAGGTGCAGGATGAGGTGAACACACATGATGACCCCAGGTGTAAACTCTGGCTCCACATCAATGTCATTGCCAAATTCATCCTTAGCTTTGTTGACGTTGAACGCTGCAAGAATCGTAACCATGGCTATCCAGACTGACGCCTCCGCCAGGTACTTCCCAACACATATCCTAAGTGTTCACTGTCAGTAAAAGCACTATCGAGCAGAGATTAGATTTTACCTTCTGCCAAACCCGTACTGTATTTCTCCGATATCGTCAGTAAGGGAACCGTCCTCTGCAATGAACCTTTCGGGCATGAATCTCATCGGGTCAGGGTATTTCTCCTCGTTATGCGTCATTGCCCTACAATAGTTGGTGACCCGACTTTCGGGTACATACGACAGACTCACCATATGTTGGCGAGGACAATCGTGTCTACCAACCGGTTTATGAGATGATATTCACTATATACGAATGTACCCACCCTTAGGTATGAAGTATCCGTTGTAGACGTCGTGGTCTGTAGTCATATGTGGCACACCTTGTGACAGGAGCAAATAGTTAGGAAAAGAGTCGCCCAAGCTCTTATAATACACCACACGTACCAAGTGGGGTGACTTGACACCATCTGAGCACTTCGCGATACGTCGCCTCGATATAAGTCATCGAGGGGCGATCTGTGAAATCCGGCAACCTTAGGCCTCCTGTCACGCGATCGATTTCCTCCTGCGCCTTCTTCTGCACCGAAGGAAACTTGAGCATGGCCAGTACAAAAGCTGACAGCGCAGAGGAAGACTGTCATAAATATGAGCATACACTCGAACGCCTGCATGTCTGAAAACGGGAACGAACAGTCTCAACGGCAGCTGAACAGTACAAACATAAGTCGTCCAAGTTTAACAGTGGAGCGGACATCAAGACTGACCGGCATACGTAGTTCCTGCAACAGACTTGATAACAACTTCCTCTTCGTTATGCTCGATCATTTCCGAGACCATAGAGTGAGGTGCGATACCCTCGGCCTTGATGCATGTCAAAGATGATAACCAGCCGGAGAAACCGACTTCTTACCCTCTGTTTCTGCACGAAATCGTAAGGCTTATCGCGTAATTCCCTGGTAAGTTTCCTACACTCGCGAGCGAATTTCTTAAACCCCGCTCCAGGACACCATTCAGGCAGGTACCGTACTAGATTCAGAAACAACTCGCATGAGTGAATGGCTTAAGTGTCGACAATCGTGGTCACGAACAAGCAGGGAACGCATTAACCAAGGCAGCGCCGGGGAAGAATGAATTAGTGAGCATCTCGCTGGCGCGATCTGCGATAGATGCAAAGAGGTCGTTTCGAGGAGCCATCTTGTATCCGTAAACGACGGTCATGATGGTCGACGCGGTGAAACTAGAACGGACACAAAATTAGAATCAGAATGGTGAAGGCGAGCTACCATGGAGGAACTCTCGTCACGTACGTCCTTATATGTTCCTCCATTTTTTCTGGCACCTCAAGGAGATTCCGGGCTAACTGGTGAACTTGGTTCAATTGGATGTCCCTGTAATTCAGCATCGCCTGCGGGTTTAATGCCTGGTGCATTGCCTTCCTATGTTTGCGCCATGATGCTCCATAGCGTAGGAAACCGACATTGAACTCCCAACCCATCCTACACGGGATCAGAGGACAACCCACGACGACTAATGTCTGACAACTTACAAGGTCACCATCGGGACCTGTGGTCTGTCAGAGTAATTTTGCGACCGTTTGTCGAGTAGTTCTTGTGCAACCTCTTCAGAATGTAGAACGAGAATCCGGCTGCCGAGGATTTCGAGATAGATGAGATCGCCTGTTCAGCATTTGTTCAGTATATTATTCGTGTCATGATAGGAGAACGAGGCCTGTAAACACACCATATTTCTTGCCCCACTCAGCAAAGGTCAACCATTGAGAACCTATGTCTTTGATGGCAAATAAGCTACCAACTACGGGGAGCCGAGCAGGACCAGGTGGTAGCGGCAGGCCTGCGGGATTGTCTCGTCTCCTGCGCAGATGTCTTCTGATTGCCAAGATAACTGTTGCTGCGAGGAGCGCGTAGAAAACCTGGACGGATTGCATGGCACGAGCGCGTAGATAGCTTCCTGAATTTGCTATGGGATGCCATCCATCTTAAATACCGTACCACGTCTTTTGATGGCGTCTTTTGGGTGATGGAAGACGAGTCGCGAAAACGTACCTCTCAGACATGGTCTCAGTTGTTACGTGCATGTTCTGATACATCCAACGTCAGGTGACTCATTGTTATTACAGCGGTGGTAAACCGTAAAGATGTGGAAGTACGGGTAAGGTGGTTTCAGAGTCTCACTTCCGCCCTGAAACTAGCGCAAGTATTTAAGTATCGGAGGAAGGAGAAAAAGAGAGACTTGCTTATTCAGGATGGGAACGTGTACGGAAGATTGATATTACTCGGCCACACTCCTTGCCAGAATCAGCAGAAGTGCCGGCGCTTAGTCTACAAGTTACGCTGTGTCTCGGGAGCTTTTAACCGGTCTCTGATTAGCGGTGGCCAGGGAGGTTCATCCAAGAACGGAACACACTGAAGACGACGGGAAACACATTTCGATGATTTCATACAACATACAACTGGTCGAACCTTGGCGACGGAGAGTAAGATAAATGAGAAAGATAACGATACTGTACAGTAAAGAGTGAATCCAGTGAACCGATGCAGAATGAAAACACCACAGGACCCGTGTCATGCCAAGAGTCTCAGTCTCAGTGCACTCTCTTAACAGACCGCTCCAGGTCGTCGAAGGAGGACCGTTGCCTCTTGTTCCGACCGCTAGCAACGGTTTGCGGTACGGGTACGATAAAGTACTTTTCAATAGGTGGCCGGCGAGGTGATTGGGAGACGCCATGTTGAGTGGCGAAGCCCGACACAGTAGGGCTAGTGGGGTTAGAATGAACGAATGACTCCATGGTCATGTTCATGGCTCCTTGAAAAGCTTGTTCTTTGGGTTTCTTTTTGTACTAGAGCATTGTAAGAATTTCAGTGGAAGGAGATGCGAGCCACGTACACTCTCCAGTTCGGGCTTTCCCCGCCACTTGGCGACGGCCTCACAAAATCGCAAGGCAGCTCGCTCGACAGGCTCTGCAGGGTAATGCCATGCCAGGTCCTCCATGTGTGTCACTAGATCTCGCGTTTGTTGAGGAATATCAAAGAACTGGCAGAACAGCTGAGCACAATCTAACTGGTGACGAGGTCAGACCTGACTCACTCGTCGAACGCGAGCCTCCATTTCCATGTGGAATGCGGCCTCCACGGTGTCGCGCCTATGCGCCATGCTGTTCGAGACACCACCACGCAGAGAAGGGAAAAGGACCCGCGTAGCCTCCTTCAAACCAGGCAAGTCATCCGGGTCAAACCACTCAAACGTGGCGTCTCCAAGATCTTCTTCTTCATTTATATCCACACCATCGTTGATGCTGCGACCGACTGAGAGTAAACACTCTGTGGCATCGGCGCCCCGCCAACCAGCTGTGAGGTATCCCTCCAAGGCAGCTCTGGTGAGAAGTCCAGCTAGGAGCATGTACCATTCCCGGGATGGATGTAATGGGGGAGCCTCTGCCTCGGAACGGGGTCGTCTGGAAGGCGACGGAGACGGAGAGGTTGGCGTTGGCATGGAGGTTTCGTCAGCGATCCTTCCCTGACTATGTTCGCCTTCTGGAACGCTGTGGGCTTCCTCTCCGAGCTCGCGACCGAGCTCCACGGAAACCAAGGCTGACAGTCGGAGGAATCGAGGGATGAGCTCCCATAACCGTGGGTTACCCGCGGATGAACTAGTATTCCCCGCATGATCATTGTCACCTTCGGCGATAGACCACTTCGACTTTCGGCGCAAAACGCTGCCGTGTATGCCAGGCTGGGCAAGCCCTGTACCTATTCCACTCCCGTCTTGCCACCCTGTTACACCTCCTCCGTTGCTTCCCCACATACTCTTTCCGAAAGTTGTATGGGCCGTATGGGAAGCTGATTTACTCCCAATGGTGGTAGAACCACCGGCCGTGGATATTGCCCGGCTTCTCCCGATACCTCCGGGAGGTTTAGAGGGCTGCTTGGCCGCGACACAAATCTCACAACCTGCATGAAGATGCCTCGAGCAGCGCAACCCTGGTGAAGAATTTGTTGTTGAGTGGTCTGTGCCACCCATATACATATTCCTAGCTCGGGTGTTCAAACTGGTCTAAAATCCTTGGCTTGAATGACATGAAGGAAAGTCTAGCAAACCGACTTACAACATTTTGGTGGAGGGGCATGGTCAAAAGAGGCTGCGAGGTCTGGATCTGGGAGTACGGACGCTTGGAGGCCGGAAGTGATATCGATGACAAGAGCGCCAGAGAGGGCGGTAACGTTCCCGGGGGGTCACCAGAGCATGACGATGAAATGGCACTGGCACTGGTGGAAGGATTAGGTGAGACATTACGAGGAGCAGGGGAAGTACTGGGACTGAGAGGCTCAGAAGAGCCCTGGTCAGAATCCGTCGAAACAATGATAGGCGGAGGGTGGTGATGGTGTCGATAAGGAGATGTTGGGGGCTGACGAGAGAACAGGTCGTTGACCACAGTGCCAAGAGACAAGCGGAGACGGACACCGTTGGGCAATGTATGGGGATGGCTCTTGCTACCCCGCTTCGGTGAGTTGGTTGGGGTCACGGGGTCATCGTCCAGCACGGGGTAATGTACTGGTGGAGGTTGCTCCAACATTGATGTCACTACCTTTTCAAGACCTACGGCACGTAATCTGAGCCTTGCAGCAAGGTCCAGATCTTGTCTTTGTTTCCTCTCTTCCTCATCGTTGAGACGGGCACCACCTTCCCTCGCCTCCAACATGCTAGCCTCTTCTCCATCGCTAACAACCTCTTCATCCTCCTCGTATTGTTCGGGACGTTCTCGATAAGCATAATTAAGAGAAGAGGGACCACCAGTGCGATCCGTCATGCCCAACTCTGCGCGAGCTTGAGCGAATCGGGTGCGAGAATGAACCCATAGCATGTGGTCTATGATAAGGGTTCTAGTCGATTTCTCCCGAGGGGGAATGGAGTGCAGATGATGAGCATGCTTGTGCGCGGGAGCCTTGAACGAACTAGTGACTGGCAACGAAGGGATTGGCTTGGCTGGCTGGCTAGAGACTTGGGGGAGTGTGCTGGGAGCGATGGAATGGGTTACGGGGTAAGTTGGAAAGTGACCCGAGTTTGGGAAGGCTGGCATATTCCTGCTGCCGTTCTGCAGGGCTGAGTAGGACATGGCGTGGATGGGATCTCAACGTCAGCCGGAGTGTGCCTTGGCAAAGATGGTTAAGCCCCCCTTCGACATGCACTGTCAGAAAACGGATCAAGCACGGACTTCCGATGGGCCTGCAAGAATACCTGGGCTAAGGATGGAACGTTAGAATATCCACGCGCACACGTTGCAAGCGGCTAGATAAGTGATTGATCACACCGTTGCGCCACTATGTAGGTTGTTGAATGAAGAGCACAAGCCGGTGTGGACTCGGAAGCACAACGTCCGTGACACTCCGATTCGGAGACTTTAGCTTCCTCCCTACTACTTTGTAAAAATCTCAACTCTGACTTGCACCAATGCACAACAGACCTGGTCCTCTAATACGGCAACCTGTGTGCGAAGCAGCGGCAGCACCTTCATTACAGAACTCGTCTAGCTTGTATCCATGTGTGTCGCGCGTGCACCCAACGGCTCCTGAAAACACCTGCGCTGACAAGTCTACCTAGGCTTGAGCTACAACTCCACACTCAGTAAGTATATTTTCAGCCTCACCTCCCACGATCCAGCAAGGTGGATGCAATGAAAGATGGCTGAGAATGGTGAGCTCCCCTTACACTCTTGAGCACATATTGCAATACTGTCCCACCGATCAGTGCTTGCCTATCCAGGGACCCCCTAATTTAACGCGTTGGGTGTCGATTATAGCCCTTAACGGTCGCCCCGCCTATTAATCTCCTTTACCTTGCGCAAGTTGAGCGGTGTGGCTGTTTCAAACCGGCCCTCCTGCACCTGGGTCCAAGCGAGATGCAGCCTGGTAAAACCTGGTCAGTTCTTGCCAAGCGTATTCCAAGGTCCCTCTGAGAAGCTAGCCGCGGTACGCGAGGATAGCACGGAGCACCGGAGTATACCAGGTGGGCTGCCATGGTTGGATTTTGGTATTCCAATGCTTTTAAAGACCAGACATCATAGGTTATGGTCGCTCCTGTACATATCTTGACGTATTCTAATGCCAGTCATTCCCAAGACTGTCAAATACATACATAATTTCCTCTCGAAGTCGGGGCCGATGACGCGGCGTTAGCCTATCTTAGCTCTTACACCGACGCCGAGGATGCCCTTCTTCTATCGGGAGCGCACCGCAACTCGCTTGGGTTGAAGGATCAATTTCCTTCCGTGTCCTTCTACGTCAGGAACCAGCATTTGTCGATCGTAATGGGTACGTAGCGCTCATCTCCAGAGCTAACATCCACTCCAGTTCTGAGGCATTGCAGCTATACATGACAATTGCCGGTCAACATATCCCTCAACCGCGCCCCACACCTGCCATGGTCGTTCACTTTCGCGGGAACCGGTTGTCAAAATTACGCCCGTGGCACTCACTCCACTCCCCCATAGACGCTAGGTCTCCTTATTCTGACGTTGTTCTGACAGTGGCAGGGAAGTGCCTTGCAGCAGAGGTGATAATGCGCTAAAACGGTTAACCGTGCCATTCTGAATCATGATACCCCCCCATTAGATTTTGTTTCATTCGCTCTCGCTTTCACATGCCTCTCGGCCGCAAAGGACAGGTTGCGCCGCATCCTATCCGCAGTCTGGCCGCATGCCCCTTACACAAGACGTCGCTGACGTGACTCTCCAAAGAGTACCTACTGTAGACTGGAATTGAATATTGACATCTCGTCATCGCACAACCCGCACAGTTACTAATGCACCGCCTTCCGATATGATCGCGAAAGTGTTGATGCGGCGGCTCAGACTCCCAGGCTAAAGGTGCCTCGCGATCTGAGCCAGATGACCGTCAGTTCCATCTATGTGGCATCCGGAACGCCGCAAGCATGGAATGAATCTTTTTTTGTTCTCTGCCGTTTCACCGCTCGGGAAGTTCCCGGTATGTACGAGGCACGGGATGCGCCGAAGTGTCATGCGTGAGCCATCGGCGACAATCACAGTACTAGTGGACCTGCATCAACCCACGTCTTACAGTCACACGATGTACCGTACCCGCCGACGGGCTGCTGATCGGGATGGTGAACTTCGGTTGCAATGTCGGGGAAACAGTACTAAATCTGCCCGTTCCCCGATCGGGGACGCATGCGCATGCGTAAAATGCATCCGCCCTGTTAGATTCACGTCCGTACGGTCCACAGCTTGAGAGGCGATGAGCCCACCAATAATAGTTTTTACTCTTCTCGACGCAAAACTAATTTGCGTAAGTATGTACTTGTCAGACCCGTGTTTTGAAATGATCGATCTAACTACTATGCCTCCACATCATCCGAGGCAGTGATAATGAAAGGCAAGATCTTGCCATCTCGTGATCTTGCACAGTATCCGTGTATCACATCACTAGGAGCTCCCAAGGCGGTGCTGATCATAATTTCCCTTCAATACTGATGTTTAGGGAGGCCGAGGCTAAGGGTTTTGGATTTCTTTTTGTTTGGAATTCTGGCCAACATGATAAGTGCACAGCCGATTGCCAAAAGATTGTTTTGATCAAGACGAGCGGTCTTCCGTCTCGATCTTGGCATTCATCCCACTGAGGCTGTGCGAACGAAGGATAGTTTCCCTTCCGCCGGATGTGGCAAGGGTCCGTTGAGCATTTCACACTGCCTCCTCACCGACGGGGAGAGCCTCCGCAACTGCTAGCTCGTATTACTCACTAAATGACAAGCCGGCGAAACGAAATACGTTAACATTTTATTCCTCGTAATCATAAATAACAGGCATGACCGACACCCACCAATATCTACGATGTACTACGCTACAGAAATGGTGATGATGAATAGACGTACGGAAGCATCAATAAAAACGTCGGGTGATTTCCGGCGAAGTAGCGCAACACTACAGTGGTTGTATGTACAAGGGATTGGGGGAGGAATGGCGGACAGTGAAATCAATATCAGTATAATGATGAGCAGCTAGCGAGCAATGGGACGAGATTAAGCAGACACAAAAGACGACGAGAACCCGCAGAGCGTCCCAGTGTATGGTAGATGAGAAGACGAAGTGGGAATAGGGAATAGTTAAGTGAACGTCGACCTGCGGAACAAACGAAGAACGACGAAGGCAGATCATACCATCACACTCGTGGTCGACCACCCCGCCTCCTCCGTCTTGGGCATCGGTACCCTTTCAGAATCCTTGGCTGCATCCAGGACACGTTGACATTCGGCACCACCCTCTGATCGCACTGATGGCAGTGATAGTTAGTCGAAGGACTCGTTAACAACGTGCCTGAAACTTACAGTGCCTGTTCAACGCGTCCATGCGAGCAAAGGTCTTATGACAGCCCTCACAAGTGAATGGCCGGTAGTTGAAGTGTAGTTGTTCGTGACGCTTGCAATCATGCTGTCTCGCAAAACCCTTGCCGCATCCAGGCCACTTGCATTGGAACGGACGTTCTTCGTTATGCGATCTCATATGACCTAAAATCGAGGTTAGCATAAGGTGTAACGTGGTCCTGTAGCCGACGCACCTTTTAGGTTGAAGCTTCTCGTGAAGGTGCTGCCACAGCCCGGCACAGGGCACATGAAGTTTGCTTCTTGCTTCCTTCGACGGTGGCTAGCACCAGCTGTGCGTTCGCTTGTCACAGTCTGTTTGGTAACTTGAATCGAACCGTTGTTGAGGGGCTGCTGCACCGGCTCTGCACGAAGCAAAGAAGTTGGGCGGCCTGCAAGAGGCACGTTGGGAAGATCGTCATAGCGAACACGTGGACTTGCAGATGGGCTTGGGTATGGGCTCTGACGATTCGACGACAGCCCGCTCCAGCTTCCGTCGCCGCCTCGCGAACCAGATGAGGCCCTACGGTTATGTCCGCGGATGGGGGGCAAAGCCTCCTGTGGGTATAGGAACTGACGATTGATCAATTCGGAGGCGTGTTGTGAGGTTGGTGGGAACATAAGTGATGATGACATATCCTCCGAGCGAGAGAGTCGATTATGTCCCGGACGTGCGCCACCGTCAGACTTTGACCGGCGAAGGTTGGCGGCGACGGCGACGGCTTCAGGGGTGAGATAGTTGGACATGTTCGTCGACGGATTAGTGGGGTTGAAATTAAACTGCGGGAGTTGGGCGGAGCCAAGATTAAACGATGTCTGGTTAGTACCAGCACTGGACGGATGCTGATGAGCGTGTTGATGTTGAGGGAGGACCTGACTGAGGTTGACGGTGGTGGAATCGTCGAGGGCGGATCCTTGCAGACTGCTAAGCTGTTCAGTCATGAGGGAGTTGGGCCACAACTGAGGACGTGGAAGGGATGAAGTATCGGACTTGCTGCGCGTTCGCGGGGGGAAATTTGGAAACAGGTATGAGGTATTTGTAGCGTCTGAATGGATTGGAGGAGTAAGAGTGGACAGCCCCTGTGTTGGGTGGCTGTGAGGGAAGAGCTGTACACTTTGGTCACGGAACTGCGACGCCCCGAGTTGTTGGGAGACCTCGGTGTGTTGCTGATCCCACTGGGCGGTCGACCCCAACGGCTGTGAGCCGGTTTGAGTCGAACCTGAGCGGACATAGGACGACGCAATGCGCCAAAAACGGTAAGTATGCGATTCCATAACTGGAAATGATTATATCAAGGAGATTACTTGCCTTGATGAAGGGTTTCTAAGGTCGACTGAAAAGGAACAGATTGCGAGGCAGCTCCACCCCCACTGACGGGGGTCGCAGGCACGATGTGAAGCTGCGGCCCACTCGTCATGAACCCACCATCACCCTCTGGGGCATTGATAAGCGGGGGTTCCTGAGAAAACATGGACGGACTGCTGTCTGGAATCAGAAGCTGGGGAGGAGATTGGGGCTTCTTCGGCGGTGAAGTGGCTCGGTCAACTGGGAGATGATTCGCCTGCCAGTGAGGCGATTCAAAGTGAAGCTTTTCGAATGAGTGAGCCATGTCCAGCCGCGGAGAAGAACCAGCGTGTATTTGAGGTTTGTGGTTCGATGATACCGACGACGTTCGGCTACGCGGGGCTCCGTCGCCATTGCTAGACGGGGAGCTGTGGTCGAATGAAAGGGGAGAGTGCTGATTGAGTGGTGCTGGTGTGACGGAAACAGACACCGGAGCCCCATTGGGATCAAGAAACTCGCCGTCGAACATGAGCAACGCAGACGAATTGGGCGGATCATATTCCGACGGGTCATATTCTTCGCGGGCGGCCATGAGCCCGTTGAGCTCCTCGCCGAAACCGACGTTTTCCGGACCGTCTGGGTCAAAGCTTAGCTCTGAATGACCAGAGTACGGCGAATTTTGATAAGAGCCGTTGTAAGACGACGTGTGGGGGAATGGAGGAGACTTAAATCCGTTGAATTCGTAAGTGTCGAAGGCAGAGGTCGTGCCGATATTGTGAGGCTTCGTGGACGGGCTCGTGGACTGGTAATCGAACTCGGCGGGGTATTGGTCTTGCTGGAGTAGCGCCATCGTTAGAGCTGGTAGACGTTGAGCGAACGATGGGAGCAGATAATATGGATTGATAAAGACCTGGACAGAAGGGAATGGCAGGTAACGACGAGGATGTTGGATGCTGGATGCTGGATATATCGATAGCTAGGAAGACGATGAGGGGGAAAATGGAGCCTAGGGATGGAAGGAAGGGGAAGAATGGAACAGACGCTGTTAATGGCTTTGTGTGAAATAATCATGACCCATCACCCAAGTACTTGTAAGCGTGCCTTGCGTTTTCAACCTCCGCCACGGAGCCCGAGTGGTCACTCGTCCCATGGTTCTCAGACATCTATGTACATATTCGAGACATTCGCGCCCTCTTTTTCAATCGTTGTCGGTCCTTCTGAGTTGCCGTGCGATGGCATGATGCCCTCGTCTTCGTCGGCCATCGAGTCTTGCCGTACCGGTTTTCTGGATTAGAAATCCCAAGGCGTTTCAGTCGCCGCGAATTGATCCCCTCTCGTGTTATCGAGTACCTTCGGATAGTAATAGCAGCACGTTGAACGGCAGTAAATTCGAGCATGGTCCACAGTTGCAACGTCAATAGCACCCGTCTTCACCCGTGCATTGCTTTTTTTTCTTGAACACTTCGATCTCGGGCGTGATTCCAATTGATCGTGTCAGTGGTCGAGGTGATGGCTGACCAATCGTATTGTAGCCGCTCTCAGCTAGCCCCCCGCTCGACGCTGATCCCTCCACCCCTTGCACAGGTCAAGCGACGCTCGATCCTGTGCATTCGCCACGCGCGGGGTGCACCATGTGCTCCATCCCTCGTTGACGTACTGAATTTCGGAAGTCATCACTACCCCGGAGTTCTTTTTAATAACCGACCCGAACTCGGGAGTCTCACCCATCTTAATACCTTCCCATGGTGTGCAATCCCTTTACAGTGAGACCCCCCTCTACTGGAAATACTTGAGATCCTTGGGATGACAACAGGGCGATCACGGAGCCATATCTTTTCATCCGATCCCATTGGCTATTTCGCCGTATCAGCCTGTCGGAAATGAAGGGGCCCATCTGCGTCTTCAGCTTACGTGGCATTCTTGCCGAAATCACCCTTGGACAATCATTCACTATTTCGGTTTTTCTTTTGTGAGGGGGTCGGACGATGGTTGGCCAACTGCTGGCCCATTTATTGTGACAGACCATGCGTAATCGCTGACGTAGACCAGCTCCAAACGGCTCCGTTGCCTGATTTGCAACACCGGCGTACATTATCAACAGATGCAGCTGAAGTCCCAGATTTTACGAGATTGCTAAGCATAATCTCCCAAAGGATGGACTCATCGGTCAGCCTGAAGGCTTGTTTGTGATCTGATCAGATTGCGTAGTAGACTGCTATTTATGTAGCCTAGGAGCATTAGGATTCTCTGTCATGTATGTCCTGACTCACCTCCCCAAATGACTAGGTGACCAGCATGTGATTTCGCCTCGGATCAAGACTCCTATTAGTACCCGGGCTCCAACTCAACCCGCAACCAACGACTCGAGACGCAGCGGCCCCGGTTGACTACTTTATGTTGTGGGTGTTTGGATCATGCCGATACAGTTGTAGCGTCCACGGGCACTATATCCGGACCGCGGTTCCCGTCACACCTTCTGCAGAGTCCAACTTAATCGATGATCCTTCGACCAATCATCTAACGTCTGCTAGTCCTAACGCGTGAGGGGCGCCCAACAACCAACTGAACAAGATAAGAAAAGGGAGACGCAACCGCAGTGTGCCTGGCACCTCACATCAAAACGTACATACACGTGCTTACTTAGGATCTCATGGCCCATCATACATCAAGAATTAGGCCAGACATCCCAAGACACGTGCAAAGTCAACCACCAGTTTCACAAACCCTGAGATGTGATTTTGCTTTTGCGTTGACGTACTGTAACAAGGAACGAGTGATCTGATCAAAGGGTCGTGTACTCACGGTCCGGTCAGGAAAGATGGGTTTCCCCACGGATAACCATATTGTCAAGCCTTACGGCACGGGGTAACATTCCAAAGGACGAAAGATCTAGGCTGCTGAAGTCGCAATACGACAGCAATTCCAGTCAGAACTATGCTCCAAAAGTTGGTTGCCTGGCACATCATGCTGAACATGAGATTAATAATGGCGCGCGGTGTCCCCTGCCGCAAGCGGGAGGAGGTCAAATGCCTTCTGCGCGCGCGCTAACGACAACAGCGGGAAATGGGCTACCTTTCATAGATCATGGGCCTGGAAATCCATCTCAACTCCCGTCCTCGGCCAATTACGAAACACCGTCACACAGGTTCCTTTAATAAGTCCCTTGCAAGACACGATAATATGACATGCCATCACCTGCGGGCCCTGCAATTGAATACGTATCCATGGAATGCGCTGGCTTCTGAGCGTGAGCGCTCGAGCGACATCGTGGATCTGTCAAAACTACTTATTGCCTCTCCGCAGCCACCAACAGGTCCGATAATGACCCCAGTAAAACATGAAGCGGGCACGTTTGTGGTCGTTAGGACCCATCGTGCAATGGCCTTGCGGTGACGGAAAAGTGACTACTTACTTCCTTTCAATCCTCGTGGACATACCGCTCGATCACCGCTGGATAAACCCAGCACAACTGACAGTATTTTGCAGCCAGCGACCCATTGGAGTAATTCAGCTTCGTTCAGGGCCTGAAGTTGCCTGGGGAATCGGGTAGCGCAGACAGGTAAGTAAATCCTCTGGAGGTTGCCTATGTCGGAGTTGCTTCTGTCGATCATGACACCTCCCAAAGCGGCGGCTGCCTCTTCTGTCTGTGCTCGTTCCACTCCCCTAGCAGGCAACCCCTGGTTTCCAGAAAACGTTCCTCGGTAGATCACAAGTCGGTGGACCGTTGCCTTTCAAGCATCGAGGATTAATATCCGCCTTTGTTCAAGCGACGTACTATGCATCGCTGACTGTGGACACTCCTTTGTCAGCGTTTCATTGTTGTGAACACATTAATATAGATAGGAGAGATCCAGAGGCTCGAGTGACATTCCTCTTTCACAACATGAACGTCCCTCTCCCACCTGTGGAATACACTTTCCCTGCGACTGCACTGCATGGAAGCGTTGGCTATGATCGTCCTCTCGATAATTACCTCGATGTTGCTGTGACTCGTAGACTCGTCACCGCGCGACACCCTAGAAGTGTATGTCAATCCTTTGGTCTATAAAAACTTTTTTTCACCTTTTATCCAACCAGCTCTATGACACCGTGGCCAATGCCCATGACGCACGCTTCCAATCGAGACCCAGAATGTTTAATGGGAATAATCCTATTAATCAATGTAAATGCCTTCCCAATGTTGGTCGCGAACGTCGGCGTCAGATGGCCGCACTCTGTGGAAACTCACGAGATTATCGGGGCCTTGGTTGGGAATGCCCTAGTTGGCGTCCACGCCGTTCCTCCTATGAAGATAGACGGGGCGCAGTTTCAGTCACACTCGCCGAAATCTGCTCGCTCCCGTATGCCATCGGCCCACTCTCGACAGTTAACGAATACGATAATACAACTGCAGTTTATCCACCTGACGAAGAGCATCTTGGGGGACTGGGTGATCACGTTCCACATGTAGATGACGAAATGGACTTCGAATTTGCAAGTGACGACACCTTTGACGTAGCGAATACCAACATCACACCTCCCGGTCCTCCTGGTCCGCATCGGTTGCCCCTTGACTGCAACTCCGTATTTGCTTCTGAGCCGCGCGACGCGCTCAGCATCACATGTACGCAAGCAGATGCGAAGAGTGTCGACCAACCTGAATGGAACAGCCTCCACAACCCAGGGGCTCGCCCTCATGCTTTGGAAAACCCCTCAAAATGGATTCTTCCAAGAACACAGCTTTCTTTCTCCGTCTCCCCCGGTGGCGCCTCTTCTGCGATGTCACCCGCTTCGGCCGTCCCGTGTGCTAGGGACCTTACGATGGGGAATTCCCTGTATCAAGCGGCAACAGAGAAATTGTCTGCCCCCCAACCTGCGTCAAAGAAGGCAGAAATGATCGAGGATACTGCGCGCATAAGCATCACTGCCATCGACCAGTCCGTTATGGATACCCCGCGGGTCGTGTCCACTCAAAGCATGCATAGCCCTGTACCCAGTTCCCCGTCTAGTGCACTGCCCAGCGGTCAAGATCCTGCTCCTCGAGAGAGCGTTTTGGTCTGTGAGCAGACAGTTCAACGGACACAGCTCTCGTCACGCACGAAACAAACTTTTCCATGCCTACTTGACGGTTGCAAGCATGTGTGTTCTTCGGCAGGCGATCTCGTGAGGCACCAGCAATCTCTCCGCCACCGTCCACCACAGTTCTTCTGTTCGGGTTGCGAGTATGGGTTCACTCGCCCGGATGCTCTGAAAAGACACCTCAACAACAAACCGAGGTGTAAGGCAATACACAAGGCGGTGACCACCGCCAGGTTAGGGGGAATTGGCGATGCTGAGAGAAGCTTGCCTACGTCATAGCGTGCTGGACGCGCTGAACTCGCTCCGCCGTGGAGACGGGGTATCACTGTCGCAATTCTGTTATATAGATGACTACTCTACTTTATACCGCATGTGCGCATCCAATCTCATCTGTATGCTACGTTAGTCTTTGTAACTCTATGTACTATGTGGAGCCTTGTAGGAGAACGTTTTCTTCAAATGACAAGTGTATCGCTTTGACCCCTCGGCACCGCCTCCTTGGTCAACTCGTCGCTCAAATCACTAGGTGCAGGTTCCGGGCTGGCATCTGTAGCATTTTTCTTCAACTCCTCCATGGGGATAGCGCGGCGTTTGCCGAGGAATATGCGTCCACCAGGGGCATCCTGCAACGACCGGATAAGGATGTCTTTCTCAAAAAGGTATCGGACATCTTCCAAAGGGTATCCCGTAGTCTCTGGTATGCAGACGTAGACCCAGATTGCCATAATAACAGAAGCGACTCCGAATACGAGATATGTGCCGTACGTGATATGTGCGAGCATGATCGGCGTGACTTGCGCGATGACATATGTGAAAAGCCAGGTTACCCCAACAGCAATAGACATCACTGCTGAACGAAGGTGTCCAGGAGCCACCTCGGACCCAAGGACGAGCGGGGTGAAGCCCCAGCCTAGACCGAAAGCGATGCCGTAGAGGTAGACAGCGACGATCGAGACATAAGTAGCAGGAACAACCGTGGGTTCGGGGTGCACGGCGCTGTAGCCCCCAATCCAAATCATCGTAATAGCTTGAGCCAGGCCACCGTATATGAGAGTCCTCTTGCGGCCCCAGCTCTCGATAACGAAGGCGAGGACGAGACATGTAACAACGAACTTCACAACTCCGTAGACGCCTGTGGCGAGCAGCGAAGCAGTCGTGCTTGAGATTCCAAGGTTTGCAAAGATGATAGGGGAATAGTAATTGATCGCATTTGTGCCGGTCCACTGCTGGAAAAATGTAGCGATGGATGGTATAAGGCAACGCAATACGATGATACGATTTTCTCCCATTTTCTTGAACTGCGTGGCGATTGGAAGTTGACGCTTGCCTGCGAACTGTTCGCGTATCTCACTCAGAGTCACTTGGACAGTATCATCTTGAGGGTCTTTTCTGGCGATGTAGCCGAGGGCATTTGCTGCATCGTTATATCGTCCGCGTTCGACAAGCCACCGAGGTGATTCCGGCTGGAAGAGCATGAATACAAAAAATACTGATGCCCGGCAAAATTTGGACAATTATCGGGGTTCGCCATTGCATCTCTCCAGGTGATATGTTAAGAGCCGCTCCGTAGTTGACCCAGACTGGACAACGTAACATGGATCAGGAAATGCCCGGACACAGGGCCAGCACCAGCACTTACAGCTCAACATGTTTCCCAAACCTACAGCAACCTCTATACTGCCGGTGCACCGTCCCCGAATAGCCCTCGGAGCACACTCTGATACATAGGTGGGAACAAGAGCCGACATCAGGCCAACGCCAACACCACCCAAGAACCGACTGAAGTAGAGAAGCTTGAGACCGACGGCTGGCGTACTTCCCAATCCAACGATTGACTGAATAGCACTCCCTACCAGAAAGATTACAGCTGACGCCAACAGCGAAGGCTTTCTGCCATATCGGCTGGCCAACCAACTCGATGCTATGGCACCTACACTGAGAAAATCATTCAAATATCGTCTCAAAACGTAGCTGGAGGTAAAACTTACAAGCCTCCAGCCTGGAGAACAGACACGATATTCCCGCTCAGGCTAGCACGGGCACTGGCCGACTCTTTATCCAACCCAAAATACTGCTGGAAAGAGGGAAGAGCAAGAACACCGCCTATCAGGCCAATGTCCCAACCGAAGCACACGTATCCGGCGGTGGCAGAGAAAGCAAGGAAGTAGGCATTTCGGTATTGAATGGTTTGTTGAAGCTCCGTTCTCCACGTCATGGCAGCTTACGGGAAGGACACCAGAAGATCCGACCACCAGGACTCAGCTCAGACTTCTCAACAACCTTTTGGCTCTGTCGGGAACGTTAAAGTAAAGCGTGAAGGGGGTCGTGAGCGGTTTAAGTGCCTTGGTGGAGTCCCGCTTATATGGCTCAGTCGGACCTGGTGTGCGCACGCTCAGAAAGGCTAGCCGGACAGTAGAGGGTGCGAGTATAGTGCGGTCCAGTTTTGTCGTCCGACAGGTCGTTTAAGCGAAGATTATGTATCATACTGATAACTTAGAAGCAGTGGAATTAGCAGTAGCCTATCTGTCAGACAGATTCCGTATACATACATACATTGATCCCGAGTAGAAAAGCATGATTTACTTGCAGCGTCAGATATTCACAACCATGCTCGCAGGTACAGAGATGGCTGTCAAAACTCAACGAAGCTTTGAGATCCATTGTGGCAAAGACGGGCCGTCGTGCCAGGGGCTGCCATTCAGTAGCCAACAGTCCAGCGAAAACGTCTGCACCTCCGGATAAGCTGTGTCCTGGGAGCGCTTCCCAGGATCCTCTCGGTATGGAATGAACATCCACCGATTTTTCATCGCAAGGCGTTTCGATTTTCTGGGAACTATTCTCTCCCCTCTGGTGCCGTTCGATCTCCGGAGGCACTGTTTGCCAATCGCACAACATCCACGCATCAGTGCTGGAACGGTGATTGGTCGGGAGCGTGGTAGCGTGTTATGATCACTTGGCTAACGAAAACTCTAACATGCAACCTCTTTACCTCCCACATACTTGAACAGGAACGGATATACGTGGGTTATGCTTCCAGATTCCACATGGTGAACTTCAAGCACCTGGCGACGGCCCGTTTCGTCCCTAGGGATTTGTTAGTAGGTGCACCATTCCCCACGTTACTCATCATCAGCCTTGATGTTTCAGCGACAGGACTGGGAAATCAGTATTCTATTCCGACTGACGAAGTCAGCCCATGGGGAGCTCGTGTTTCCGAGTAATACCTTAGTGTATTGTGGACTCGGAACTAGCACGCCTTGTGCAATTAGCTCATTATTGCTATTCGCTTGGCTACCGGTTTATGTGTTATACACCAGCGAACGTGGCACTGTCAGAGGCCAATCAAATTCGCACGGGGACGCGATAAAGACTGCTCTGATAAGGATTCACTTCGTCTGCTCAGAAATCGCTCATCTTCGAGATAAAATGGCCGCTGCAAACCTCAGCCAATTCCCCATCGACCTTAAGAAATACAAAAAGTCTGCTAAATCTTTGATGACGACCATACGTAGAATCTAACGGCCACCATAGATTGGTCCTAGATCCAATCCGACCCCAGCTAACTGCGGATCAGAAGGCAGCCCTTCAGCATAACATTCAGCTCCTTCGCGATGCTATTGTCCTATTCACTGCTACAGGCGCCGCCCGCGGTGTAAGCGGTCATACAGGTTGATTGCCCTACCACCTTACTTACGTGTGTATAACTGAGTGCTCCATTCAGGTGGTGCTTATGATACCGTCCCCGAAGTTTGCCTCCTGCTTAGCTTGTTCGAGGGCTCGGAGAAATACCTTCCCATCATTTTCGACGAGGCGGGTATGTATAAATCTCCGGCGGTGACACCAGTTCCGTTCAATATGCGAGATCACAGGCCATCGGGTTGCAACGCAATACCTCCTAGCTGCACTTGAAGGTGCTATTCCTCCGGAGCACCTCCTACACTACCGCGAGGCAAACTCGAAGCTCCCCGGTCACCCTGAACTTGGATTGACACCCGGCGTCAAGTTCTCCTCCGGCCGTCTTGGCCACATGTGGCCTCTAGTGAACGGTGTTGCATTGGCTAACCGCGACAAAGTCCTGTTCTGCTTGGGTTCCGATGGTTCCCAGCAGGAAGGGAACGATGCGGAAGCTGCTAGGCTTGCCGTTGCCCAGAACCTGAATGTGAAGTTATTGATCGATGATAATGATGTCACTATCGCTGGGCACCCTTCTAAATATCTCACTGGTTATGATCTGGCAAGGACGCTTGAAGGACACGGTCTCAAAGTCTATGTCACCCAAGGCGAGGACATTGACGCCCTGTGGAGCTCTCTGGCCGCTGCAGTCACGCACGATGGCCCAGCTGCAGGTAAGTCACATCGTCCACCCGTAGACCTTGCCTGACGTGTTCCATAGTCATTTGCAAACGAGTCATGGCACCGGGCGTCCCAGATATCGAGGGAAGCACTCACGGACACGATGTTATTCCCGTCAAGTCTGCCATAAAGTACTTCGAAGCCCGGGGATACGCCCCAAATGTCGCAGGGGATATTCTCCTAAACATCAAACCCGCGGCTGTTCCCTACCTCTATATTGGGTCAACGAAGGAAGTCGGAGCCAACCGTGTTGTGTTTGGCGAAGCTGTCAATCTCGTATTGGACAAACTTTCCAAGGAAGAGGCTGCGAGGAAAGTTATGGTCATCGACAGTGAGCGCTCCCTCTAAATCCTCTCCCCCAAACTAATCTCCCACAGGTGATCTGGAGGGATCCACGGGCCTCAAGGTTATCCACCAGAAAGCACCCGGAGGTCTTCGTGCCGGGCGGTATTATGGAACGTAGCAACTTTTCGGCTGCCGCTGGTTTCGGCTTTGATGCTAACAAATTTGGTGTCTTCTCCACATTCTCCGCGTTCTTGGAGATGATTGTGTCGGAAGTTACGATGGCCCGCTTGAATAATTGCAATGTTCTTTGCCACTTCTCGCATGCTGGGGGTAAGGGCTATGAACATCCTTGGCATCGTTTTACTAACAGTATTCCCCTTATCAGTGGACGAAGTTCGTATTTTGCGTGTCTTATGACCGATTGAACATGCACCTAATTTCAACGTCCACAGATGGCTGACAACACTTGTCACTTTGGCGTCAACAACTTCTTCGCGGATAATGGCTTGTCCGACGTACACTCATGGCTGTACTTCCCCGCAGACGCTCTCCAAATGGTGGCAATTGTGCAGCGCGTGTTCTTCGACCGTGGCATCCGATTTGTCTTCTCGACCCGGTCCAAGGTACCATACATCCTCAAGGAGGACGGGAAGTCGAGGTATTTCGAGGGTGACTACAAGTTTGTGCCTGGAAAAGATGAGACGATCGTGGAAGGAAAAGCTGGTTATGTTGTGTCATTCGGCGAAATGCTCTATCGGTCTTGGGATGCCGTCTTGCGCTGCCGCCAGGAGGGTTTGGACGTTGGTTTGATCAACAAACCCACTCTCAACGTGGTCGACGAGCAAACAATCAGAAAGATAGGGTCAAGTCCTTTCGTACTCGTAGTTGAGTCATTTAACCAGAAGACCGGGGTAAGATTACGTTATTCGAGGATGGGCTGAGCTGACGATGATGTACAGCTTGGCTCTAAATTCGGAACGTGGTTGTTGGAACGTCAATTGACTCCCAAGTATGGGTACATGGGTACAACAAAGGAGGGTATGTGGTTTTTCTTTTCTTTTTTTTGTTTGGGTTATCAACTTATTTTGTTTCTGCGACCAGGTTGTGGTGGATTATCAGAACAAATTCCTTTCCAAAACCTTGACCCGCAATGTGAGTTTTCGGTATTGCAAAGCTTGACAACGTGTTGATTGTCAATTCTATAGCCATTATCTTAAAGATAAAGCAGCTGTCGCAGTAGACCCGAGTCGATGTATAACATTGGATTTGACAAAGCCGATAGTAACGGCAAGGATTAGACTACATATCATACATTTGTTTTCTAAGAAAGAGAAAGACTTCTTGGCCTCCGGGGATGTACGAAAAGCTGAAGCGTTGTGTTGGTAGCCTGTAAGAGGGGGTTGATCAGTTGCTTGATCGAGATATGCAAGATGTAAGTAAAAGAGTCAGAGAACCGAGTCTCGACACCAGAGATCTCCATGAGAGAAATCTTTGAGACGGCACTTCCTAATTGTATTCGGTTTATGATCATCATCGCCGCAAAGAAGGGGGAAGACAGAACCACAGGGAAAGGATAGCAACACTAACCTGGACCTCTTGTGGGATGAGTTGCTGCGAACCTCGACAATAAGCAGAGGGTACTGACTTTAAGTTTGATTTTTTGAGCTCCGACCAAAATAACTAGAAAATAGCCAAGACGATTTGACACTTTTCCCACGCAACCCAACAGCCGAACGCGTCAGGGGATAACGGGATAAGTTTCGAAAAAAAGACATTGAGAAGCATCAAGGAACGTTGCCCGTTGATATACCGTGAGTGATCTTTTCAAAGGTGTTGGGTCAGAGTTTGAGTTACCCTACCATTTTCCCTAATTTTTTGAGGGGCATCGCGCCCGCCCTGAGGTGATTTGTGTTACACCGTGGATAAGGGTTTTCTGTATGGTTTTTTTTACTCATTTTCCAACGTTTTGTGAGATATATTTTCCTCGACCATGCGAACGTTATGATGTCCAATATCTTCCCAACAGTACGCGGCTTACCTTGCTAACCATGTCAGTAGGATTATCATCTCCTCATGGAGGGTGCGCTACCGAATATGCCTGCTGAAGCGGGTGCCGCTGTGGTTCAAGGTATGCAGCCTCCTAACCTCTTAGTATGTTTATGTATGACCTCTTCCCCAGAACAGCCTATGAAACGTCGCCCGGGTAGGCCCAAGGGCAGCGGCAAGAAGCAACACACAAGTGTCCCTGTAGTTACAGGTGAGAAAATTAAGCGACCGGTCGGTCGTCCGAGGAAGGATGGGCTTCCTGCAGGCTCTGTTGGGCCACGCCGGGCGACGCGACCAAGAAAGCCGTCTGTGAAAGTGGCCACTGAGGCTGCGCCACTCCCGCCAGGGGTACCATTTCCAGGCGTGAGTGTCCATGCTACTGTGCGGCTCATCGTTGCTTACAGCTGCTGTGACAGGCGTATTATCCTCAGCATCCTGGAGTACCCCAATGGGAGACGGGGTTGCCCCCAGGTGGTGCCCAGGCGTCGATTTCAGCTCCTCCGCCTGCCCTCCCTGCGGGAAACGTGGTGCCTCAAACGTATTCGATCGACCCCAAACTTAATCGAGATGAGTGGGCTGACCTCATGCGAACAAAACCCGATAAGTTCATGCATGAATTATTAACGGCGCTGGCTGCCCCAAATCCCTCGCCCAATGACGGTCCGACCGTAGAGGACGCTTTCAAGTCCCACCTCAGTTCTTTGGCACCCACCGCCGCGCAGAACAAAGAAGGTCATGCCATACCCTCGCTTTATTCTGTTTTAAAGACTTTTTGGCTTCCCTCGTCGCCAGCTTATCTGTCTTTGATTGCTGCTGGCCCAAACGCTCGTACTCTGTCCGAACACAGGTTTTTATACTGGGATCCTCTGCCTCTGGTATTCAACGGGATTGGATGTAGTAGTTGCGGGGTCCCGCTCCACAACCGAGGGCGGATCAAATCAGGACCTATCAAAGTGTATGACCTCGAGAAGCCGTTCTTTGTTATTGGTTGCGAGTATGTCTGCCGAAGTCCAACATGCCTCACGACTGCGCCACTCGAAGGGAGAAAGTTCGCGAGTACGGACGCTTCCATCATGCAAGCTCTTCCAGCCCGATTGAAAGAGGAGTTTCCTGCTCGGCTTCTTCAGGGCGGGTCCAACTTAGGGAGCGGGCCAAACGTCTGGAATTGGCATGCAATGGGCGTATCGAAATCGCTGTGGAACATGGTTAAAGGTGGTCTGAAAGCCGGCATGTCTAAGGACGCTATCATTCAGGTGATCGGTGTCATTCAGAATCCGCTGAAAGAGGATAAGGAAACACACGAAGAGGAGGAAGATGAGGATGCCGCAGGTGAGGACGTACCAGGCATTTCCGCCGTCATCCAACCTGATGGCGGTGACATGACGATTTCTCAAGTGAGCATCTGATACATCTATTGGGTTGTCTGAAATACTAATAACATTGTTCAGAACACTGCGAATGATTATAGTGGCGTTTGGAAGGGAAGCAATGGCGTGACTGAGGCTGGCCCGAGCCAAACCAATGGTCCACACGCGACATCTTCTAACCTAGCCAATGTCACACCGGATATGCCAAATCAACCAACCACCTCCGCCCAGCCTTTTACCTATGCACAACCCGGTCCTTACGTTGCATATCCATATGCTAACTATCACCCGTACCTCACCCAGGCTCACCCGAACCCCAACGCCTCTCATCCTCAACCCACGCCCTCTGGCCATACTGGAGGTGACCAGAATGGTTTGAAAAGGCCATTTGGTTATGGAGATGGCAATGGCGAAGTCTCTATTCTAGAGCCCTCTCAGAAACGAACTCGACACTGTTGCAAGTGCGGTTCCCAGGATTGCAAAGGCAAAGGGGGGCGCTCGTTCTGTCTTAATGCTTGTCAAGATTGTGGCAAGATAGATTGTCGTGGTAGGAACAGCAGGCGACCGGATAAGGTGTGCTCCGAGGCCTGGAATTGAACCTTACGATGGACATCTATGTGATGTCTTGTGTTTATTAATGCAATGGTTGTCTGCTGCACGACTCGGCATGTATTTAACGTTCGACGGAACCCATGCTCCTCTCGTGCTGTTCGATGTTACTTTGGAACGTGCATTCATACTGTCCACAAGACACTAACTGATGTTGACCGATCTCTGAGTCATATCATGGATAAGTAGTATCGTGTTGGTGCTAGTGTCATTCTATCAATCTTAACTCCATATGTATGTGCTATACCCCACGACAGCCAGACTATATGAGCTTGGTTTACGAAAGGCTCGGTCCACAGTATGGTCCGATTAGCTCGTTAGGATGTGATATCACGTTCGTGCGCCGGTTATGAAAAACCATTCGTCCGCGTTGCCCTACCAAATTTTCGTCTGCCGGATTCCCAGACTACTGTGAAAACAACGAAGTGTAATGCCGTCTGACCGGAGGACGGCAGAAGACCTTAAGTTGGAAGTACACATTATCCCCGGTGCTCGTTGATTGCAAGAGGTCAACGTAGTCGATTAATCTTCGATAACGCTGGGAATGTAGAAAGTGAGGACACCACCAGCATCGGCAACTTCCCCGATGTAAACATAAAGGATCGCGCAGTGGTTTTGACATATGCCTGATCGCATATGTTACACCAAGGACATAATTTCTAGCAAAGTACTTACATGCAATGGTGGTGGTCGAGACAACGTGACTATTAAGGAATTTGAGAAAACTTCGAACAGAAACCAGCACGGAGAACACTGTTTCAGGGTCTGGCTTTTCAGTGGGATCGGGATCGGGATTTCCATCCTCTTCAACTTGGGCTTGCCCTGTAGGGTCATGTTAGCCGGACAGGAATACGACATTGCGATTAGCGAACTCAGGGAAGGGTTGGCACATCCGACCCACTGCGTCTCGACTTTGACGGAGTCTGTGCTAATTGCCACCTGAAGTCTGCCGCTGTTATTGGCCCTGAGGGCCAAGACGTCTGAGAGCGGGCGAAGCCTTTCCACAATCGTCCTTAGCTTCTGGAGAGGTGGCAACAAAATGTGTACCTGGCCGACCGCAGTGAGCTTTCAGCAACCAAAAGACATCGGTGGCTCACATCCGGTTCAGGGCAAAGAGGTTCGCGAAGCTTTTCCACCTCAGCGGGCCGCATCACTTCGATTCGGACGTCATGTGTCACTCTGACTTTACGACCTGATCTCGATACACCGAACATTTCGAAGCTGAGGACAGCTTGGTCATTCTTCTTTGCGAGTTTCATAACCAATTCGTCTGCATCATATGCTGGGAGGATAGAAGAAGCTGCCGAAGTCGACGAGGCAGACGCAGACGACGACCTAAGTGCAGAAAGAAGGGCTTCCGTTGATAAGGCTACCGTGATTTGGTTGTTGGCATTCGATTGTATGCGGTAATTGGTGAATATGGAGTCCACTTTCACAACGCTGGCAGTGGGATTCGGAACAGCTTCACACAAACTCAGAAGTCGACTTAAACTCACGACCACACTTGGATGCCACCCTCATTTGCATCATCGTTGCATATGATATGCATTTCGTTTTCGGAGAACTTTACGATGCATTTCCGCTGGAGCTTTTCGACAGCTTGGATTATACCTGGCAGTACAATGAGTATAAGTCAGAAACGCTCTTGTGCACTTACTCACGAAAGAAGATCGCGACGTTTTCCACCGTCGCTCGGAACCGCATATCCGTCGCGCGACTGAATAAAAATGCTTCCGAAGGTTGTACCATACGTCATAGTCACGTGAGAGACGCAGCGGCGATTAAAGCAGTTTAGGACCGTTGGACGTGTTTTCCGTCTTTCGCTTCTGGACGGTCAGTTTGAAGGACGACTCAAGTGATTGCTCTTTCTACAGTAGTGTGACCATCATGTCTCGAGAAATAATCAATATCCAGGTAAACTGATCGTGCCGATCTTGTTCACGGCTTCTAATGTTGTACAATCACCCTTGTACAGGCTGGTCAGGTAATTGATTCGTCTGCGGATTTCTTGAAAGAATAGTCTAACGACCTATTGGGAAATAGGCAGGAAATCAGGTCGGCACAAGTTTCTGGGAGATGCTTCTTGCAGAACATGGTCTCGATCAGTCCGGGGTAGCTCGTTTACTTCATACGGCACTCGGTTTTGTTACTAAAACGTTCTTCGTCCACCGGTCTGTAGTCATACGTTGGAAACGACCCGCTTCAGACGGAACGGGTGAGCATTTATTGATGGTATTCAAGGTCAATGATTTACCATAAGCTTCTTTCCCTAGGCTGGCGTGTACTTCACGCAGGTCGATTCACATGGTCCAACCAAGTATGTACCTCGGAGCGTCCAAATTGACTTAGAATCTGGCGTGTGTGATCATGTGGGTATCTAGTAGATTGGTCCGTGATCATCTTGGGCTAATTGTAAATAGATTCGTTCCGGTCCTTTGGGAAAGCTTTTCCGACCGGATACTTTCTTTACTGGGGATTCCGGTGCAGGAAATAATTGGGCGAAAGGATGTAAGCTGCAACATTGTTTCCTATCTTGCTTTGTGCTTATTTTTACGTTGGAGACAGACTATACAGAAGGTTCTTAACTGCGCTCTGTTTTGAAGTCTCACTGACTGCGTGCCAGGGGCTGAGCTTATCGATTCTGTTCTCGACATCGTTAGAAGGCAATCGGAAAGCTGCGAAGCCTTGCAGGGTTTCCAGATCATCCACTCTCTTGGTGGTGGAACTGGAGCTGGTCTTGGATCTCTCCTGCTATCTAAACTGCGCGAGGCAAGTCATTTAAGATCCCAAGTGCTCAAGATGCTCTTCTAAACCCCTGCAGGAATATCCTGATCGTATGCTTCAAACCTTTTCAATACTACCATCGCCGAATGTACGGTCTCCGGTTGTTTGTCTGTTGTCTCATCGCTAACGGAGCAACAGGTGTCAGAAACTGTGGTAGAGGTTAGTGCCAACGTCCTCGTGTTCTAGTGTCATTCCAACGCGTTTCTTAGCCTTACAATGCGCTCTTGTCGATCCATCAACTCGTGGATAACTGCGACCTCACGATCTGCATCGACAACGAGGCTTTGTGCGTGTCATTTCTACACCGCATCTCTGTATCTAACAAAGTCGTCAGGTATGACATTGCAGTGCGAACGTTGAAGATCAAGACACCTGATTTCAGTGATCTCAATCAAGTAAGAGGCAGTTAAGGCTAACTTGCCCCGCGTATTGATAGCTTTACAGATAATTTCGAGGGTAATGTGCGGAGTGAGCACGAGTCTTCGCTTCCCAGGCCAACTGAACGGGTAAGTGCATTGATGGTCTTGAAAGGATTGTCTAACGTCCCGTTAGTGACTTGCGTAAACTGGGCATGAATCTTATTCCGTTCCCTCGAGTGAGTCTTCCAAGATCTTTTTGAAATACCTTGCCCATTCCCGTAGCTTCATTTCCTCATGCCGAGCTATGCTCCCTCTTATGATCCCAAAGCTAGTGCCTTCCAGAAAATGTCGGTTCCTGAACTCACCAACTTGTGAGTTTCCACTGACTGGTTCTATATGAAGTATCCAATTTTCCTCGCAGGCTATTTGACCGACGGAGTCTTCTTGTTGCATGTGACCCACGATTCGGGTGCGTTTTTATTTTTGCTAGGCTGGCCTTTAGTTCAAGTGGTGTGTAGTCGTTATTTAACTGCTGCCTGCATTTTCCGGGGCAAGGTGTCTTCTGTCGAGGTAAGTGGAGCTGTGGTTTTGCGAATGGAATATTGATATACCTACGTAGGCGGAAGTAAGCGATGTACGTTATCCTCCAAATTCAGCTGACCACTTTACTCCTCCCTAGACCTCGATAGCGCAGCTTCAGCGCAAAAATTCCAACCTCTTTGTAGAGTAAGTCTACTTCTTTTGCCTGGCATTCAGTGCTTACCACCTCACAGGTGGATTCCGGACAATGTTTCGGTGTCCCTCTGCTCTGTACCTCCGGTGGGGCAAACTCAGGTAAGTTATTCGTATCGTCGGTATCAGTACCTTATTCTTTTTAAGGCGGCCGTGGCACTTGCAAACTCAACATCTATGCAAGAGCTTTTTATGCGCAATCTCAACCAGGTATGTAGATGCGATGCGACCTGGCCACCTATGATTCATGCGTTTCCGCACGCAGTTCGCTCTCATGTTCAAGCGTCGGGCCTTCCTTCACTGGTACACTGGAGAAGGAATGGACATGATGGAATTCTCTGAAGCGGAGAGTAACACACGGGATTTGGTGTAAGTCGCATCTTCACATTCTCAACGTTCACTGAATAATGTTTTCTATGCACCACAGTGCCGAGTACCAGCAGGTGAGCAATCGTTCCCCTGAGTTACGGTTTGTTTTTATGAACTTTTGTCCGTTTCGCAGTATCAAGAAGCAGCTGCCGATGATGATTTTGAAGAAGTCGTGGATGGGGAAGACGAAGCCCAATAGCGTCTGATACCGAATACATTTTGCCCCGATTTTGCACCTTGATCTTACAACTCAAGCATTACCATGTTGGATTTTCTTTACAGTAATTGAATTACAGGAGCACACCGTCATTACCCTACATTTGTGAAGTGTGAGCTGGCTGCAACGACACTCACCATACTTCGTTATTGCAACACTGCCGTCCCTTATGAGGAAGCTGGTGAGTTAGTCGTCCTATACGGTGAAACCTCGGCTTATTTACAAATCCCCCTTGTCATGATCTTACGTCTATCCTGGTCATGAGGCCTGAAGGCAAAGTATCATTGGTTGATGATAACATTTTGTTCGCGTCATCTAGCCCTTTCGCTATTGAACGTGCACTTATCTATCGTATGCTCGTTGACTTTCGGAGATTACGAGGATCGGCCCCCCCCCCACCTGACCCACTAGTGTTTGTTATATAAAACGAGGGTATGTTGGTCGTTTCACCCAGCTTCTCTATCCTCTTGTAAACCATAGCATAATGGACCCAAACCCACTGCCATCACGTTTCCTGCAACTGAAACGAGAGATTATCTCAATGACCACCGGAGAACATCTTATCTCAGCATGGGGCGACCTTTTGCAAGAGGTGGCCAAACGAACTGATGAAATAATCCAGCAAGGGCATGATGTAAGTGCTTGTGGAATTCCGGTATTCGTGTTGACTCTTGGGCAAGTCCATTCCTCAAGTGAACTTCAGCGATTTAGACGCATTATCTTCGGAACAAATCGACGCCATCAAACGAAGGGGGTCAGTCGTCATTCGGGGCGTCGTGGACTCGACCGAGGCAGCCCAGTGGAAGTCCGACTTAGTTGAGTTCATAAACAACAACCCCCACTCCCCAGGTAGTTTTTTTTTTTTCATGCTCACCAGTCCTTGGTCCCACTACTACGGTGTAGGCTTTCCTGAGGGTGATAAACAGTTCTTCCACCTTTAGTGGGTAACCTTTCTTTCCTTGCATCGATTACGGTTGGTCACACGAGCCCCCGTTAGTTGGACTCCGTCCCAGGTTCGCGCACGAGTCCATCCCAACGTTCTAAAGGCCAACGCATGGCTCAACAAATTGTACCATTTCAAGTCCGGTAAAGGCGCTGATGGTGTCGACCTTTCGGTTCCTTTAGTATATGCTGATCGCTTCCGCATACGCCATCCTGGAGTGCAGTGGGATGCCTTCCCCCCGCATGTAGACGGTGGGTCCCCTAGATCCAGGTCGGCCAGCCGAGAATAATACTAGGTCTTATTTGAAGGAGGTACCATTGAACGGTGGGAAGATCGTAATCTCCGGCGCTGCTTCCAGGACATACTCGCCGGCAATTGGCGCGCGCACGACCCTTACGAACTGGAACATCGTCTTGACGCAAGAAGTTCTTTGTATGGCCGCCCGGACCAGGTTTGATATTGAATCTGCTTAGGCGCGCGGATGGCTCATACTCCCATCTTCAGGCGAGCGTGTTCAGAACCTTTCAGGGGTGGTTAGCTTTGAGGTAGGATGCATGTCTTTCAACTTTCCAACTCTGATATGATTACTCTGCAGCGAGACGGCGCCAACGCAGGGAACATTAAAGGTTTTTCCTGACGTAGTAATCTCGAACGCCTACATTATGCTACGTCCGTTCTTTCGCCCCGTAGTTCCACTGGACGATCCTACAATCCTCGATCCCAAGAACTGGGAACTCGGTGAGAACACGTTTTGCAGACCGTGGTCGCTGCTATCTCAACCACGTTGTTTTAAGACACATCCACACCTGATTTTCCTGGTATCATACCATGGAATACTGGCTTCATAGGTCCACGACCCACTCCTGAGCTTCACCCTCACCTTCGGCTTGACAAGACCATGACTTCAGTACCGAAAGTCTACCCAGGGGATATGGTATTCTGGCATTGCGTGAGCATGTTTCGGCTTGATGTATGTGCTTGTTGCTCACGCCGCGGTAGGACGTCGTCCATTCCGTCGAGCAAGAGCATACGGGTGCCAATGATTCAGCAGGTGAGTATCGATAATTCAGGATCAAGAGGATGGCTTAAAGCGGGCTGTTTAAGTGATATATATTCCTGCCATGCCCCAGACTCCGCAGAATTTAGCATATGTTCAGAGGCAAGCAGAAGCCTTCCTGACGGGACTTAACCCCCCAGATTTCGGACAGTCTATGGAGGGTGTTACTTACGTCGGACTCGCCGTGGAATCCGACATCAAAGAGCCTGCTGGCAGACTAGCTATGGGTCTTCCCATTCAGGTTGCCTAATACTTCTGTGACGGAGCAACAGCGAAGGGATTTCAGCTCATCACGGAGAAGCACGTGTATACGTATTGCGAATGTTCTACAACGAACTTGAACTTGAACTATGTACCTCGCGAAATATACGCATTGATATCACCACTTTGAATATGGTAGGAATTTCCCGCTGTGATACGACCGTCAGAATAACTGAATAGTATCACTGAACACCTTTCGCTCACTCAAATGTAAGAACCACACGGTCACCCTTTGGATCGGGCTTCTTGGTCACGTGAACCTTGCAGTCGATCATGGACATGATGCCGTCGCCGAACTACTATTTCTTAGTTTCAGTTCAGTTGCATTGTGACAAGAATTACCTTCTCGTGAATGATAGCCTGAGGCGGTCTTAGATGACTGTCAGGTATCGAAGTGCATTTGCTCACCTTGATCGCATGCCCGTACACCAGAACGCCCTGCATCCATACACTCAGAAAGATAAGTTGTAATATTATTGGCACTAACAGACCTCGTATAAGCGATAGAGAAGAGGGTCCGTCGGTGGCATCGGCCCTAAACCACGGTTCGGCCACCAGTGAGCTCCAAGATAACCCTGAATGTTTGCGGCAGGGATATCGAGGACCCTGCCAAGTGCTTCTATCTCCTCCGGGGCGAGTTTTGCCTGTGACAGATCGGTTAGCTTCCGCTACTATGTACCTACTTGCGATTGTCAGATACCTGACCGTAGAACGCCGCTGCAATCCAGACTTCATCTCTGCCAATCGCCTTGGCCACCTCGTCGAACGTCAAACCTTGAGCGAAGTGTCCAGTACCAACATGGCCCACACTCGTCACTAGCTTACCTTTCCTCGCCTTGGCCTCAAACAGCGCCACATTGATAGGGGGAAGATCGGAGTACGGTTTGCTGCTGGACGAAACAGACTAAACGAGTTGCATAGGCAATCAAATTTCAAGATAGTGTTGGTTCTTAACACTAACCACAGTTTCAGACATTGTCGTCGGCGGGTAAATATGAATTTCACGGAATGCTTACTGGAACGCCTTTTATCTCTTTCCAGGCCAGCGATGACGATAAGCTTAGCTCATGACACGTGGTCGAAAATGTTCCCGAGTGACCACGAGATCACCATGAGAGTTTCTTCCTCCCGATCGGCCTTTGGAACTCGCTACTAGCATAGCATGTGTATAATATTGGCCAATATAACACCAAAGCTACGACCTAGAATCCTCGACCCCGTTCTCACTTGATACTGGTTTCCAAACGCCTCTTGTCGCGTGCATCAATTCGTACAACTGACTCAATTGCTCCGGAGACATCTAAACCATGTACATAGGTGGGTTCGACAGTTCCGGACTCTCTAAAAGCAGAATAAGAGACATACTTTCTCGAAGATTGTGGAATCGAGCTTCTTGAAATTCTTCGCGCTTGGGTCCCGTGGTAGCTCGTCCAGGTATCTCTTCCACTGTGTGAGGAAGCCCATTACGTGTACTGGATTAGTAACTTCCCTGTGGAGTCGAAATTCTGTTCCTATGAGCGCGATGAGGGTGAACGATGGTATAGAGACCCCTGACCTGCCTTGACATATCCGTCCCCGAGAGCACGCATCTCTCGAGGAAGATTCCTATGTGCTCGCAGTAATCTGCGGTAAAGGCTTCATCGACGGGTAAACGAGTTTTCGTTGCACTGTTGCTCTTCGAGAAGACGTACGGTATTGGCGGGTATAAGGTCGCGCTTGCCCTGCGAAGATCCAGGGAGGGCCTTGCGGCAAGAGATTCTGCGAGTAACCTACAACTCCTTTGCATCTGGCGACTTCGGGTCAATGATTGGACGTTGCCAGAGATGAACAGTGAGATGATCCAGAACTCCAAAGTGTGGGGTTTTCTGGTTGGTTTGTGGCTTCGTAGTCAGTCAACCGGAAGTATGTTGCCAACACCGCGTGCAGGTATTGCCGGTGGGAAAACTGGCTGAAGCGTGACTGGATGTGTCACCGATGATCCTTTGCCTCGTCGGTAAGTCCTACCATCACAGAAACTGGTGGTCCTGTTTGACTTGGTGACAGTGCTTCGGTAACGGTTTCCCCGTGTGATCCCTTGCTTTCCCATTCGTGGGCACAGGATTTACAGACTACGTTCCATTTACGCACCTAGCGGGACTTCGTTGTCCCTGCACGTGCTGCCTGTCCTCGTTTCAAGACCGACCTACGTCTTCCGCACACTCAGGGTTCAGCCTTTTTCCTCAGTGTTTCAATCTCAGTAAGTTCGGTTGCCGTGATTTAGTTCTTGTTCATTATAACTCTTGGAGGGTAAGTACTTTTACCCTACATTACATTGTCCTGTCTAGTCATTGGCCAGTTATGACCGCGGTGGCCTGCCCACTCCCCCTGTGTGCGGATACCCCCCTCCCCCTGGGTCTCCCAATAGTCCGCTGTTCCCTACGTCAGCTGTACTAATCCATTTCCAATGTAAGCGGACCCTACTTATTCCCCGTCTTCGTCTGACGTAGGCAAAGCTGAGAAATCCATGAAGTGCCTGGCAACTATCCCTTCTTCAGAACAGGATTAGTTCTTTTTGAGCATGTCGTGAAGTGGCTCTGTTGGTATTCGCCGGTGGTTAAGGTCAATTCGAGTGCCACCCTCTTCTGGCCAGTCCCTGTTCGGCTCTGGGTGGTTGCCCAAGTCTGGGGGATAAGTTTCATTCAGAATGGAGGCTTGTATGACCCGTCATTCCAATGCAATTGGTGCTTAGGATTGAGGACGTGTTACTTTCTCATATTCTGAATTGTGGCGTTCCAAAATCTCATTACCTATATTGCTTAGCATAGGAATGATACTTCGGCCCAGATACTTTCAACCTGGGACAAAAAATACCGAACACCACACAGGAATCTTAGGATGACAAGGGCAGGATATACCGGAACGTCTTCCGACTGGTTTGCGTACGTAAACAATAGACACTGCATCCTGGGTGAAGCGCTGAGCCCCGGCACATCTGCACAGGTATACAAACTGAAATCGGAGAAAGATGAAGACCTCGGAGGACGCCGTGCGGTGTCACGGGTGAACCGGCGTGTACTACCGAGTGGGCTGCTCGGAGGGTGTGCTGGGATGCTTCACGTGTGCCCCGGTCTTCTGGGGAGTTGCATGGACGAATGAGGGCGTGCAGGGCGATGACGCAAGGAGTAGGGATGATAGTCTACGGCGTTTTGGACCACGGCGCGATGTCGGCGATTCGAATTCGGGAATCCGGGACCGCCATAAGCGATCGTCTTGAAGTCATTCTGACTGCTTCTGCCTGTGGTCAAGGAGTCGGATACAACAATGCACTTGAATTGTCACGGTTGGCGGTGATTCGGCTCACACTCGCCAAGGATGTATGTTTTTCCTTCTTCAAATGTCGGTCGTCATCTTTTTTATTTACGAATCCTGCATCTGCGTCGGTCTTGGTGTTCATGGTCCAGGCGGGATCGATATGTGGACAATATCTGATCGTACCGGGGTAGATGGATATGGCTTTACCGATTCTTCAACCTATAAAACAAAGGGCTAGATTGCTCCACTTTCAGATCAATATGGCCTCTTCACACTTGATCACTTCTTCAAGTCCACACCCCGCGGCAAGTTCACCTTATACAAATCACCCAAATGAAATGTGCCACCTGGAGGGGTTTGGTGAAGACCTGTCGTAGACAAACACATTCTTGTCTGCTGATTTTTTCGCTGTAAGTTCTATCCTCATCGGCGGTTTGGTTGCCGTTATGTACGTGTTTCTTTGCTTGATTTGTCATGTCTTTATCCCATGTCAAGGTTATATGGTATAACGACTCTCCAGGGGCGTTTTAAATAGAATGATCAGGCTAGTGCTCTACTTACTGGTTACATAGACTTATTTGTATTACACGCACTACTTCGAGGACGCCTCGACCATCAAGCTTCTGGTTGCTGCCATATGGTGAGTTAGACTATCCTAGAACATCAATTTGCTCACGCAATGTCAGGATTCTTGATACCCTACATGTCTCATTCAGTGAGTACTTGGTTCTTCCAACCAGATGTGTGGCTAATACCCGACTTAGTGTGTCATATGCTGTGTTACTACCTGGTAAAGTTGATGTGTCCGCTTCTTGTAACCATTATATATCTGCCCAATTATTATAGATAACCAATTACTGCGTTCTTACGAGTTTAGAGTTTATTGTGTGGTTCGTACGCCATCTATTTCAAAGCTGCTCCCCGCTGATGATACATGGCAGGTCATTCCCAGTATGTGAACCACAATTTCTACAACACACTTTTTTGAATGTTTTCCCTCCTTAGGCATCAGTTCTAGTGAACGTGCACCCCTTTCATTTCAGAAACCTTCATAATTGGATTGAACTGTGTTCCAGCTACTTGTTATTACTGTAGTTCAACTGTAAGTGACTGTCTTTTGTGAATTGTTGGTCATAGACTGAATATCGCTAGCTTCTCTGCACATAAAATATATTCCCGTATGTCGCATTCGGCCTGTGTGTGGAGATTTTGCTGATCAGGATTCAGTTTGTCGCCCTAAACTGAAGTGGTTGGTGACTGTCCCAATTGTGAGTACTTGTGCTTGTGGCAAAGATATTATCTGGTAATGTAGTCGCATAGATGTTATTAATACTGGTCGACTTCGGTGAGTTTTATTTTATTTTATTATAGCATTGGCGGCGTTTCTAATGATATTTTAACAGGGTTTGAAATGGGTTCGTGCTGTTCTTCCACCGCATGAGACCTATTCTAACCAGCAAACAGCGATGATCGCTTCGATGTAATCCTATCTGTCCAACCATCTTCACTAAAACGCTGATCCTTTGCTTATAGGTTGGCCGACAATGAAGTCCGCATTGCTATGCAGATCAAGGTAATTTTGTTAATAGAGACATTGGTGCATCAACTCAAGAGTTGTTATTCCTAGTCTTCCGTTGTGATACCCTTTGGGGCCTTCAACATACTGACTGAGGGTCTGATTGCGATGTCACTCTCTTTACTTTTATATGAGCGTAGCTCACACTCCTCGTCCCCAAGGTGACTCCTGTCTGCCTTGATGGTTCATAGCTAATGAATTCTGCTTAGGACAAAGCGTCTCCTGAATACACTTATCATCTATGCTGTTAACCGGTGTTTACTGACTTTGTAAGCTTGATCCTTCTTCCCTTTCCGACCTTGACCTTTCATTGTAGATTAGTCACCACTGCAGAGCTCGTCACGGTATGTATGACATGTTGCACTGGTGTTGCTCTCACTCTGCCTTCAGAGCATTGGTCGCCATTATGCGTGGTCCATGGCACTGGACTTCATCATTGGAAAGTGTCAGTCTGTTCTGCCTTGCGAACCATGGATACAATAACCCAGCCTACTATCAAACAGTATACACCAACTCGCTTCTGGCATCGCTGAATACCCGTCAACACAATCGATCCCAGGTTTCAGGCGCCGTGACTGATCTACGTATCAGAGCTATCCGCTTCGCAAACCCACCACAACTTCCACAGATCGCAGAGATTTTCAAGAATGGAGAAAGGCTTTTTGATGTGTACGAAGTGGGTGTTATCGACATCACTGCCGTTCCGACATGTGTTGAGATGGCAGAAATACGAACAAAGGGAGAGGTGTGATTCTAGTTCCATCCTGCATTCGCCATTCAAATATTTACCATTCGTGTTTTCTTTTCTTTCCTTTGTTATTCATTTAGAAGATAAAACATTGTATTCCAGGTGTGATGTATCAGCTACGCGCAAGATATTGCTCTTGCCTCCCGAATGGTGAGGCTACCGGAGCACTATATGTCATCAGATTTAGCATGATTATGTAGTGATAGTAGTATGTAGTGAAGACACAACATAGACGTGCTAGCCCTTCCAAGATTTCGAGATTGTATCAAAGGCCGGTCAACCAGAGATGAGGTGGCAACACTCATGAGAGAATTGACGATGTCTCAGGCGTGTATATCGGTATCAAAAACGTGGGGACGAGAATGGCGTCGCACACACCTGCCAACGTGTGGATGGGTATAGAGTATGTAAGTTGGGACGTACACGAGGGAGGTTGTCACGATGATACAGCTTGACACGGCCTGGCAACAGCTTCGAGGTCAATCAAAGAGAAACCGCTCACATCCGTGAGCAGCGTTGTGTTCTCAGACATCCTCTGCGAATGAGAGAAGACTCTTTCCCTCACGCTTCGATTTCTTTCTCGAAGTTTTCTTCGGTTGGCTGCCTCCACCGTCACCTTCGTTATCATCCGTTATGATCTTCCGCTTGGCCTTACTTGCGGTTGAACTGGATTTTTCTCTAGAGGACGAAAAAGACAGGCTAGTTGTGTGTTTTGTTTTTGCGGATGGTTTATCTCCTGTTGACTGTTCTTTATCCTCCTTTTGCGGTGGATCCTCGTTTGTCGGCAGTAACGGAAGGCCCTTCGCTGCAGGGATTGATTTTAAGTGGAAACAGGGCAAGCATGGAGTAGCGTCACGAACCTTTCCTCCTCTCGTTCTCTGCTTCCCTCCCAGTGAGATGTTTGCCTTCCTTCAGCACAACAACCTGAGGTCTTTCGTCATCATCATCCTCACTAGCGCTTCCCCGCTCATTGTTGGGGCGCTCTGGGATGTCTGGTCGAATAGGAATCGGCGGTCGGCCTGAGCCATCGTCGTAGTACTGAGGCTCGTCCTCGTCCTCAGCTTGACCTCCTCGGACTCTGTTCTGAAATCTTTGGAGGAAAGCGGGTGTTTGAGACTGGTATTGTAAGCGAGACGAGAGTTGATGTCTGCTAAGTTCCTTGGGGGGAGCCATTCAAGTCACTAGTAAGTAGTGTCCAGCAGTGAAGCAGTAAGTAGCCTATTAGACGCTGTTGACGCGGGTGCTATAGTCGGGGCCCTCGGCCTTCGACTGTATACTTCACCTTGTTGGACTCCTCGACACGAGAACCGCCTGAAGGAGGCAAATGTTGTACATCAATCCAGTCTTGTGTGTCTGACTAGGGGAAGTTATCGCAAGGAACATGACAACAACACTCAACGAACTGGATGACGATACTCTCATCTGGATCTTCTCCGCACTTTCAATTCCAGATATTCAAGCCCTCAGACGGGTGAGGTTGTTCTTCCCTGATCTGCATAACGTGGGCTGAGCTCCGCCTGATGATTGAGGTTTGCCGTCGACTATGGTACATATCTATCCAACATGCCGTCTGGCTAAACGCATGCAAGGCCCACATCCTACAGGAAAATATACCGTTCCCAAGTCGTCCCCTGTGCTCCCTATGTTCCAGAGAACTGGAACGACTTACAGTCCGTGCATACCACCTAGGCCGGAATTGGAGAGCTCCGAACACTCGGTTACGCCTCCTCCGAACTGTCCCCAGTAGCACCGGGGCTATCGAGGAGATAAAGTTCCTGGCGACTGGTGGCAAAACCTGGATCATCACAATATCCAGGGGAATATGGTCTGATCTATATCTTTGGGACTGCGATGCTATGCAACTCGTCGGTCACTGGAGTCCAGGAAGAGCCTTGTTCGACGGAATGGTCACTAATTCAGATCAAAGTTCGGCTGCGGTGATTGCAATATGCGTCAAACACTCTAGGTCATTGTCGACTACATGCTTTCATCGTGTTTCTGCGGCTGATAAGTTCGCAGTTACTCTGTTGTTGAAATACTCTCCATCATTTCGGACGTCGATCTATGCCAAGTATCTTTTTGCCCAATTACTACCCTGCAGACTCGGTACAAGCCAGTTACTCTGCGGGGCGACATTATCGCACTTTCGGACCACGACTCCGAAACGTTGATCATGAATTGGAAGACTGGTAATCAATACCTTCTGTGTAGCCCTGATACTTGGCAGGTGATGACATCTGGATCACCCATCACTGAAACTTGACGTCCTCGAACAGGATAAGCCATTACACGTGACATTTGCAGGAGGACACGTTTTTGTAGTGCGAGCCCGGTCAGTTTGTATTTTCGCGGAACCACCCTTTGCTCGGCCAGATGACGAGACAGCCGTGAATTTGCCGCATAGCTACACCTCCTTTGGATGGGTTGACGGAGTCTCGTTGTCTGTAGGCCCTGTGGTACGATATGCGGAGAAGGATCCTCCGTTCCTGTCTTTACTGGTCCGCACGAAAGGGGATGATCCATGGTCGTTGAAAGACCAATTCCAGTTTTTCACGGTTGGCAGCAGTCTTCCCACCGAAAGCTCAATTGGGTTGCCTGGAGAAACATCCTTGACCGATTCTCTCCCCCTGCCGAGATTGGCGTTATCCTCCAGCCTCACGTGCCCAAATCGCGGACCACTTCGTTGTAGTGACATGGTCCTCGGTCGTTACGGCTCAGCTGCATGGGTGCTTCCCGCTGATCGTTCCATCGCTGGGCTCATTTCAGAGCATGTCCATTTACAAACAGTTCCGGTCCCGACTTCCAACCAGACGCTCATTATTGCGGCTTTCCCTGGTCCTTTGAGCAGCGAAGCGCAGGTTAAAGCATCAATTGAAAATGAGGAGGGCTCTTCCTGGTCTTGCCTAGACTATGACGAGGAACACGGCCTCATAGCACTTGGATCATCCACTGGGGATATAAATATATTTAGCCTGTAGCGCACGATCTCTCAACAATGTAAGCAGTTTTTGGTTTCCTACACCCGGTCTAGGTGTATGTAGTTACTAGCAGTAGTACTAGATATTGACTTCTGGCTCTTCTCAGAAACGTTATGATCGCCGCGCGACACAGTCAAACCAATTGCTCCTACAGACAGACCGCGGCTTCCTACTAACCAACAACTCACCCGCCGTGCACTTGTGTCGACGGTTGGCCGCCTAAGTGAACAGTACCATGTCTCTTTGCTCTTTGGCGCCATCCTTGGTTAGAATTTGTACGCGGCCCACCCCGTCGTGGAGATTGATTCACAGCTCGAATACCCTCCCACCACCTCCTTCCCTGACAACCTTGGAGACTTTGCAACATGCAAGGGAAGCACGCCAGTGGCTGTCCCAGTTCAAAACTGCTGCTGCGGTGCCAAAACACTTGGTGGAACTAACGTTCTCCCGAAGTTCAGGGCCTGGAGGACAAGTTCAGCCTTGCATAAATTCTTTAAAGTTTTATTGGCGTCTGACGTCCAATATTGCAGAACGTGAACAAAGTGGCGACGAAGGTGACTGCACGATGTCAACTTGACGCGTCTTGGATTCCTCTGTGGGCCCGGGAATGCCTCATGCGGAGTGTACGCTATTGTTGCATCAACTGTAGCGGCCGTGCTCTCAACTACTTCCTTAGCCCTGCTATGTTAAGTCCTCCAATTCTCTCTTAGTGACTTCCAGCGCATCTCGTTCACAAGCACTCAACGTCGACGATTCGCTCTCTAAGGTTTGCAGTCATTTATTGCATTCCAGTCGGACTGATTTGAAAGTTTTGCCAAAACCAGTTGCACAAATTAGTGACGGAGTGTGCGTCGAAGGTGATCCCAACGCCTACTTCTGAGGGACAACGACAACACGTTGCTTCACTCCGCAAAGAGGATGCTCAGCGCAGGATAAAACAGAAAAACTATCGAAGTCAGATCAAGAAGAGCAGGTCTAGCAAAGGTTGGGACTAGCCGCAATGTTGTGTGTTGTGCTAGCTGCATCTACTGGTCGTCACCCCACGCTTGGCAGGAGTTTCTAGCCAATGACGCCGGAAACAGGAGACAATGATCTCGAACGCATGTTTCTTTCCGAGATTAGCCACCTCGAAGACAGCGTCCATCCAGATACTGCATTGCATGATATCACCAGCAGCATTGTTGGTGTATGCTCTGCTGTTGTACTGGCTTGGGGTGCTGGTGCCGGTTTACGCGTCCTTTAGATTCAACCAACGTGTCGTAATAACAAACAGTGTCATACACTTACACGCGAACAAAATGTGTGAAAGTGCTGGCATTCAATTATCCGTTCCTTAATGCAGGTGGAACATGGATATAAGATGTGAGAGATATTAGGTACCTGCATGCAAAATGTAATCCGTCACTAGTTTCTTGAATTCGTTTGGTCTTGAAAAGGTCAAGATGAGCAAGCATTGAAGGACCGAAGAGCACACGAATCATACTTCTCTGCGTGAACTGATTGTATAACGCGTTAGCAAATGCAAAGTGGGGAGTGGGGGATCACTGACTCCAATGTCCGGTGTCTAGCTCTGTTACGGTAGCTTCCGGGAAAAAACTGCTTGATGATCGGTACACTACGCCTATTGATATATCTGCAGGGCATAGTGTGAGATTTTGTTGCCTCGCAAGCAAGATATTCGACTTACTTGCTTTTCGTTCCCTTTACAAACAGAGTGTTCCCGTGAAAGCTCCGCTCACCAGGAGCCCAGGGGAAACTCTCGATCTCGGACCTTCCTTCCTTCAGTATGTCTATGGGTATTTTGAACTTCAAGGCCGCGGAACGTGAATTGGTATCGAGGTTAGTCAATAAAAAGGCGCGGACGAGCGGATCCTGGGCAACAGTTAGTCATGGATAGCACGAATACTTGATCTTACCTTCTCATAACCTTCAAGAATCTCATCAGCCTCCTTTCGAGTAGTAATCCCGTTACCCTCGATTGTTTCCATCCCCTTGATGTGCAAAACCGTGTCTTCGGAGACCTTGGCACGTACGGGAGCAATATCAGATACAACTACTTTAGTTAAAATATCAGCTGGAGTTTCGGGGTGGAGGGCAAGAGTCATTGCAAGCTTTGCCACCCCTTTGAGTAGTGTGCTTAACAATGTCCGGGCATGGATTATGAATTGAGAAAACATACATCGAATGCCCAAGGAGCGATACGTTTGACAATGAAAGCGTACGAATGAAACCTAGTACGTCCGCGGCCATGTGCAGATATGTCATCGGTCGACTGTGAGGTGAGGAGCCGTGGTTGCGCAAATCCTTGCTTTCACCTAAGTCCGAACAGCGTGCAGAGGTGGGACCACAGACGTACCAAAGCATATACAGGACGTCGGAGCTCACGCATGAACGCCTTCGAAAGCGATTGCCAGTTCCGCTTAGATCCACTATGTGCACTTGGTCACGGAGAGGTATGGCGCGGAGGCGAGATCATGGCATACAAAAAACCGTGCAGGATGACCAGTGGCTGGTCGGTTGCATTTCCGTTCGGAGGTATGTATTCATCGTATGCCAGTGGCACCGATGACAAGCCGGACAAGGGCCTCCCTGAAGCAAGACATTGAGTTGCAACTACAATGGTGTCTAGAACGCACAGTACTTTGACGCATTCGGAATGCCAAGGTTAAACGGGCGCAGTTCCATCTAGACTGTAGTAGTAACATGGCATGCGGGTGTTGCGGGCTGAGGTTGCGCGTGAATTTGAGTGTGGCACGTTCCGGCTCAACGTCTTAAACACTCACCACGACCACCGTTGCACCACAATGGTCTCGGTAATCGTAGTTCCAGCAGGGAAAGCGCCCTCCATTGCTTGTCAACTACCCTACACTGTCGAGCTTCCTGGAAAACAAGTAGAAGACACGACTATTGGGGACATCAAGGTAGCCCTTGCTGGACGGTTCCCTAAGGCAAGCTTCGTGACCACGTCCAGCAAGTTGACCCGCTCAGATCAGCGGTAGTTTTATCCAGCGCGGCAAAAGATTGCACTGAAGGGCAATAAGAACGCCCTGCAGGACGAAGTCAAACTGATTGATGCTGGCGTGACTGATGGCGGTGAAGTATCGGTGAAGGACCTTGGTCACCAAATTAGTTGGAAGACCGTGTTTCTCGTTGAATACGTGAGTCATATGTGACTGCTGGACCCCGCTTTTCTGACTTGACTTTCCAGGGAGGTCCGCTTGTGATTCACCCACTCCTCTACCACTTTCCAAAGGTATTTTGGGGTGGACCGGTTTATCATAGTACGCTGCAGCGGTACGCAAACCTACCCAGAATTCAACAAACGCGCTCATCGTTGCAAGATTTGTCTACGCGCTCGTGATGATCCATTTCATGAAACGAGAGCTGGAAACGTTGTTGTAAGTAATGTTCCTTTTTTCATTCGTGTGGTCGATACCCAGTTCCATCTACCTGCAGCGTTCATAGGTTCTCGCACGGTACCATGCCTTTAATGAACATTTTCAAGAAGTGCGTATCAAATTGAGACTTCATTTCCTATTCACCACTCATGTACCCACACAGTTCCGCCCACTACCATTTGCTGAGCGGTATCCGTCCTCTTAATTATTGATCCAAGCATCCGAGCTCATGTACCATTACCTGGCTAGGGCTGGCGTTGGCGCTCTCTGTCTACAGTCCGAATTTTGGGGCCACATCCCCATATATCCGCGGGACTGTCCGAGACGATCCAACATTCATCTGGGCATGCACAGCCGTTTGGATTGTGCGTCATTTATACAGTCGCGACAATTTCACTTTTTATTCAATTTTTTTTAACAAAAAAACTAGTTTGCCGAGGTGTCTAACTTGATAACTCATATCAATCTTCGCCATCTTCGTCCGGAGGGAACCCGCAAGCGGGCCATCCCGTTCGGCTATGGTTTCTCGCTCGTTTCGTTCCCGAATTACTTCTTTGAAAGCATTTCTTGGCTCACCATTGCTGTGATGACGGGAAGTTTCACTGGTAGGTTGATGATAGTCATCTGTTTGGTCGCGTCTTTTACATTTAACGTACAGCTTGGATATTCCTTGTGGTTTCCACCGGACAGATGTATATCTGGGCAGCAAAGAAACACCGTGCGTACAAGAAAGAATTTGGAAACGCGTATCCGAAGAGGAGGAAGGCCATGTTCCCCTTTATTGCGTAGATACGCTTAGTTGCTTTTCTGGTAGTTTGGCAATTGTTAGGTGGTTCACCGGAGAATATCCGAAAGAATGACGGAACTGCTTGCGTATACCGGATCGTCAGGTTACTCTTTGAGTGGGAACCAAGTACAAGCTTGAGATGGAGGGGTACTGAAGTTGGTTTGCACGATGGAAATGTAGTCACATAAAGTTCGTTGATGCAGCACGACGAAGGTGGTCATTACACATTTGCAGCTTTCCGTAGCATCTGGCTGGTAGCGTCATGCCCATCTGCATTACGTGCACCGAACCAACTCCACATCTCTACACAGTTTACGACTCTGCTTACAACCTCCGCCTCGAGCAATGTGTCAGTGTTGTTTTAAGTCGGTGCAAGCCTAGCAAGTTGACTTCCACCCAACCACCAGAAAAAATGTCTATCGTTTGCTGACCTATACGTCGAGCATGACAGCTTGACCCTTATTCTCGACTTGATCTTGCTGAAGAGAGGTGTATACAGACATCTACTCTATAACAGAGGGTCAGAACCGCGCATTGTCTCGGAGAGCAAGGTAAGTTGCGTGGCCTCTTGATGGTACCCGTAAGATGTAGAACTCCTTAGGCTCCGCTGGCACAGAACACGGCAATTCCTACCAACAAAAACGATGTGGAGCTCGCTAAGGAGAAGGTCACGAGCCTATCAAGTTTCGGACGCTTGCTGACGAGTCACAGGCAAGGTGGATACGGATACTCCGTCTCGGCAGCGGGATGGTGCTCGTGGATGCATGTCAGTGTCGGTGAAGACATCCAATTTTTGCGTCGTCTGACGGATTCATTCTAGTTATTCGCTGGGCGCAACTGAGTACGACTTCCAGCTTTATCAGCGTTGATGGTCTTCAGTCTTAACATTCCTTCAGACCCTGCAATATCTGCTGACATTTCGCAGTGGAGTAACGAAACAAGTGCTGTATTTCTGCGCATATTAGTTGGTTGCTTTGTTGGTATGTAACTTGCTGGTTGTCAGGTCGCCCTTACCCGTTCTCAGTCGGTTGTAGAAACGGTTGCTTTTCATGGGGGTGTGATACTAGCCTCGATGCTCGTCCTCCACATATCGGATTGGCTGGATAGGGTGAAATATTCCCGAGAGGAAAGTGTTTCTGGGGTGCGCCAACAGTTCAGGTGCGATTCCTTTTTGCTTCGCGTACATAGCCCATACCCAACTCTGATGCAGGACATCACTGATCCCTCTATCTGTCCTTTATTCATCATTCACGAAATATTTCCTGCTTTTCCTGCTAACTATCTGGCGCCCCTCGGCATCCAAGATTGGTGGAGAACCATATCGATACGGAGGTCCTCCTTACGAGAATTCTCTAGTAGTTCGTGCTCTCGAAGTATGGGACGAAGACAAGCTTGACCGTGAGTGGGTTGTACGCAATGTCCTGGGGGGTATGGCGGCTGGTTTTGGCTTACGAGGTAATGTCCGTTTCCTCGCGTGTCAAGTATTTGGACTCAGCTGGAAGGGCACCTAGTGGTGCTAGACTGCCATCCATTTTTCACGACTGCTGTTATCCTAGTTGGGTGGGTCGTAAAGACAGCGGTTGCTGAATTGCTGAGGGACTGGGTCAGTGCTGACCAGGATGTCTGGTTGGCCTACAGTATTCCGTAGTTAGCCCCTGTACGGCCTGTAGTGACAGGGACCCTTGACACCTCCACTGTCACTTCTGACCCTGCTCATCGCCCAGCATCACAACCATGCCAGCCTCTTCCAGTTCATCGTCTCGTGCTCTCAATGCGATCCTTCCGCTCATCACCAGCAATCAGCCGTATGAGGCACATCAGAAAGCGCGCACGTTTGCTTCGCGTTACGCGAAGTCTGGGCAGTATGATACCGCGATCGATGTTCTTTTCCAATCTGCTCGTGAACTTCTCAAGACAGGGCAGCAGGGAAGCGGGATAGATCTCACATGCTATCTGATAGATGTCTATGAGAGCAAGGGGGAGAGCGTCAATAACGACTCACGAGGTCCTTTCGACGTCCATGATGGGTACTTGGAACTGACCAGAAATCAGGCAAACTCACCCAGCTGATTGCCCTGACAGGCAGCTCTGGAACGTGGCGGAAAACCATAATTGACCGCGCGATCGTGTGCGTTCCTTCAGTTTGATCACTCGTTGCACAATTCACTAGTTGTGGTCACTCCCAGCTGGTCAGCTAAGCATGGCACTTGCCCATTGGGTGATCAGGACCTCCACCATTATATCGGCGAACTGCTCTACAAAGGTGTGACACTATTGTCGTTAATTCGTGGAAGTAAACGTGATTTTAAATTCTGGAATAGATGGAACATTCGACGCTGCGGAACCTCACCTCCTTGCTGCTGGCAAGAGAGACAGTGCACGCCTACTCGCACAGATATTTCTTGAATGGGTTGAAACAGGTGGCACACCGGGCAATTTTGCTCTTCGCGGAACTCTTCCGTCAGTTCTAATTGTTTACCAAACTATAATTCGCCAAGTCATTACCTCCACGCAGATACCTGGAGAGCGGCAATATCCTCGCCGCTAAAACATTCATCATGCAGTTCGTCAACAAACTTGTACCCGCTCGGCCATCGTTGGCCTCTCCATTGCAGAGCTCTCGGATATCCGTCGACGACAACAATGAAGTAGTGTTCACGTCGGACAGTGCCGTCAATTTTTGCCAGCTTGCGGTTCTGACGTGCCAGCGGGCAAATGGAGAGAAAAACAAGGTCACCCGAGAGAGTTGGGTAAGACTGTGCGGGACCTATCAAGCTAAAGGAGGCATCCCCGCAAGCAAGGAGGTTCGTGCTGTACGTTCCTACATCTTCTGCCATCGGTAGATCTCCTTATTGGCGTCGTCGTAGGCATTGCAAGCGATCGCAACACTGTACTTCGCCATTCCCCCGCCGCGCACGCAACCTGACAATCCATTCGGAGCCATGTTATCTTCCATGTTAGGCGGTGCGCCAACTGGCGCGCCAGAGCGACGAGTACTTTCTCCTGGGTTGAACAGGCCCCAGACGCTAGGTCTGGATTGAACTGGGAATGGGGGCTGCGAGAAGTCCTAACGTGGCAATCGCAACTACACGAGATTATGCAGGTAGAATAGCACCATTATACACGTACATACACTGGCCCTGGTCAGCTCTCTACCTGCTATCATACGTTTACTATCATGTGAAAGGCAATATTCGACTCGGGTATGTTGCTGTGGAGAGTGCATCTATCGCATCACACTTGCCACACGGAGTTACTAGGTATAGCAGGGGGCGCGGTTTCATGATTGGGAGTTGATGCCACTTCTCCGAGCGACCGAAGGATTTCCAGTGAACGGCGTAGGTGATTGGGATGCATTAGGGGTCGTGACGTCCCCGGATATAATGTCCTGGATGGCAGCTTCAAGAGCATCCACTCTATTAGACATTTGCATCACTATTTGTCGGATGAGAGACACCAGGATCATAAGTGGAGATGCCACGCACTGCGGTCGAGTATCTGAGAAGACATGTCGTCGAATTTCGAGTCTAGTTGCTCAAGTAACGTTTCAACCTAGAGATAATTCCTGGCTCGAACCACGTCAGCGAAGCGGGGGGGTTCAGGTGACATACGAAAGCTGTCAGTTCATGGGGACTTGAGATCTCTGAGGGACTGGGTACTGGTAATTGGGAGGTTGGAGTTCTAGATCCCATGGGGTCAGGGGTCGTCCCAGACCTGGCTGGAGTTGAGGCAGGGGTCACCTTGAGTGGCAGGGCTGAGGAAGACATAAATCAACGTGTATGTGTGATGTGCACGGCCGAACTCCAACCCACTCAGCCAACATTACATAAGCAACCTCGCTCAAAGGAAACATGGCAACATAACATGGGCACAGCACTGGTTCCGTCCTCGTTTGTTGTCCGTTGCAGGCGAGGTGAAATATGACATCTTAGGGTTCGCCAACATCGACCCGGTTTATCACCTCGGCCGAAAACTTTTACACTGTGACACCTTAATCACTACGGAGATTAATCTGGTAATGTGTTCCTTGATTTCTTCCTGTAGACGTGGGGGCCACTCCATAAACCTACTCCGCTGTCCCTTCATGGCGGACCACAATGGTCGATTACATACTGTCTCGCCCTTCTCTGCTCTTCGCCTCCAACGCCGTCGATATTCTCAGGGGTTAAGTCCTCCAAGTTGGTCTGACTATGCGTTCAATGATACTGGTAGGGTACCATATCATCCGTCATACGTACCCTATTTCGATCAGCACCAGCTTCGATCAGCAAGACTGCCGCCTGTGCGTGAGCAGATTCCATCGCCAGATGCAACGGCGTGTTCCCTAGGAATGTAAATAGAGTATGATCACATTACAACTGATTCTTGGCCTCGTTTTGGAGCCTTACCGACGCGATCCCCCGTGTTCAGTCTTGGTTTGGATACTGCCAACCCTTGAGGCGGATTAAGCAGGAGGGAGATAAATCCAGTGGACCCAGTCGTGGATGCACGGTGGCTTGACATTTCCTATCAACCTTCGATAGACAGAATATATGGCATTTTCACTAACAGAGGTATTTGATTTGCTTTATCCCTCGCATTAATCTGTAGGAGACGTTACTGCATCATGTCGACGATCGAGGATATGGACGCACGTCAGCACCTCTCTGAATCAGGAACCTTCCGACCTTAAAGGACATCAGTCGTATCACTCATGAAAGAGCCAGACTCACGTCTATGCGGGATTTGGACGCTGCGTAATGGCTACACGAGTTGTGAAAACAAAACGAACGGTCCGAAAGCCATCTTACAGGGGAGACAGCCCTTTATCATTTCGTTTATTGACATCGGCCCCTGCGCCAACGAGCTCCTGAACTATATCCTCGTTTCCGGCACTAACTGTGCAAATCAACGGGGTCGACCACATGTAAATCGCACTGTGAATAGCCACGATGGCAACACACCGGCTATGTGCAGTGCCGTCCATCCACTCGAGTCCGATTTGTCGACGTCAGCCTTCTGGTCTATCAAGTACCGTACGATATCGGTTGCACCCGTAGACGCTGCCCAGTGCAAAGCGGTCCGACCATCCTAAATCCGTTACCTCTCACTTGATCCGAGACGGATTGTGAGTCGAAAAAAGACCTTACCACGTCAACCTCATCGGTCAGCTTTGGATTTTCCGTCACTAGCGTTCGCACTACTGAGAGTTGGTCTGCGCAGGGGCGAATTTTTCACTAGAGCAAACGCAACGAAGCAGATTATTCACGCACTGTTTTGTGCAGCAGTGTGGATACCGGTGGCCATTGTGGTAGGGCGAGCTGAAGGAAAGTATTGCGTATTGCACGTTTCTACCGCAGCGGATGACTTGGTGCAACGCAAGCTAAGACCTAACCTTACTCCAGGGTTTGATGGCGTCTTGCTCGATTTGGCATGCCACGTGAATGTCGGTCTTCCCGGCAAGACGAAATTACATTTTTACCTCTCTGTACTCAGTAACGAAGACGAAGCACTCTAATAACTGACATTCAGCTGTCTCACACTCTACGCCCCGATGATAGTGCACGATCATTATTAACGACTTCTCAGTACTTGCGACCATAACGCAACCAGTGCGGACGGGATATACTTGGTGACCGAGGTATGTTGCGGCTTGTTACATGCTGTATCGTCATTACTTGCCATATGCATCTGATATAAGGGACACCAGACCTCCATGAAACTCAGAAACTGCATTTGGTCGAGAGTGGAGTCTGAAACTTGAGGAAATACCGTCCTCGAACCTCCACGAGAACTATGTACAAACACCACCCTGGGTCCATCAATGAAGTGCACTGCAGGGCTCCCTCCCCCGGTATATCCGGCGGATCTCATGTTTCACAACCAGAAAAAGAACTGATTCGTGATTAAGACGGTCTTAATACTGTGCAGGCACTTACGCTGTGGATTCATTCATCTGATGACTATTGGAAGAAGCTCAAAGGAGTTGGCAAGTTGGCAAGGATTTATGCCTTCTGTGGATGTGCATCGTAAGTGGCACACCGTGCAAGGACCCAGAACGTTGCTACAATGAGGTGTGTGGACTGTAGTGACAATTGATGGTTATCATATCATTAACTTTGATATATGTAGCAGCACAGCACACCTGCCAACAAGCGCCGTCGGTCCCTCGTCAGTAGCGACAACGTGTCCTTTCCCAACTCGGAAAATGAGTTGCGGAACTGTGCTCGGTGAACATAATTGTGCCCGCTCTGATGGAAATGGTGCATGCAAGGACCCGACCATAGCATGGCCATCCCTGTGTGATACTGGCATCCTGCCAATGGATGACCTTTCCGATCACGATTGACATCACGCAGTCATCCGATTACTGTCTTCTGCTCGACGGGGCTTCCGATTACGCCCTGGGTTAGCCCTAGACATGGGATGTCGCACGCGGCGGGCTGATGTCCAGGTCGACCTTCCGTTAAAATTTTTCAGGGTTTAGTTCGCATACTCCTTTCTCTCTCACGCAGAGATACGCCGATGCTGAATCACACTCAAAACAAAGATATGCGCGGTTCGAAATATTTGGGTTTTCGACTTTTGCTCTTAGTCGGTAGCGGTGCAACGCTGAATTTTGGCCCGCACTCCAAGTCACTCGTTCTATGGCATTCCCATGTCTTGCCATCTGCCTCCCTGTTTCATGTTTGGCCTCCACGTTGAATTCACTCCGGAGGCAGTCATTGGGGATTCAACGTTCCCTAATGGTACTGTACATTTGGGGGAGAGTTTTCGGCATTCGGAAACCACCGTTTGTATGGTAGAACTTGGACAAATTCTTTCATTCCTGTATTACGGGTCATCATGAAAGAGCCGAACCGTCCATTGATGATCGGCAACAGCTAAATTCTTCCTTGTCAATAGGCCAAACAACCCTCCAACAAGCTCCCTGGCGCAGTCGAATGTGCCACGTCCTGCTGCTCTCGATTTCCGAGAAGAAACACACCATGTTTCCTAGGAACGTGGGGATTATTGGATCCTGGTTCCTCTTCCCCTTATGACAAACTTAAGTCCGATAGGTTCGCAAGGAAGTTTACTGGGCCGTATGCTGTTGGCAGGTGCTTCCCTTAACGGTGCAAATTATCCGCCGGTGTGCGTAATGGTCGAGTGGATGGCATGACCGGCACGCTCCTTGCCAATGCATCTCGTTGGCAAGGTCATATGTCTGCAAGCTGTTGGCAACTTTGAGCACCTATATATTCTGGGATGGAGCATCTCAGACCAGACAGCGGAGACCCCAAAAGTTTCTGAACGACAGCCAACAGCACACAAATCTTATCATGTATTCCAACCAGTGGAGTGTAGAGGTGAGGCGCGAGTGTTGGTTTCTGTGCAATAAACTGATGTTGTGCGGAAATATTTGTAGGATGATGCGATATTAATTGAGAACGGACTTCAGGAAAAATACGACGTTTGCCGTTGGATCGATGGGAATGGCATGCCTTGCAACCAATGGGTGCAAGACAAGGACTTTTCCAATCACCTCAGAGTGCATCACGGGGTGGGTGGGGCACCCTCATCGCAGCATAGATGCCGCTGGGAAGGCTGTCGAGAGCGGGAGTTTAACAGGGACTGCTTAATCCGCCACCTAAGAGAACAACACCTCCAGTGGCGTTGGCCATGTCCCCACTGCAGTCAAGACTTCACTCGCAAGAACACGATGTTTGACCATCGCGACAGGAATTGTCCCCACAGAATCGTTTGAAGCTTTCTCGTTGATTAGTTGCATTGGAGTTACGGTCGTCTGGACAGAATTCGAATTTAGTAGTGCTGTGGCTGTGAGCTTATGCTCGTCTTTACTTCCGCTTTCGCACGTCCATACTTCATTTCTCCCTCTCTAACTGTAGCATCGAATTGACGTTCTGTTTTCTTTCCCGTCGCACACAGTTTTGGAGTATGTTTTCAGCGAACCTGTTTCGCGCCCGGGTAACAATTTGTATTTCTCCTGTATACCACGTAGAATGCCGTGAAGGTTTCACTGAAGCCCTCCATAAAGCATACAGCAAAGGCAACTAACAACACTCCGGGCTGCGTGGACGGTCCCGATTTCTGACACCTCATGTTTGAGCGCGTGCGAATATAATCCAAGCACTCCAGAGTTTCTGAATGCATTTGACATCACCCAAACCATATCATGTATTCTGCGCTTAAACAACTCGAGTGTAGAGGTAAGCGTTGCCTGTGCAATAAACTGATCTTATAGTCTTTATATAAGTAGAGCCTTTTCCTCGTTTTCAGCAATCCACCATTACAGAGTTCCTGTTGTATTATACTCCAATTAAATGACAGTTTCTCAGTGTCATCATGAGGTTGGTTACACTCCAAGTCATTAGAGATGTTAATGATCGTTCCAAACGGATACATTATGGAGCCGTAATCTGCAGAGAAATATGCACTCGTGCTATGGCTACATTGTTTCCGCTTCCCAGCTTTTTCTGCTACTCTATGCAGGAAACAATATATTCTCCTTGCGAGGCGGTAATTTGGTATTTGCCACCTTCGCACCATGATGTACCCTTCCCTCTCTGGTACCGACTATAGCAAACTATTGACGTTTCGGTTTCTTTCTCGGCCGCACATAGCTTGGGAAGATGCCACTCAGTCACTGGGCCTATTTCATTTCCCGAGTTACACCCTATTCGGAAAGGCCTCCAAAGGATTGCCGTTTCCGTTTGTAATATTGCTGTCAAGCCCTCCATGAGGCGCCTAACAAAGGCAATCTTACAATTGTCGATAGCCGCCTAGCATCTTAATGCCATCCGGTTCGTCACTAGGACCAACCTAGGAAGCCTTCGCACAACGGGTGCAAGTTCTTCCCAGTCTTTTCGTAGCCACTCTGAGGCCTTGCCTACCAGGGCAGACCGAGTAGCTGTTAGAGTCCGGATGGTGTCGGAGCGTGAAAAAGCGCCATTTGCCGAATAACCTAGAGCGGTGACCACGATGATTCGACGAAGGTGAAATTTGAAGCCTTCAGCAGCACCATCCTCCTTGAATTTCAATGAGATTTGCAAGCCATCGTGCATCGACCGCTGGTCCGCACCTCGACGTCGGAAGTCGGGCGTCTTAGTCCATCAAATGCAGTGCACTTCAGAGCTCTCTTCCCAATATTTTCGGCGAATTTCACGTTTCATAGCCCAAGATGAAATAATTCGTAATCAAGATGGTCATAGTGCGCCCGTTTTGGGCTTGTTCATTAATGTCATTGGAAGAAGCTCGGGGGGGTTGGCAAGTTGGCAGGGATCTAATCCTTCTGAGGATACACTCCCTAAATGGCACTCTATGTGCAAGGATCTAGATCGTTGCTACAATGAGGTGCGTAGACGGCGACTTGTGTTTATCTTGTCATTAACTTTGGTATAACAACACAGCACAGGCCTGCCAACAGGCGCGGCCGGTCTCTTGTCAGCAGCGACCCGGGAACGTGCCCTTTCCCAATTGGGCAAACGAGTTGCGGAACTCTGCTCGGTAAACATAAGTCTCGCCGTTCCGATGGGAATGACCCTTGTGATGACCCGACCATCTCAGGGTCCATCCTAGTGTGCTACTGACAGCCTGCCAATGAATGTCCTTTCTGATCACGACTGTTACCTCGCAGATTGGCACAATCTGATCAGTACTCCCATTGTTGTCTACCTTCTGCTTGCAGGACTATCTATTACGCCCTGACTTAGTCCTGCATATGGGATGCCGTGCTGGATAGACTGATGTCTGGCATTAAATTTTTTCAGTGTTTAGTTCAACTCGCGACATCGTCTTCCCCGTCCCGTGCACAGATACATCCATTCTGAGTCACACTCACAAAGAACAAAATTTTTCGCGGTTCGAAATATTTAGGCTAGGTTTTTGACTTTTATTTTCAGGGTGATAACAGTCCCCGTCAAATCCGGTCTCTGAATGGTGCAAGGCCGCATTTTGGCGCATACTCAAAGTCACTCGTTCCATAGTCTTCTCATTTCTTGCCATCTCTCTTCCTGTTTCATGTTTGATCTCCGCGTTGTATTCACACAGGAAGCACTTATTGAAAGTTATGGCGTTACTTGATGTTGCGGCACATCTGGGAGGAACACCTGAAAAGAGTTTCGGCATTCAGCAACTACCGTGTGTATGGTATAACTTGGGCACCAATTCCTTTTTTCCGTTATTGCAGGTCATCATGAGAGAACCCGAGCCGCCCATTAATGATCGGCAACAGCTAATTTCCCCCTTGTCTAGGGGACACACAACCCTCCATCAAGCGCCTTGACGCAACCGGAAATGCCTCCTGCTGATCTCGATTTCTGAGAAGGGACATACCATGTTTCCTAGGAACAGATCTTGGCCCCTCTTCCTGCTACGACCAACTTACGTCCGATAGGCTCGCAGGGGAGTCAACTGGGCCGCATGCTGTTGGCAGCTGCTTCTCTTAACGGTATCAAGTATCCGCCGGCGTGTGCCCAGCGGTCGGGCAGATGACATGACTAGCATGCACCTGCCAATGCGTCTCTTTGGCAAGGTCGTATGTCCGGGAGGTGTTGGCGGCTTTGAGCACCTATATATTCCTGGATTCCTGGACAGAGCATTACAGACCAGACAGTGGAGGCCTCCAAAGTTTCTGAACCACAGTCGACATCCCACAAATCTCTCCATGTATTCTACCCAGCCTACCAGCAACTGGAGTGTAGATGTGAGCCGGGAGCGTTCGTGTCTGTGTAACAAACTAATCTTAAGCGGAATTATTTGTAGGATGATGTGTTATTGATCGAGAACGGACATCTTGAAAAGATTAGTGCTTGCCGCTGGATTCTCGGGAACGGCATGCTTTGCAACGAACTGGTAAAAGGCAAAGATTTCTCTGGTCATCTTAGAGGGCGTCACGGAGTGGTCGAGGCACCCTCATTGCAGCATAGATGCCGCTGGGAAGGCTGTCAGCAGCAGCAGTTTAACAGGGACTGCTTAATCCGCCACGTGAGGGAGCAACACCTCCTGTGGCGTTGGCCGTGCCCCTACTGCCATCAACTCTTCACTCGCAAGAGTACCATGCTTGATCACCGTGACAACCTTTGTCCATACAGAAGGGTTTGAAGCTTTGTTGTCGACCAGCTGCACTGGATTTACGGCTCCTGATGTCGGCTTGACGGCATCCTTTTGTTGTACATTGAGCTTGTTGTAATCGTAACTTCTGTGGTTATGCCCTCTTGTATTTTGTCCTCAGCAAGTACATTAATGCGATCGTCCCCTACCGCCTCATCACGTGACTCGATCAGTTTCCTCCTGCAACGACGGCAACAGCCCACTGAAAGGGTTTTTTCATGGAGGAATGAGGTAGCCGCCTGCCGGACTGAGTTTGAGGATTTGTCATTGCACAGCCATCATGGCGATTCAACGCTGAAGTGCTGAAGGCCAGATCCTTCTCAGCCTCTTCCTCCCTTGCTGCGACAGCATTTCAAGCCAGTCGACTCTCAGGTAACATCTAGGCCTTCAGATTCATGCGCTTACTCGTCTCGGTAGCTCCGTCGATCCAGTTATGCCCCATGAAAACATCAGTACTGGCCTTATTCCTTGTTATGCCTCTACTTATGTTATCAATCAGACTGGGAGGGTTCTTCAAGTATTTTCTATCCCTCCAAGGAGGTTCCTTGAGCCTTTTCCTGGGAGCTCATCTAAGTATATACTGACTATCTGCCAGAGGTACTCCTCCAGTTTTGTTTTGTGAACTTTATGTTGCCTAAATCACAATGCGTTAATATGTTGTGCATGGAAAAGTATATTGCATGATGACTAATACACAGCATGAGGCAATCATGAGTCAAGGAAGAAGAGAGTGAAAATAGAAGGTTTGGAGTAGATGTGACTTGTAAATAGGAAAAAGATGTAGATCAAGATATGGACATCAATTGAACCTCAACTATGTAAATACCAAAGCCCTCTGGGTGCTCCTGGATGTGTTTGGGGAAAGCATGCAATGTAGTTTACATTTACTAGTGACTCCACAGGTGATTCTATTGAGTGAGTGTGAGTTCAAGTTTATGGGATTCTATCAAGTGAATGCATGTCCAAGTGTACATAAGAGATTAGTACTGTGGGGGGAACAATATTGAACAGAAAAGTCTATGAGGCATGTGTTTATGTTCTCTATGTGGGATGGTGGATTACATAACTGTCATTTATGAGAGGATGTTTTCATGCTTAGAGGATGATGTACAAGCAATCTTCAATGATGTGCAGGAAGGAGGCATCTCCCTCTCCAAGCAGTTTTAAGCTGTTGAAACATGTACAACAATGACAGACAAGCAGCTGAACACTTGTGAATGCAGAGGGCATTGACACACTCTGTGAAATGCTGCAATAGATTTAATATCCTTCAATGTCAGGAAGGGGTACTGTTCCACAAACTCACACACTGAGTCTGCATGACATACTAACAATGATCCTCTAGGGTACACAGACTTTTGGAGGATGACGTGCTGCAGGATTGTCAAGTCTATGGAGAGGAATATACTCAGACTTCAAGTTGGTTGAAGCTAAACAATGAACTACCTATGGAGAGGAATATACTGTAGGTAGGTAAGTAAGTGTTCCAATATAATGAATGGAAGGAGTCCCACCTCAGACTTCAAGTTGGTTGAAGCTGAGGTGCAGTAAGGAAAAAATAAACTGCTAAGTGTCCGCTTTTGGATTACATAATGCTGTGCTTGGTGAACCACAACTAAGGTAAAGGTGATAAACTCCAACACAGACTTGGCAGTAAGTTCCTGTAGCTGATAGCAGCAACAATGCTGGCACCAGCCACATCAATACACAAGTGGCACACACCACTGTCCATGGTCATCTGCATGATGTTATCTGACATGATGTGTACAAACAATGCAAATGCAGGAACTCCAATGCAACCAGTCCCCCCCCCCCCTGAAAGGAAATCACATGTGATCAGACTTAACAGTCTGGTGTGATTGTTGAGGACAAAGAGTTTGCAGACCTGGCCTGATGGTGCCCAGGAATATTGCCACCCCACTAGATGCAGGATCTTCTGCAGACATCTGATGGACTACTCACTGGATGACTTTGACATTGTCATGTCACCAAGATGCAAGGGGGATGGGTACATGTGGGCAGAATTAGCATCAGGGAGGGGGGCAGTTCATCTGGGTGGTGTGAGGTCATGATGAACATTACCACCAAAATGATAAACCTGGCCCATAAGTGACAGCAGCATGTTGGGTACCATAGTTTGGATGCCCTGCATTGTTGGGGACATGGAGAAGCACTGGGATCTGTGTATGAGCTATGGTAGGCCAGATGGGGCAGTGGATATGTGGGATGATAGGGGGCTGCTGGATGGTTGTACCACCCTCTGTGTAAGCCAGCATTGTAATCACATTGTAATCATATGGTGCATGCAGCATCTGTCATGATGGCACTCCAGGCCCAAGGAGCCAATCAATGAAACTGTGTTGCTGAAATGGATGGACAAATGACTTTTGGTGAGATATAGGATAAGGAGCAGGGTAAGGGTGGGGCAGATGAACTCTACCCACTGTGATCACTTCCCTGGGGACCATTGGCTTCCCCTTTGGTTGTGGGCAAATGACCTTCCCAGCCAAAAGCCTTGTAGACACCATAGACAGACACTTGCCAGATAATCCCAGGTCATCCAACTTGGGAAATGGTTGGTACCAAAGGTTAAATGGTTCATTCTCATCACCTGAATGAGTTCCACCTTGCACAATGCTAGGCCTCAGGTGCTCTGTTTGACTTGTCATCAGCAGGTTGACATGTATTGCTCACATGATGTACCTACTTTGTACTGTATCATATGACCAAATGAGGTTGACAATCAGTCATGTTGCCCAGACTGGCTAAGGTTGGGCCCACCTCTGAGTAGTCATCATGTCACACAGCATAGCCATGATCATTGGGTGTCACTGTACTGCACAGTGTGGCTGAGGGGTTACTGTACTATATACACCTGTGGGGCAGACTGCACCACTGGCATTTGCCTGGAATCCATGCCACACTGGCATAAACTGGGAATGCCTGCCAGCCCACTGGGATTGGTGTGCCTGCTATGTGTGCCAGCCCAACAGCATTATCCTGGTATTGACCTTGCATTCCTGTTGGCACACTGACATTAACCTGGCATCTGTACTGGCCATCAGGGATTAGCCTGGCATTAGTTATGTATGGTTATTGGCCAAGTGGCATTTGCCTGGAGGCTGAGATTTATGCCAACCCACTGGCATGAGCATGGAATCTGTGCTGGTCATCTAGTATAATCCTGGCATGGGTTCTGGCAAGTTGGGATAGGTCTTGTACTAACCTGGTTTGCCTGCTGGCTCACTGGCATGAGCCTGGCATGTGTCAGCCATTGCCAGTGGGTCAGAAGGTATTCCACTGTAATTCTGTTGGGTTGGTATGAATGCCAGGCTAATTCCAGTGAGCTGGGAAAAATGCCAGGCTGATGCCAGTAAGCCAGGAAACATACTGGTCTTATGTAAGTGGGCCAGCACAGATGCCAAGGTGGTGATGGTTTGTTGGCATGGATGCTGAGCTAATTCCAGTCGGCTGGTATGGATCACAGCTGCCACACTATTTCCAGTGGGTCAGAAGGCATGCCAGTGGGATTCTATTGTGCTAGTATGAGTTTTGCCCGATATCAGTAAGCTGGGACAACTGATGGGCAAGTGCCAGTGCACCAGGACACATACTGGCATTATGCTAGTGTGCCAGGATACATATCAGGCAAATGCTAGTGCACTGGTACAGAAGCTAAGCTTGTGGTGGTGTGTTGGCATGGATGCTCAGCTAATGCCAGTTTGCCAGGGTGGATCCCAGCATCCACACTATTTCCAGTGGGTCAGAAGGCATACCAGTGTACATCCATTGGGCCAGTATGAGTTACAGCCACTTCCAGTATGCCAGGACACATACTGGCCTTATGCTAGTGAGCTGTGATGGATGCCAGGCTTATGCCAGGTGGTTGGCATACATGCCTAGCTAAGTTCCCTGCTAGTATCAGTAAGCCAGGACACATACTGGTATAATGCAAGTAGGCTGGAGTAGAAGCCAAGCTAGTGGTGGTTGGTGGGCATGGATGCTCATCTAATTCCAGGTGGGCCAGATGGATCACAGCCTCCAGGCTATTTCCAGTGGATCAGAAGGCACACCAGTGGGATTCTGTTGGGCTGGTATGAATTGAATTCTGGCCAATTCCAGTTAGCTGGGTCAGTTTCCTGGTTAATGCCAGTGGGCCAGGACATCTACCAGCCTGAATCTAGGGGCCAACACAGATTCCAAGCTAGTGGTGGTTGGTTGGTGTCAATGCTGAGCTAATTCCAGTTGGTTGGGATGGATCACAACCTCCAGGCTATTTACAGTGGTTCAGAAGGCACACCAGTGGGATTCTATTGGGCCAGTATAAGTTCTGGCCAATTCCTGTCAGCTGGGCCAAATGCCTGGTTGATGACTGTGAGCTGGGACACCTACCAGCCTTATGCTAGGGGGCTGGGACAGATGCCAATCCTATGGTGGTTGATTGGCATGGATACCCAGCTAATGCTGCTTAATGTCACTGGATTAGATGATGGGCTAGTCTTTTGGCATCTCCTTGCAAATGCATGAGCCATACAAATATTGTCCCATATGTATTGGCTTGGATGGCAATCTATTGTCCATGGGGCTTATATATCAGTGGCCCATGTCATATGGCTTGGCTGGACCCACAGTGTTCCATTTGGAATGGTGGGAGCATATTTCAGTGTACTGTGCAGATTGGACTCAGCCCAAATAGGAGTGCCCATAGTCCATTGTACCATGTCCTTGGGGTGGGCCTGGATATTATGATCCTGTTAGACAGGCTGGACAAATATTGCAGTGTTTCATTGTGTATGGTAGGCCCATGATGCAGTGTCCCATATGTCTCAAGTCAGCCCATGTATTATGATCACCAATTGTGTGGTCTGGCACATATGCAACAGTCTTGTACACAACAAGGAAGCCAATATCCTAGTGTGCTGTCTGACTGGAGTCAGCTCAAGTTGAAGTGTTCCAACAATTACTGGCTAGCCATAGTTGACATGTGGGAGAGGTAGATGGAAAATATAATATCTATAGAACTACCTTTACATTGACCCCCTATAGGATAAGTGGAGGTTATATGGAATGTCCCACTGGACCTGCAGGCATCAACCAACTCTGGACATTCTGAACTCTCATCCAATCCCCACAAGGTATCCCTATCCAATTGTGGATGTTGTCCCTCATGTAGTAAGCAAAGCAACATCAGTTCCCACCACAGAACTAACCCCAAGACAAAGAAGCCAGCCACAAAAAGCAACTACAGTGCCAGGGTTGTAAAGGAACTGAAGGCCAGGTGTGGGGATATCCAATATACAATCTTCATAATTGCCAACTGTGACCAGCATGTCATACCAATTGGACCATGAGTGTGGGTCCCAGTGAAAAGGGGTGGTCTGGTTAAAGATTACTGAGACATTAGTAAAAACCATTGGCCAGTGCTGCAAAGCATCTTGCATGTCTTGGTTATGCTGATTGGACCATGTGTCCAGTGACTGCATGGCTTGCCTTCTGGCATCATACAGGCCTGGGTGCATAATTGAATGGGCACCAGACAGGATGGCAGCTGGGAGGTAAGACTGCTGGGACCATTCACCACTTCAGGTAACCAATTTTCATAAGCATTTAGGCTGAAGTTTTTCTACAAATCATCCAAGCTAAAAGCCACTCAGACCAGGTCATCCCAGGGACATCTGGCCATGTCCCAGGGCTATTTGCAGTGTGCAGGACCTGGGATGTCCCATAATCCCAGCCCCCTGGTAATATATTTTGGGCTGTCCAACAGCTGCCTTAGGTGTCAGGGGTCCTCAACTGCAAAAGTGCAGCTCACACCCACATTGGAATGCCTGACTTTCAATCACAAACACATTACTGTTATGATCATCATCCAGACAATGAGCATACCTATCAAACTGGGGGGATGGATGAAAACATTACCCTCCCAAAAAAACACTTGCTATACATATTAAGTGATATATGAAGACTACTGGGCAACAAGTGTGTTTGTGTGATGCCATCTGCAGAATTGTGCAATGTGGATGAAGGTGAACCTGTCAATTACTAAAGGTTAATGGATTCAGAATCCCCCCAATAGTATTGTAAGTTCTTGCATTTGTTACAACAGTCACTCCTTACTAGGATCACTACTTTTGTTTCCAACTTATGGTTGAGGTGCATACATACATACATACATAGTATCAAAATGATTCTATTGTGGGGGATGAGCATGTGAGTGCCCCACTGGCATAGGATGCTATATGATCTAATTGGCATGGGGCCCCATGCCCAGGACAGTGGGATGCCCCTTGATAGCTTTGGAGGCCACTGTGAGACATCCAACCCCCCCTTCCATAGGCCAGTGGGATGTCCCATCATAGCTTCAGAGGCTACTGTGGGACATCCCATCCCCCTTCCATAGGCCAATGGGATGGCCCATGGTAGCTTTGGAAGCTACTGTGGGACATCCCACCTCCCCTTCCAGAGGTCAGTGGGATGTCCCATGATAGCTTCAGAGGCTACTGTGGGACATCCCACCCCTCCTTCCAGAGGCCAGTGGGATGTCCCATGATAGCTTCAGAGGCTACTGTGGGACATCCCACCCCCCCTTCCATAGGCCAATGGGATGTCCCATGGTAACTTTGGAAGCTACTGTGGGACATCCCATCCCCCCTTCCAGAGGTCAATGGGATGTCCCATGATAGCTTCAGAGGCTACTGTGGGACATCCCACCCCCCCTTCCAGAGGTCAGTGGGATGTCCCATGATAGCTTCAGAGGCTACTGTGGGATGTCCCATGATAGCTTCAGAGGCTACTGTGGGACATCCCACTCCCCCTTCCATAGGCCAATGGGATGTCCCATGGTAGCTTTGGAAGCTACTGTGGGATGTCCAATGAAAGCTTCAGAGGCTACTGTGGGACATCCCACCCCCTTTCTTGAGGCCAGTAGCATGTTTCATCATAGCTTTGGAGGTTACTGGGGGCCATCCCCCCAATTCTGCATACTCCTGGTATATTAAAATACCTCAGATGCCATGGAAACTCATCTAATGAATTTTTCAGAGACATACAAGACTAGCTTTACTACCTATGTGGTCTTTTACTTGGAGATGATGGGAGATCCATATCTAATACATCTAATTCCCAGTCATCTGCCCATGAGAACTCTGTCAATGACATCTCACTGAACTGTTGGTGATATTCATCTGCAAGAGCAAATTCCTCAGCAACACACAGCAAATCATCATCAAGCACTTCATCATCCCCATCATCATTTTCAGATTCCAAGTCCTCCCATCCCACCTCTTCATTTCTGTCCATGTCCATGATGAGTGGTGCATAATCCATATTCCTCCATTCTTCAACCCTTGCCTCCCAGCTCTCATCAGCACCTCCTGGAAAGTCCCTCAATTTTTCCTGCCACAGGAGACTCAAACTTGCTAATGCTGAAGCCCTGCAGTCCAGTTCATATGCAAGATCTGCACTTGATTTTCATTCAATTGTCTTAATACATTCAATGACACAACAGCTCTCTTACCTGCATCCACTCTGCATTTCTCCAGCTGTCTCCATTCTTCTGAGTGCCATTCCATCAAGCTTTTTCTTTTATACAGGAGCCTCCTTTCCTCCTCCTCACACCTCTTCAGCTCAAGGAGTGACCTGATCCCCAAGCACACCCTTTCATCAGCTAACCAAGCTGGTGGCAATCCCACAGAATCATCCTCAAGACCAATATCCTGCCAGATATCATCATCCACATCTAGTTTGAACAAACCATCCCTTTGGATCAGTATAGGTGCTATGGCCCCTTGAGGGGCTTTCCCCTGGTGGATGAGAGCTACCAACTGCAAACACAAATTATTGTAGGAGGTAGAAAGCTTGACAATTCCAGGTTCTTGTCACCAGACAGATCCTTCCACATGGATTTGAAGTTTTTGTTCTTCAAAGCAGTCAACCACAAGAGGCAAATGCTTAAGAGCACCACTTACCACTAACTATCTGGCAGTAAGACTGTTCTAGTCTCTCTAATTCAAACTTTTGTTGACACAGATGGTCTCAGATATGCTTCTTGATTTCCAATGCATGCATACACAGCTGAATGCACTGAATTCAATCAACTTATAAATCTAGAAGAGGAAGAACCACCAGCCTGAAGAAAGGAACTATTCTGGAGCCTGGAAAGCTCTGCAAACCCATCTATTCCAAGGCTTGCCCTCTGTCTTTGTGAAGCTTGTTTGAAATGCATAATCTTTTTGTGACACTCAGCTATCTGTATATTTAAATTTGTCATATCAGCTCCTCCTCAGAGAAGACCCTTCTCCAGTTCATCTAGTCTGGCATCACAAGTTTCCAGTGATTTCTGAGTTGCCATCATTTGCATTATAAAATTTTCTGTGGCTTTTGCAGAGTACCCTTAATTTACTGTCAGCTCACAGCAAGAGGAATCACTTATACAGGAAGCTTATGAGATGCTGGCTTGGTTTGTACTGAAACCTGAGCCTCCCATTCAGCTTGAAGTGTCTGAATATTGATTCCAGATTTTCTTAGACCCATTTTTGCAGAAGCCTTTTTTTCTTGACAGTGGTTCCAGCACTGCAAAAGCCACTGGCCAAGACCAGTAAGACGCTTCATGTTAAGATAGTGCACCTGGGAGTCAATGACAAAGAGGTGTTGATGATACTGAATAAAATATTAGCCTGCATTTTGTGACACAACTAACTGCATACCCCAGAAACTTGCAGAGATGGTATTAGTGACTTAATTGAACTCCAAAATCACTCACAACCCTCTCCATCAGAAAGTCCAAACCCTTCTCATTTCCAAGGGTGATAGATGAGCTGGCAAGCCCATTGATGACCAAAGGCATGAAAGACTGATATAGCAAAAGAAATTTGGGGCAGAAATGGCCCAAGGTAGCCCCACTTTCTGCAGCTCTGTTCAAGCTGACAGCCTATGTCATATAACAGCCCAATGTGAACATCATCAGGGAGGTGACTGAATAATGATTTGATAAGGGCAAGTGCATAGTGTTGCTTCTCCCCTGCTGAAGTCATGTTGGCAAGGTGAATAACATGATCATGATGACAGAGTAGGGCCATAACTCCAGTATCTGAAAAGAATTGGGTACTTGCCTATACCACCATCAGAATATTGCAGACAGGTTAAATGATTAAGCTCACTTTCTGATGTCTCTCATCAGCTGCAGTGAAGGATTCATTACAACCCTTGAGGACTGATGGTGGTATCCTCATACCCTGCTCAAATCTATCCTCATCTCCACAATTCTTCCCAGAAGACTGGCCACTCCTCTTTTGCATTGATGCCTTTGTCCTTCTCAAACCTTCAGCCTCACATTCTATAGCATCAATGTCTTCTTGTGTTATGCCCAAGCGCGGTGACTTCTTCAAATGGAATAGGCACGAAGCGCGCGAGGTGGGAGACTACGGGCCGAACTTGTCGTAACCCCTATGGCTGAGTTATTGCAAAGATCCGACAGAGGTCTTGTCTACTGGCGAGTCCCTAAGGTTGTTCGCACGGAGAGAAGACGAGGATTGAAGCAAAGTAATTAGCTCAGTTGCAAGCTATCGAAAAACTGGGGATACATGGTAAAGTACGTGGGCTTAAATACCCCTAAGTAAGAGTACCGTACCAGTCGCGACAGGCGCGTCGCGACGCGTATCCGCAGTAGTCAACGAACTAATCTTTGAAATAAATAAGAGTCATCCGGTGTTAGTGATGGGGGTAGGCAGAGAGACGAAGGCTATACCAGCTATGCAATCAATGCGCAGCGAGGAGCCAGACACCGGAACTATAGTACAGCATAAACGAGTCATGAAGAGTCAACGGAACACGGAAGGGACATCTCTACCATTACGAGAGCGGTGAACGTCACGGATCACAAATGATGAGTCTCAACAGGTTTTGGAAATACCTGGACAATGGGTGATCCGAGCCTCCCTCGCAACATATATACCCCTAGAACGACGACGAGTATCAGCGACGCGACAAGGCACATGATGCACGTGACCGCCAAAAGTCAAAAAAGGAAGGACCCTTGACAGAAGCGTAACATCACCCCCCCTCTAAGGTCCTCAGACCCTTGAGGATGGGCCAGAAGTCGCGTTGGGGCGGCTGGATAGGGGTCGGCGAGTAGTGTAAACGCGGGAACGCATTCTATTGGCAATGGGCGACGAAGGCGATGGAGATGGCGGTTCCTCGAAGGATGGAGTAAAGTGGGACCCCCGTCCGTTGCGGCACGACCAATGTCCCAGGTAACGACACTGGAAGCAGGCGTGTTGATAGAGAGGATGGTCGGTGGGTACCGGAGACTGTCCTCCGAGGTAGAAGCGAAGTTGATCTGTAGGGATGGGGACAAAGGGAGTCACAGGGAGAGGGTCGGTGGTGTGGACGGCATTGAAGTAGTTTTTATGAATACCGGCCCACGACGCGTCCTGTAACAACACCTCCCAAGAGGAATTGTGAGTTCCTGTCCCCAAACGGGCACCAACCTCTTTAAACAGCTCTCTGGAGTCGGTGAACCCTAGTTCCACGGCGCGCCACTGCCTCTCCTTCTCCTGATCCGTTACATCTTCTTTTAGCTTAACCTCCACTGGCTTTGCTTCTTTCGGGACAATCTGGTCAAGAATTCGAGAAGCAGGCAGCGCAAGGAACTCCCCTATCTGTTGTTGACGTAAGTGGTGATAAGCCCCACCTGTGATAGCCTTGGTGAGGTCCGACGACGCCTTTTCAAGCATGTTGATCATTATTACTTCCAATAGAGGGGCCATTCCTGCGAGTTTCCGGTTTCGAATCTTGGACACCAGCCCGTTGATCACGTCTGATGCTCAGTAGATTTCAGACAGCATCCCAAAATACGCAACTTGTTCTGATGTGCACCTGTTAATGTCGTCCCCGTCATGGAAGAGGTCAAGTGCCTGAACAACGTCCACATATTCAGACGTTGGGATTGGTAGTCTTTGCTGGTCCATCCGGGCAGCGGCTGCTGCGGCAAGGACATCGAGGGCAGCGCGTTGGCCTCGGTCAGAGTAGGTCATGAAGGTGGTGCGTAGGTAGGGAGGTTCGGGAGCATCGGCTGGACCGGTGGTGGTGGCTGGGTTACCGGAGTCATGACCAGGTTCTGCTTTTGCCTTTCCCTTACAGCCTCCGTCCTTCCCGATGGCGGCCGCAGGCTTGGCACCTGGGACACGTCTGACCAAGACTCCCTGGAGTGGACGTGGTCAGAGAGGGTGGGTGACAGGGGGCGATACCGGACGGGGTTGAGAGAGGGGCGAGGAGAACCTGGATACATAAAAACCGGTGGGGGATGTTGGAGGCGAGGTTGGGGCATAGACACTGACGGGGGGTACGAGCCCATCGTCGTCAGTGTGGTAAAGGGATTCTGGGACAGGGAGGTCGGTGTAGTCATTTTCAGTGTTTACAGAACATGGGGAGTCCATTTAACTCTTGAGGTGTCGGGCAAGTTTGTACTGATCCAATGCCTCTGTCACGTGTTCTTTTAAGTGTTCCTTGGGTTCCCACGTATTGGATGAATGAGGGAACCCTTTCCACTTGACCAGGTACTTTCTTCTTCCTCGATGACCATCAGTTTTGTGATTTACAATTGACTCGACTTCCCACTCCACCTCATCATCTACTAACTCGGGTAAAGGAGCTGCGGGCGCAGTCCCATATACCTCGTTTTTGATGAAGGGGAAGATCCGAGAACCATGAAACACGGGGTGTACCTTCCACATTCCAGGGAGGTCCAATCGGAAGGCGACAGGTGATACAACCTGAGTCACCACGAAAGGTCCAAGACGTTGGGGGGCAACTTTATCACACTGGTTTTTGATGCGCAGGTTGGTGGTATCCAGGAGAACGCGGTCTCCAACCTTGGGCACGACATAAATCCCTTTTGAGCGAGACTTCATTAACTCCTGTGCTTTCTTGTGTGCCAGTACCGCGACATCCCGGCTCGCGGCGAGTCGTTCCAGTCTTTCATCAACCAACGGGACCAGAGTCAACCTTTTTTCCGGGTATGGCGATGGGTCGTAGCCGAGTAATAGGGAAAAGGGGGTCATTTGGTGTACCAAATGGACGCGAGAGTTGTGGGCGAATTCTGTGGAGGGTAGCTTGCTGCTCCAGGAATTTGGGAACTCGGAGCAATACAACCGTAGGTATCCTTCCACTTCTTGATTGACTCGCTCGCTTTCTCCGTTAGTCTGTGGGTGGTATGCCGTAGACAACTTGGTTTTGATCCCTATAGCCTTGTAGAGTTCCTTGGTAAACGAAGATGTGAACTGCGGGCCTCGATCTGAGATTATAGATTCCGGGATACCAAACCAGGGATATATGAACCGGTGAAACAATTTGGCGAGACCTTCGGAATCAATCATTTTTTGGCAAGGAATGAACAGGGTGGCTTTGGACAGCCCTTGATCGACAACCGTGAGAATAGAGTCGAATTTTTCATCTCCCGATACCGGGAGGTCTGTAATGAAGTCCATGGAAACCTGCTGGAATGGAAGGACCGTTTTAGCGGTTTCGTGGGGGATTACCGGGGGTCTTGGTGGACGAGTGATGACCTTGCTTCCTTGGCATGTTGGACATCCTGCGACGTATGCTTTGATGTCCTTTCCCATTCCGTCCCACCAAACCTCCTTTCTCATTTTGGCGAACATCGCCTTTTGTCCTGGGTGTCCGGCGGACTCGTGGTCATGGTAAGTCCTCATACAGTGTCGGCAGTGTTCGGGGGGGATGTATAGGCGGGTAGTTCCAAATCGCTTCGTTCCATCAGCGGCAATGGTAACGTTATCCTTCGGTAGTGGTCCATCATCCTTCTTTTTTGCGGCGTCTTCTTTGATCTGATTGTACAGCTCGCTCGACACGGCCAGAACACCCCTGGTTCCTTTGACGGGTTCCTCAGCAGGGCGAACCACAGGGGGCCTCTTCTCCTTTGACTTTTCCTCAATGGGGCGAGAATAAGGTTTTTTGTTCGGGTGCGGCCGTTCAACGCGACCTGGAAGACGTCCGATTCGTATCCTTCTGTTAACTTTTTGTTGTTTTATTATTTTAGTAAGGGAAAAAGTTGGCGAAACGAGGTGAACTTGAGGGGCATCCACCCCCGTCGAAAGCCAAAGGTCCGGGGGAAGGACTGTGGCCACAGGGGCAGGTTCAGCAACCTCGTTTTTACGTGATAACGTATTGGCAGGCACCTGTAGGTGACCGGCTTGCCAAGAAAAGTGAACCGGGTAGGACTGAACCGTTGCAGCCCATCTCGCCTGCTGGGGGGTAAGTTGTTGCAGTTCACGGTAGTATTCTAGATTTTTGTGGTCCGTGAAAACCACAGTCGGTTCGACCGGTGAGAGGAGGTACGGGCAGAACGCTTTAAGGGCCCTAATGACTGCCAACATTTCCAAATCATAGACCTGGTAATGCTGCTCCGCTCCCACTAAGGACTGAGAGAGGTAGGAGCAGGGGTGCCATTCGTCATCGGATCCCTTCTGGGCGAGGACCGCACCGGTCCTGAGTTTGGACGCATCGGTGAATAGCGCGAACGGTTTTGAGAAGTCGGGGATCATGAGGACCAGAGTGGAGCATAACAAAGTTTTCAACCGCTCGAAAGCGGCGTTACGTTCCGGAGTCCAGGTATAAGAGACCCCTTTTTTGGTCAAATCGTGCAAAGGGCGGGCTATGCTGGAAAAGGAGGGGATGAATTTGTGGTAGAAGTTGCAAAACCCCAAGAAACGGCGAAGACCCGTAAGATTGTCCGGGGCTTCCCAGGTATTGATCGCATCGGTTTTCGTCGGCGAAGTTTCCATGTGACCCTTTCCTATTACCATTCCGAGAAATTCGATTTCTTCGGCCTCGAAAACGCATTTATTAATTTTGAGGCAAAGACCTTCTTTCCGGCAGATTTCCAAGAACTCTTGCACACGACTGCGGAGCTCTTCCCGAGTTTTCCCATGAATAGCAACATCGTCCATATACCCGACTTGCTTTCCTCGTTGACTTTCAAACATTCGATCCATATAACGCTGGAAAGAGGGGGGTGAGTTGCACTGCCCAAAAAACATTACCGTGGGTTCGAAGAGCCCTCGAGGGGTAATGAAAGCCCCTTTCCACTCGTCACCTTCCTTCACCCGAAGATTGGTAAATCCCCATCGGATGTCGAACTTTGCGTAGTATTTTGATTCAACCAGTTCGTCGAAAAGCGCCTGCACATTAGGCAGCGGGTGCGCATCCTGGATAGTGAAAGAGTTAAGGTATCGGTAATCTTGAATTAACCTTTTCTTTCCGTCTTTCTTTGCGACAAAGAACACTGGCACTGCTTGGGGTGAAGTCGACGGTCGAATTTTTTTGCATTTTAGGTTTTCCTCCAAGAATTCATCAAGCACCTTGAGCTCGTCAGGAGACATCGGGTACACAGCAGCCTTCTTTGGTTTAAAGTCATCCCGAAGATGAATTTCATGGTCCAGTCCTGGGTGGTGTGCTGGTAGCGGGATGTCCTCCTCAGAGAACACTTGCGCGAATTCTTGGTACTCCTTCGGAAGCAAAACTTCCTCCTTAGTCGAGGATAAGGCGGCCTTGAGTTCTGTTGACAAAGTTGTTTTATTAATACCACTTACCCGCGGTTCCTTTTCGGAACCATCCTCATTAAACTTCACCACGTATCCTTCGTAACCCAGTAGTTGACTGTGGATGTACAAGTCAGTTTCCCTGGTCGGTTCATACCCATCATCCCAACAGGAAATCTTGTTATTTTCCCAATTCATCTGAGGCTTGTACATTCGGAGGAACAGCATTCCTAGAAGGATGTGCTCTTTTCCGACAAGAGGTCCGACGTAGCACTTGACACGGATTACGCGGTTCTTGATGATCATCTTGATAGTAACCTTTCTCGTAATCCATTCCACGTCTTTTCCCGTAAACGAAGTCGTCTTGAAGTGCGACTTGACGCGGTAGGTCGGTATTTTTAACTTTTGAACTATTCGCTCCAAGATGAGCGAGACCTCTGCACCAGAGTCGATGCAGACCATTACTCCTGTGTTGAAATCCGGTAGCCATACCCGTCCAAGAGGAGATCCGATTCGCATTTTGGATTCATCATCTATGGTGGTAATACAAACAGCGGATAACATTGAAGTGGGACCTACGTGAGGAATTTCCGTGGTCCCAATCAAAAATCCTTCCCTTCCAAACCATATGCCTTTAACTCGTCGGCTGTTGCCAGACGATCTCCCATGTAAGCAATCCTCTTTCCATCATCGGAAAGAACAATTCAAACACCGGGGCAGCTACTGGTCTTCTGGGACTGACAGTCACGCTTATAGTGGCCTTTCTTTCCACACTCGAAGCAAGTGACATCATCATTTGATCGGCGTACATTTTGCCTTCTTTTGTCAACGTCCATCGCATCAGGATCTCGGGCACCTCCGCGGTAATGAATGAATTTGCATTCATATCGGGATTCCTTGCCTTCCAGGATATGTCTAGTGGCGATTGCGGTTCTTGCTTCTCCTGCGCACTGTATCCACTCGATGACGGTGGTAGGGGCGCGTCCAGAATTCAAGATCCAATCGTGATACTCCTTATTAAGGCCTTTCCCGAAGAAGATCCCTGCTTCTCGCGATTCTTCTTTTAGCTGGGCTTTATTAACAAGTCCAGTGAACTCGGCGATGTAAGCTTCAAGTTCTCGTTTCCCTTGAGAGATATCAGACAGATGGAGGATAGCAAGCACGGTCTGATCGCTGGACTCGAAAGTAGCTTTGAGATGCTCGACGAACCTCTGGAAGGTGTCAGTATACCAGATGGTACCATCGAGTAGCTTGTTCTCGTTCTGGTAATTTTCGGCGAACGTGACAGCGGCCCCCTTTGTCATGTATGTCAGGGCAAACGAAATCTTGAGCGACTCCGTGTTGTAGACATGTTTGTTAAGGTTTAAATAACCTTCGACTTGTGTGACCCAGGTCTGAAGCCCGTTGTGGCTTCCATCGTATTCACCGGGACGCCCGACATTAAACTCCCGTCCTCCATTGGGTGGGCGGACATCATACGAGCCATCACCAATATCGGCTGGGGCCTTACCCTTACTGGACCCACCAACAGGATCCTCTGGGGGGATTACCTTTCCGAAACTTCTGGCATACCATGCTTGTAGAGCCGAGTCCGTAGGCGTTCCTGTTGGAAATGGATCACTCGACTGTCCCTGACCAGCTATCTTGCACCAGTCAGCGGCCAAAGAATGCATCCGTTCATCCAACTTCTCCTTCAGCTCCTCCTCGGTGTATACCTTCGGCGGCATTTCAGGGGCTGATTCTCCGTGACCGATCGTCATGGACATTTCTGGTGACTTGTGTGCTTCTTGTTCTTCCTTGAGGACTGATCTGAAAGAAGTATCGGACTTCTGATCGTCTTCTTCTTCTGAACTAAGCGCGACTTCCGATTCCCTAAAATGGGATAGATAAGACAACCTAGGATTGCTTGCTGTGGCTGACGGCCCAAGTCTTCCTAGCGGGATTGGTGGCAAAGGCGGGTTCCTACCAAGTCCTTGCGGTAAACACGGGGGAACTGGTGGTCTCGACTTCTGTGGGTTTGACACTTTGTCGGATAGTGACAACGAAGGCTGAGGGAGGAATTATTTCTCGAAAGAAACCTGTCAGCGCAAGAGGGATCGTGCGCGAGTTGCTTTACGCGTAGGGAGCGACGAGCGCAGACTCTAGGGAGGCGATCTATTAAAGCCTAGTGGCTGCCTGTAGAGCGGTGGATTTGATTTAGGGTGGAGGGATGCTTCTCAATACTGCCCAACTTCGTTAAGACCGAGCTGAGTAGCGTGGAAAAAGGGGCGAGTCAGTCTTTACATGTAGGGAGACCAACGAGCCTCTTGTTTGATAGGATTGGTTTGTTGAAGTTCAGTAACCGGGGACGAGTCAGACTTTTGCGAAGAGGTCGACGAGTCCCGAAAGCTGCGTGGAGTTTTTCGATTTTGTTATGCCCGAGCACGGTGACTTCTTCAAATGGAATAGGCACGAAGCGTGCGAGGTGGGAGACTACGGGCCAAACTTGTCGTAACCCCTATGGCTGAGTTATTGCAAAGATCCGACAGAGGTCTTGTCTACTGGTGAGTCCCTAAGGTTGTTCGCACGGAGAGAAGACGAGGATTGAAGCAAAGTAATTAGCTCAGTTGCAAGCTATCGAAAAACTGGGGATACATGGTAAAGTATGTGGGCTTAAATACCCCTAAGTAAGAGTACCGTACCAGTCGCGACAGGCGTGTCGCGACGTGTATCCGCAGTAGTCAATGAACTAATCTTTGAAATAAATAAGAGTCATCTGGTGTTAGTGATGGGGGTAGGCAGAGAGACGAAGGCTATACCGGCTACGCAATCAATGCGCAGCGAGGAGCCAGACACCGGAACTATAGTACAGCATAAATGAGTCATGAAGAGTCAACGGAACATGGAAGGGACATCTCTACCATTACGAGAGCGGTGAACATCACGGATCACAAATGATGAGTCTCGACAGGTTTTGGAAATACCTGGACAACGGGTGATCCAAGCCTCCCTCGCAACATATATACCCCTAGAACGACGACGAGTATCAGCGACGTGACAAGGCACGTGATGCACGTGACCGCCAAAAGTCGAAAAAGGAAGGACCCTTGACGGAAGTGTAACATCTTGTGACAGAAAAACTGAACCTGTAGGGTTTACTGGATCATCCTGTTGACTTCTTCTATGTTTCTGGGTAAAGCAAGCATCAATGCAAACAATTGCATCAGGATCAGAGGAGCTAGGACCCAAGACTACTTAGTAACATAGGATTATGTATGTGCACCAAGAAACATACCTATTATTATTTTTCCAGTTGCAACTACCAAAGCACAATGGACAACACTTTTGTAGGTATTCCAAAGGTCATATCCTTGAACTTGAGACATCTGGAGGGTGGTGAGAGGATGATGGAACTGCAGGGAGGATGTCAGCTGGTGGGGTTGCAGCACTTTCCAGGTGTTGTTGAACATATTCATCAACTGAGATTTCCAGGATGCAATACCAGTGGTATGCATTACTAAACCTTCGACATATACCTTCCTGTAAGTATCATTAGCACACATCATTAATAGATATGGATGGAAATGGTTAAAAGCATGCATTGACTTGATAAACACAGCACAAGATCAGATCTGCAGACATGTGCACATTCATACAACCACAGTGCAATCATTCATTAGACACAAACAACAAAGTCCCAATAGGTTAGACATACACAAAACTGTAGTCTCATAATCACAACATAAATGAAAGCAGTGGATACAGATAATATAATCATTGGGACAGAATTCAGACACAAACCTTTGTGTCTACCTTGTAGCCCATGCTAGCAAGATATGCTTCAAGGGACTTGCACCATGCAGAAATGTTTGGGGGCATGCACATAAAGACCTGCCTGACCAGACTCAGAAGCTGTAAACTGACAGCAAGGGTTGGCCCCAGTGGTGCAGATGGAAAGTACCCCATCTGCAGGAGCTGAAGTGCCACTGGTGCACATGGACAGATGGCAAGATCAACCATTTTCAGACCTGGCACAAGACATATGTCTAAGTAGAGAGGAACACATGCAATAAAATCTTACCATTGAAACTAACACAAAGAACCTTCAACCATCAAGAAACACAACTACACTCTGGTTGCTCATAGTCAATGCAGTGCTGGAAATTTCTAGAGAGCCATCAATATGCAAGATAGGGCTCAATAAGTGAGGGGATGGTTTCAGATGACCACTACTGCCATTGTCTCATTTTCTTGTGAGCATTGCAGGATGGTGAGGATGGTGGGACAAAAAAGTCATTGTGACTGACATGTAGCCCCTCTGTTAGACAATCCAAATGGGCAGGGGTGAGCTCATCCTCAGATGGGAGGCAAGCTCCCATGAGGGGAGGGGAGTTTGTAGCAGAAGCAGTGTGGAGGGCTGAAGTCCCCTGAGGTGGCTGCATGAAACTGCAGTGCCCAGGCAAAGTGACCAGACATTCAATGGGAAGGTAAAAATTGGCTGTGCCTGGTGTGCAGCACAGCAGCTCAACCCAGTCATGGTCAACAAGTACTGCTTGACCCCCAGAGGAATGCAAGTCAGAGACTGGTACAGGGGGAGGATGACTCCCAGAGGAATGCAAGTCGGAGGTCACAGGAATTGAGGAACAGTGATTCAAAAACTTCCTTGGGTGATGAAATGACATCTGGAATGTTGATCAGTTCTCTAGCCAGGGAGAGACAACAATCCAACAACACCAAGTTGGAGGACTGTGACCAGAACACCTAATTCTAGTCTGCTGGTCATCAGCACCAAGCCACCACAAGCACATCCAGTTAGCTGGCAGTGATAGACAAAAGCTGACCTTTTGATACACAATAGGCAAGAACAATGACACAGACAAGGGGTGAAAATGATGCAGATTTTATGGTAACTACAAGTACATAGCCATGTAATTATGCTTGTGGGGGACAGGGGGGAAGTGCAGATGACGATGCAGATGATAATGCAGATGGTGATGGGATTAAGCAGTTATTGCCCAAGCCATAAATACTGCAAGGATTTTTTGGAATAAGATGGAGGACAATAGGCAAATGACTGAAGTTATCAAAGAATGACTGCACATAAAATAATGCAAGCCATTTTTCCACTGCCCAAACATGTGCCAGTGAGGTGGACAATGGAAGTGAGGTTCCCAAATCTGGTGGAAACCCTGGCCATGAAGCAAGCAACATCTGGAACCTCTCAACATATTCCAGCTTTGTTTGGAGTTCTAGTGAGGCCAGACCTTGATCCTTAACTGGGAAGGGTTCAGTGAACATGGTAAGCTCTGAATCTCCTGGGAAGATCTGCATAAAAGTTTAGTAAATGGATTCTTTTGAGGTGCAAGGCAGAAACTTACCTGACAGACTTGGTCCAGCCACTCAGATTCCACACTCAACCAGAGGGTGGGCACCAGCAGATGGTCCAGGGTGACCAGCTTGAAGCAGAAACTGTGTTCATACAGGTCCCAGAGAATCTTGCCCTTCATTGCTGAGTTGATGGTAGTGAGGTCTGTGAGATCAATCATAATGTCACAGAACTGCACATGACTCGGTACATCATGCTGAACCTTCATGAACTCTGGACCAAAGATATCAGCAGCTTCATGTATTTGGTTCCCAAAAAAACTGATCAAAATGCAGTCAGGAATTGTGTTAAGATGATCATGCCACAAATGGGGAATGACAGGGGATGCATCCGAAGCAGTGAGTTGTGTGATCTAACCTGCTCAGGCCACCAACCAATTCCGGAGGTACCTCTGCCTCCACTCTGAGGACTCACCTCTCATAAATAGCATGGGGTGAGGGAAAAAATATGTGATTTTGGGCACACTGGCATGAATTCTCTTGGGGTCCTTGTTGATGTCAGTAAGTGCAGCATTCCATGAGTAAATGTGAGTGGGCAAGGCAGGATCATCAAAATCCTGTGGCAAGTTGACATTTGGAGCAGTGGAAGTCTTGGCCTTCTTTGAACCTGCAGAATTATCTGAGCAGATGGTTGTAAGTGTAAAGATCTTGATCAGTAATGAAACACCCACAAGGACCACTGCAATGTTTAGCCCTATCCATTCTGACAACTCCTGAGGTGGAGCCAGGCATGCTGGAACTCACAGTATTCAAGGCCACTGAGCCAGAGGTTGTGGAAGTTGACACTGCAGGAATTGGGTCTGGCCAAGGCACCACAAATTGCTCAAGACCCACTACTGGAGCTTTGTGGGTGTGGACATGCATAGGATCACCAGGGTAATACCACCTAGCATTCCACTTGAGCATTTGGCTGACCTCAAACTCATCTGGGGTAGTGATAATGCCCTCTGGGCATGTAATGTTGACCTCACAATGTATCTTCATATCCTTTGGCACTAACTCCAGCTTCCAGACTAGCCATACAGGGATGTGTGCTTCAAAGAGTTGCTTGCAGACATCAGGATCTGTGGTAAATGCACCTATCCAACACTGTTTTGCATTAAAAAATGGGCCAGAAGGGGGGGTAATTTTTATCTCAAGGGAGTCTACCATAGTGTAAATATCCATACAAAGACATTGGAAGAGCATGACTAGGACCACCATATCATGGAAGGTGAATGGGAGTTGCTATGGAATTGTCAACTATTGAAATATCAGACAATGAGATATCATACCTTCAGATGCATGAGAGACCTTTGACATTGCCTAATCCATATGTGCACCTGGAGAGGTCCCTCATTGTCAGGGTTCTTTGGTGGCCAGTTCTTTGCCCACTCTTCTAGTCGCTTATACATGATTTCCAGATGCTTCCACTTGTCTGGATGAACCCTACCAACCCTGAACGCTGATCCTCTCTCCAAGGCAAAGTCTTCCAGCACATTCCTGATGTTCCACCACATCCAAGACCATGTCAGGTTGTCCTGATAGACTGCATGTCAAGGGATACATCTGGCCCACATATAATGCTCGGCATATAGTTGAGGCCACTGGAAACAGTTGATGTGGCCAAATCAGCCATCAGAGCAGAGCGTGATTGTCCTCCCCTTGAAGAGAAATGGTTTGGGAATGAAGTCAGCATTAGGAGAGGTGATCCAGTGGTCATTATATTTCACAAGAATGCATGCATCGAAGGCACCATAATTCCCTGAAAGAGAATGCATTGGTTATGAGCCACATTAGGTTAAATAATAGAGCACACCATCACCCAGTTGGGTTGCTGCCATGACCTGTTGAGTGCATTCTTGAGGCATATCAATCCTATAAATGAAATAAGAACTGAAATATGTAGCATCTTACTACAGATTCCACTACAGGGTCAATAAAAACATACCCAGGAGATAAGAGGCATTTGAAGGGGGGAGGAGATAAATAAAGCAATATGGCTATAGTAGAATTGTTGAAGCACACCCTGGCACTGAGTCAGAGTACCAGCCATGACATGGAGTCACATCATCCAATGTTCCTCTGACAACACTAGCATTGCTGGTATCTGTGAGACCATCAAGGAGGAGATAAATGAGAAAACAAGTGGATCACACACCTACATGGTATATAGAACCTTGCACCCAATGAAGATTTCATGCACAGATGCCAGGCACACAGTCTTCAATGCCCTGAGTTGTGCTATGCAAGGTAGTGCCTCCATGAAATGGAGTCTCATCCACATGACTGGTACCATGAGCACACCAAGTTTACTGAGATAGGCACCAAACCTATCTCAGTGCTCAAAGGGCACCAAACCCTTTGAATCCTGGCAGAAGAATGTGCCAAACATTCCTCTCCATGACATGAATTGATAAAAAGAAAGAAGAAGAAAGAAGAACTCACCTTAGACAGTAGTGTGAAGGCAGTTGTGGATTAAGATGTGTGGATCATTTGAAGGGCTTGCAAAAGAAGTGCAACAAGTGCAGTGAGCATGTGATCATTACTGCATTAAGTCAGAGCTGACTTAGCATGAGAAATTTGCTGGCAGTGCATGTGGACTATTTGGTGGTGGCAGTGCCATGGCAATGTTATGATGCTGCCTGTATGCAGTCAGGTTCATGCATGTGGGGCAGGCTCATTGGTGCCTGAACCTAATATATAACATATGTTGTAATGCCCCTGCATTCAATTCAAACCAGATCCCAGAGGAAATACCAACAAATTAATTGTCATAGGTGTGTACTTAGTAACCAAACATACACAATGTTGACATATTTGCACACTTGTTTCCCTTCTCTACTCTCCACTCTCCACTCTTGCTGTCAATCCTCTGCCAGGGGAATGCTTGGTGCCCTTGACAGCTCTTGAAGGCTTGAAGCCTTCAAGAGTCATCTTGGTATGGATTGGCTGTTGGTCATGTGGATGAGACTCCATCTCATGGAGGCACTACTTTGTGTAGCACAACTCAGGGCATTGAAGACTGCCAGCTTTCCTTGGCTACCCTGGAGTCCATCTTTTACTTCCCAAATGAGACTCACCTGTTCATGTTACCTGCTGGTGAGTTTGAGGCTTGTGTCTCCCCAAGATGTTAATCAAGTTTCTCTTCACTTTCTCAAACTTCCTGATCAATGCTACATTCTCTCTGTCATCTGTTAAGGTTGACATTTGTCCTTGGCTGCCCCCATCTCTGCCTTCTCCTTCTCAGACAAGACTCTGTTCACTTTGCCCATTGGTGAGTTCAAGGTTTGCATCTCCCTTCCTTGGCTGATTTCCAATTATCTTTGTATAGGGATGCCAATTGGGTTTCTCTTGCTCACTTTCTTACTTTCCTGCTTAAGGCAGTGTTCTCTCCATCATCTATTAAAGCTGATGGTTTTCTGTGGCTATCCCCAGCTCTGCCTTGTCCATCTGAGACAAGGCTCCTTCACTTTTCCTGCTGGTGAGTTCAAGGTGTGCATCTCCCCCTTCCTTTGCCAATCTCTGATTGTCTTTGTATAGGGACACTAATCAGGTTTCTCTTACTCGCTTTCTTACTTTCCTGGTTAACACAGCATTCTCTCCATTATCTATTAAGGCCGATGGTTTGCCATGGCTACCCCAAGTTCCATCTTCTCCTTCTGATACTAGAGTCTTTTCAATTTGCCCACTGGTGAGTTTGAGGCTTGCATCTCCCTTCCTTTGCTGAGCTCCAACTGCCTTTGTGTGGAGATGCTAATCAGGTTTCTCTTCTTCACTTTCTTACTTTCATGGTCAATGGTATGTTCTCTTTGACATCTATTACACCAGGGGGATGTTTGGTGTGTCCCCCGCCAAGTGCCAGGGGCTTGGTGCCCAAGGCAGCTCTCAAAGGCTTGGAGCCTTTGAAAGTCATCTTGGTATGGATATACCCTAAACTCTACCTTTTCATTTCCCAAGGATATTCCATTCATTTTACAAGCCAGTGAGTTTGAGGCTCACTTGTCTCCTCAGTTCCTGATCCCCAATTACTCCTGTGTAGGGATGCTAATTAAGTCTTCCTGTCCTTCCTAGCATTGTCTCCACTTCTGTCATAGTGAGCTGCAAACAAGTAAGTGTTTAGCCTTTGCATCTATTCTGTTAGTTATATTCTTTACCTGGGGCACATAATGATCTGTTTAACAAGAGTGTAATTATGACATCTCTACAGACTGTGCATGCAGGATTCACCAAGGCAGATCCTACATGTTATTCCATGGATGCTAACAAATGGGGAAGAAGAACCTTCTGTTGGAGATCTGCCTATTGACTTACAATATTGTCTGTGTTTTTCTCCCTCTCCCTTCCAATCCTCATCTCACTATGTGCCAGCCACCCTCACTCAATAATGGGCAAAGCACAAGTGCCATCAACCTAAGTGTGTGATTTTCTAACCACTGTCTGATAGCCAACATTCAAGGGTTATGCAGGCACTCTAATCACTATTGTTTTGCATCTTGAACTGAGTGCAGTCGATGCTGCAACCCTTGCCAACATCCTACTTTTGAGATCCCAGCATGAAGGTGGGCAATTTTCCAAGATTTTTGTTCCTTGACAGTAATCATCTCCCATGGCACCATCATTTCTGTCAAGTTCAGCTCCCTCAATGTCATCATCCTGTCAGGAGGGCACTGCTGTGGTCCCTTTCCTCCCCTTTTCCCCCATTGGACTGGAGGTCCCCACTCCCCCCATATCAATCCATCTAACATCCACTGACACCCCTGACTCCACCACTGTTCTTGTCTGTGGACATCCAGACATGGAACCAAGGGATCCATCCCTGGTGGATGAGTGTTGGCATACTTCAACCAGAGTATTTTTCACAGTGACCCTGTAAACATACCTGTTTTGTATAAAGCTTTGCTTTTTAATTTTAATTCTTAATTTGGCTCAAGTGTAACCAACAACATGACTACTAATGGATTTTCCACCTGGTGCAGGTAAGTGGAGATATTGCAAATACAAAGGTTTCAAGATTGGGATCTGTTCATGGATGTGTTGTTACTGACCTCCATCTGTTCTCACCCTGACCATTTGGCACAGTTGTCCACAAGAGTTGAGGGCTTGGCACCCTTGGGGGTTTGGAGCCTTTGAAGGTTCTTGTCAATTGCATCTATGAGACCCTCAGGAACAGAGTCATGGCATCGTCTGAGCCTTTCTGTTCACTGTCATCACACATGTATCATATTACTAAGTGGTATGTATTCCCTCTGTCTTGGTTGTTGCATCTTCCTTACTGTTCTCTTGCTGTTCTGGCATTTACCAATGTTTTGTTGTCAATTGCATGCATGAAACTCACATGAACAGAGCTCATCTTCTGAGGCTCTCCATTTACCACCATTGCACATGTATTCCATTACCAAGTGGTACATATTCCCTCTGTTTTGGGCCTTCAGGGGTTTGAGTCTCTGCTTATTAGCAATGTATTTCCTCTGTTTTCATTATTACATCTTCCATTCTGCTCACTACCATTGCATGAGTATGTTATTACAAAGTGGTATGTACTCTTTCTGTATTGGTTGTTGTATACTCCTTATGGTTCGTTCCACCCGGTATTTATCATGATACAGCATGACACCAATCTTCTTTTCTGATATTTTCCTTTTGTTCCACTCACTACTCATGTAATAACTGCAAGTGTCATTATTCCATCCCAACAACCTGCCATTTTACCAAATAACTCCATGGGTTTTTTTATGTCAGGTAAGGCATGACTTTACTTAAATACCTCATCTGACCACTTTTCCCCTCCTCCCCCATCATTCTTGACATGCCTCATGCACCAAAAGGTGTTGACCAAGTTGTGGACAACACTATGGATTTGCACACCCAGGTTCTTTGAAACCACAAAATCCCCACCACCAAGATGGCCCCTCCACTGGAGGTAAGTTATCTTGTCACTGTCAATCCCATCTGACCCCTGCCTTCACAGATCAAAAAAGACAAGCCCAAGCCCCAGCACATGGTGCAACCACCTGAAGGATGGGAAGAACATATGTTCAGTCTCCATGACAGGAGGAGATCACTCACTCCTAGTGTCTCTGTGTCCTCCCAAAATTCCACTACCCTGATCTTGCAGGAAGACCAGGTTGAGGGCACTCCAATGGAGGAGGATGCTGGTGAGGCTGAGGCTGAGGAGGTTGAGGTCAACATTCAAGCTGATGAGGGCAGTCAACGTCCTGATGATGGGGCTAGTCAACTTCCAGATGATGAAGGTTCATTTTTTTTTGAATATTTTTCTCATTCTCTCACAGTTCTGTAGATGTTGTGTTGTTATATCCTTGACTCTGTGGTTTGGTGCCCCCTGCTTCTCTCATCTGACTGTGGGTTTGGTGCCCAATGGTCTAAAGCTAGGCACTTTGGATCCTCATGAGAGTCACCAAGTGTCCTGTGTCATTTTCACTTTTTTTTCTAGACACTTTGTTATCCTTTGATGTGTCTTTTGTCGCCCTTCAATGTATTCTCCTCCAATATTGATGTGCTCATAGTAGATGAGGATGGTTCTGAATCATCACTTCCTCCATCTTTGCCACCAGCTGAAGACTCCAGTTCCAATGCTGAGGATGGGTTTCCCCCATGTCATCCTGGTCACCATGTGGAACACAAACCTAAAAGCAAGGGCAAAAGTGGGGCTATGGATGTTGACAACAGTGATATAGCAAGTCAGGATGATCATGAACCTGCCCAGAACACAACACCTATAGATGCTTAGTAGGCTTCCTAGTGTGACTATACCCATATTTCCTAGTGTAGGGGCTGTCATGTGACTTCATGTCATGGGACCAGGGCAGTGATGGGTCACATGATTACCTATCATGTGACCAAAGTGGTGTCACATAGTCTGTGCACCATCCCTCATGTATATATAGCTGCAAGGTGTCACTGCCATAGACCCTTAGTTTGAACTACACAGTTCTTCTCTAATATTGAGCCCTGCTCTACTAAGAACTACTATCTTCAAATCTTGTTACTCAATGCTCCATCTGAATAACTAAAGGCAAGTGCTCAGCTGGCTCTTGCCCTTTCTCTCATCCTCTGCCAATAAGCTCTCCTCTCTTGTATTGCCCACTCAAGCAAGCTGATGACAGGGCTGCAGGAGAGGGATTTACACTCAAATTATGTAGTGTAGCAGCCTGTATCTCAATTGTGTATTGTGTACTAATTGTCTCAAGTTTGCCTTCCCCAACAGTAGGAAAAACCCTTTGTTTGGATGACTTTGCCCCCTTGTGCAACAGGCATGAGTCCTACTGTCCACAATTGTGCACTCTTGGGCATTTTGTGGACTTGTAAGGCTTAGTGGCTGTGCCCCATGACACAGAATCCTACCAAAGTACTTCACTTTTGGTAGTCACTTGATAGTCAAAAAAGCGGACACCACCATACACTTGTTAGGCAGTTTACTACACAATGCAATGCTACACTTTTGTTAGTCAAGCAAAGATGAGATTTGACAGCCAAGAGAAAAAATTACCACATTGCCACATGGTTTTGTTGTTCAAAAGTGGAAGTTTTATACTACTTAGCAAAATTAGTGAAATGCATGAAATACTCATCAACTATTAGTGATCATTTGCTTCCTCCCTTAAATATATGAATATATGATGATATGATATAAGATACAGTACATCAGGAAAAGTGGCATCTGCCCCTAGACTGATATAGAGCAACCAATGTTGCTTTATGGAGCTATTGATGAATCAGGATCAATGTTGTTGCTATAAATCACTTGTGATCAGCAGAGCCTGATGACAGACTAACATTGGAAACATTGTGCTCCATTGATGGCTTTAGGAGGTCCTTTATTAGGACTCTCTGATGTAAAGCCACCCATGGCACTACAGGCTGCCCTTATTAGGGCTTCCAAATGTAAGGTGACCTATGGTGCTATAGGGCAATACCAGTTTCACATGCTCTATGGCTAGGCAGTCCCAAATGTATTGGGATTTAGCTGGAACACTAGGATGTATTTCAAGATTTGAATTAAATGAGTAATGTGTATACATCTCTAGATAATATTAAACCAGGGGAATTACATATCAAGATTCTAATCAGATGTGTAAAGAAGACAGCACCCTACTTATTGCTGGCTCCTGGCTGAGTAACTGAATTGACCCAGAAGTCCTCAAGCTGCTCCTGTATTTGTCCACACCTGTCAAAAAGGGTGATTCATTCACTGCAGAATTCCATCACACCATGGAGCTGGCAAATCTCCACCTCCTCCCCATGGATCATCTCATCACAGCTTTCAATCAACCAGCTGATAGTCTCTGATGGGATTTGGTCCATGTCACACAGCAGTGGAATACTCTCTGTTCTTTCCTATGGTATGCATGGATTCAATGGAATGATCAAAAAAAAATCCCACCATGCACCTCAACCCCAACAAAGAATTCCTTGGCCTCCTGCAAAACTTCCTCCAATGACCAATGATCATACCCATCCAGGTGGGTAGGGTCCCTCATCCACCAGGTATGGGGCATAGGACTAGTGTGGATCATTCATTTCACCTCTCCAATTTTAACCTGCAGGACATCCATCTCCATGACATGTGCCATCAGGGCAGTCTCTCCCATATTGTGTATGGCCAACCACCAAAGCAGCTCACCAGCAATATATGGGACCTTCATGATTGTCCCATAGGAATTGCAGGTAGCCAGGACCTGCTTCAATATATGCTGCAGACAAGGCCATGACACAGCAAACCAGCATCCATTTTGACAAACTCACTATTTCCACCTGATCCTGCTGATACCAGTCATCTGGTGTTCAATCACTTGGGTTGTTGGCCTGTTGCAAAGCATATGCAAACTGTCTAAATTGGACACTGATGTATTGGATTATCATAGAGAGGTAGGATAGATTAGTGGTCCTGACATCCATGGTGATTCAGAGTAGTGTTGGATTGGGTGCAAATGTTATGACTTAGCAATGTGGCTGACACATGTGATGACTGCAAGACAAGAGACCATCAATAATTACATCCTGGGAGGCCAGAATAGAAAGTGGCCTATTCCAGTGCAGTGGCTGGAAATCAACCTGAATGAGACCTTATGATAGGATGAGTGCCAGATTGGACCTCCACATCATTCTCAGCTCTCACAGTGCTGAATAGTTCCAGGACACATGGGGCATTGGTGGGGAAACAGTGTGGGAGATGACTGCCAGCAGGTTTCTGAAGAGACCAATGGTGCTGATAGCAATTTATATTGATTATGCTATACTGTATACCAGTGTTTGCTGAGGTTGCCCTGAGAGAATGTCCCTGATGAGCCAGAATGGTGATTTCTTGACTTGTGTTACAGCAAGGGGACTTGGTGGTGCAAAATCACTGTTTGACATTGTCTATTTGTTGACAAATCATTCAGTAGACCATGTGATACATTACATAAGCATTGGTGAGCATCTCACCATGTTTCATATGTGTTCCCAAGGACTACATCCCCAGTATATCACAAAGTTACATAATTGTCCCAATGAGCTCTCATTTTCATTTGGGTATTCTGACATCAGTTCCTATTCAAATATTATGTAATATGGCTCATCAGAGAGCCATGACAAGCTGCTTTGATCCATCCACCAACACCTTGGATTCAATAATGATATTTCACTCACTACACAATGATTCATGAAAAACATGCAAACATTGGGACAATTTTGTGAGCCACTGTACAGTGTACCACATAGTAAGATATGAAAGGTGAAGTGCAAAGGTGAAGCACCAGCATGGGAGAAAAGGGGCATATGACATATGGAGAAGGGTTCATGGAAAATTAGTCCAGCTGGAGTTTTTAGTGTCATCTGACAGGACTGACTGACAACATGGCAAGGCAGTGGCTGAGGCAACACAACTGCAGAATTCTGGATTGACAACTGATGGGTGTTACTGATGGACAGGGGGAACTCTGACAGGTCTGAGCAGGTAAGGCAGGGCATGAAGCAGATAGTATGAGGCTGCAGAACAATTCTGGAGGTGACAGACAGGGAACTCTGATAGGGGTCAACCTTAGTAAGTATGGAATTGGATGTTAGTGCTCCTATTCCAGCCTCAGGGAGTGTACCACTCCCCACACCTCCCAGGGTCTTCAAATGCTGACCATCCCCAGTCAGTGACCATTGACTTGCAACAGAATGATGGTGGAGATTTGGCAGGTTATGTAAATAGCGATGGCTCATGTTCAGGAGTGTGCCTTGTGTGAGAGAAAACTCCACATGTAGAAAACATGTCAGTCCAGTCCAGTCCACTCTCAGCTACTCATTGCCACTACCTTCCCCCTTGACCATGCAAGCTTACTCCATCAATGACATGAGACCAGTATTCAGCATGGAGGCCCAAGCTGTGGCATCACTCACAGGAGTGCTCAAGTGCACCAGAAGGTTGACCAGAGCAGTGCCCCAGCCAGAAGAGATGCTGGAAATTATCTACAAGTGGGTAGACAAGTGGGATGCTGATGTGGGTAAGTATGCAGCTGGCTGTGCAGTGCAAGGGACCTGAGCAAAATTCCACAGGCTACCATCTACTTGTGGTGGAAATATGTGGACAACCATGAGATTGCCATGCCTGATCTTGATGGCCACTGCCTCCAGGAGTTGACTGAGCAGTCAGCATTCAAAAACAACCTCTTCATTGTGGGGGCAATTGTGATCACAGATCTTTGGCAACCAGAAGGTCAAAGGCAGTTTCTTGTTGAAGATGTTTTCAAGGACTACCAGGAAAGGGTCAAAGAGTGGGTGCACCTCGAGGCTGAGAGGCTGGTGAATGAACCTACAGTGTGTACACAATGACAGGTGGCAAGGAGTGTAGGCAAGCATCAAGACTGCATGCCCTGTGACACTGAAGGAGGAGAGTCATCAAGGGGGGGTGAGTGTTCAATGGAGAAAGGCTCAGGTAGCACAAGCAAGGGGAAGGGTAAGGAAAAGGTACATCCCATACTCCAGAAAACTCCATGCATCATTACTGACTTCCACTGAAACTCTGTAGGCCATCAACAAAGTCGACAAGCTTGAGAGAAACCAGGGGGACAATCCACCTAATCCTGGTCCCTCAAGGGTTAGCACACCTGCTCAAGAGGACCTCAAGCCATGCTTATCATGCATGAGGGTGAGGCCCAAGTGCAAAGGGTGTCCTGGAGAATTGTGCAAATGATGCAGGAAGGCAAAACAAAAGTGTAGCTGGGCTCAGAGTGGGAAGGAAGGTGAGTATGATTAAAAAGAAACTCAAGGAACAAAGACACTGAACCCTGGAACAGTGGAAGAACTCTGGCAATGGAGGGATGATGGCTGGCCCATTGCACAAACAGACCAAGTCCATAACAGTGACCACAACCAATGTGCCTCCTCCAGCAACAGCATCTCCAGCCATGACTGCACCTCCAGTACCAACAGGCTTGAAGCTGCAAATTCTGGCACACAGACCCCCTCCTACATGTAATTCCAAGCCATCTCCTGACCCTTCAACACCTCTGCCAGATGACCCAACTCCCTCTCATGACCTTCCACCATTGCCCATGCCATGTCCACCACTCTTCTTCCCATCAGCAACTCCCACACCTTGACCATGTACTGAGCCAACACCTCTGCTTATGAATGAACCCAAAGACCTTGGCAACAGGGGCATCCTTGGCTGCCTGCCCAGACTTCCTGGATGATCCATCCATTCCAGATGACAATGTGCAGAACACACCTGGAGAACCACAAGCTCAAGAAACTCTGCCAGTCATAATTCCACACAAATCAATGGGTGCCCTCATGGAATGCACTTGAGTCTTGGAGGCTAGGGTGGATGACAAAGAGTTCAAGCTAGGCCAGATTCACCAGCTTCTGGGGTCATTGAGGATGTACATGGAGAGACAGATCAGTGCAGTGCAGATGAGGCAGGAGGAACTGCAAAAGCTGAAGGATCAGCTCCAGGACTTGTGAGTTAATGACCTTTCTATGCTACCTGTACCATACTCATATCTGCGGAATTTTTGAGTTTCTGTGGCATAAAACTTCTAGTTATATGCTAAGTAAGAACTGAAGAAAAGAAAATGAATGACTGAGAATGAGAGAGAACTTGCAATTTTTTTTTTTGACTCTTTGTGACTTGTTGTTTTTTAGATGTTTTGTTTGTGAGGGAGTGAGGGGAGATTGTATAAAAAAAAAGAAAGCAAAGGAAAAGAGAGAGAAAAAGAAACAAACAGGAAGAGATGGGGGTGCTACTCATCTGACTTGCCCAAAGGGATGCCAGTGAGTGCAGTGTCTGGTAATGAATTGTCTTCAAGGCAATCTAGGTCTTGTGCAGAAATACCAGTCAGCTGCATGACTTTGATATGAATGTTATTCCATGGGAAATAGGGGTAAAGATGAAAGGCAGCAAAGCAGAATTTCAACACCACTCCATCTAATTCCATGAGTACATATGAACCTCCTTTTGCATGCTGGACAACAATCATTGGTCCCAGGTAGTGTGGTTTGGTTTTATGATCTAGTTCTCACTCAATTCATGAATTCCACACTAGGACAAGAGACCCAGGTTCAAAGTCAAAGTCCTTGATGGTATGTGCAAAGCAGGTGATGAAATCTTTGACAGCTGCATAGTAAGATTTTAGTACTAGATCATGGATGTGAGTGAGGTCTTCTGGACATTTCTGAAGTTGGCGAGCACAGTGGGTGATGAGATCTGCTGTTGAATAAAATTCTGCCTTGAAAGGGGCTAAGAATGTCACTTTGACAAGGTTGAAGGGGAGTCTAGGTTCAACACCATGAGCAATATAGAATGGGGAAACTCCAGTTGCCTTATGGACCATGACCCTCTCTGCCCAAAATACTGCAGGGCCAACTTCTGACCACTTCAACACCTCACCTCCACAGCTTTTCACCAACAATTCCCTTACATTGAAATGCCATTGCTCAACAACTCCATTACCTTGCAAATTATAAGGGGAGATGCATATGTGACAAATTCCAAAGGTCTTGGAGAGCCAATCAAGAGCAAGAACACATGGTCCTCCATTATCTGTAACAATCTCTGCAATGGCACCCCAACAACATAAGATCTGCTCAAAGATAAACCTTCCAATGGACTTGCCAGTCTCTGCACAAAACATAGCCCACTCCAGGTAGCTGGTGAGTGAACAGCAAGCTTGGGTGACATAGTGAAATCCATTTGACTTTGGAATTAGGAAGGTGTCCATGTATGCCTTATAGAATGGGGGTTTGGGGATAGTGATGACCAGTGGGATATGTATGTGATCTAGACAGTGAATTTGGCACTCATGGCATGATTTGACATACCAGAAAACATCCTGCTCTAGCATAGGCCACCAAAAGTGGGTCAGCAAATGCATGCAGGTCAAGAAGATAGCCTTGTGTCCTAGCTTGTTGTGAGCCTGGCAGAGAATTTTGAGGTGCTTCTGATGGGCAACCACTAGCTGGTGACATCCTTGGGGCTCCTTCACAGCTCTCCCCTTTTAATGAAATACTGAGTTGCAAGACACACTAGACTCTCCAATCCCCCCTCTTCCAGTCCTTCTGGTGTCCTCTTTGTCTCCAAGAACTCCTTCACCACTCTCAACCTCTCCTCTCTCTGCTTTGCTTTCTCTGATCACAGAATTTCAGTCTTGAGATTTTCTGGCATAGGTTCTTCAGTAGTAAAGATGCCTAGACTCTGTGGTAAGGCAGGGGGTGAGTCTGGCACAATGCTTGGAGATTCTAAAGGGTAAGGCAGAGACTTGAAACAGGCTTCCCTATGATTCAAGAGTTTGACAGTGAATGCTCCACACTCATCTATCCAATCCTCATACTCTTCTCCTTCATCTTCAGGGTCCTCTTCTGCTTTCAGTCTCCTTGACAAGCCATCTGGTTCTGCATGTTTGTGTGCTGGTACATGTATGAGCTTGAAGTCAAATAGAAGATTTCCAGCAATCCAATGGTTGATGGTCATGTTAGGCTGTAAATTGGGATTGTTAATCATCCCCTTGATATACCATGTGTCAACCTTGACAACCAAATTCTGCACACCAAAGATGTGTAGTCTGACATTGTGCAAGGCATGGAAAAGACCAAAAAGCTTGACTTTGGCTTGACTGTAGCAGCATTCACAGTTGTTGAGAGTTATCAAGCTGAACCTGGCAGGGTACCATTTACCATCTTCTCCCTCCTGCATGAGGAGGTATCCAATGGCAAGGTTAGATGTGTTGATGGCTAAAATGACTTCTTTCTTGGTTAGCTTGACAAGGGGACATGCATGTTTAGCAAAATCTTTGATAAAGATCCTGCAATATGAGCAAAGACCTAGGAATCTGTGCACTTTAGTAATGTTAGTGCAGTAAGGCCAATCTCTAATCTTTTGGACTTTAGCCTCATCCAGAATCCTTCCCTTGAATGACACCTTGTGCCCAACCACTACAATAGATGATGCAGCAATGACACATTTCTTTGCTGATACTGTAGCTCCCACATGACACAGATGGTGTAAGATGCAGTTGATGATTTGCAAGTGTTCACAGATGAAGTGCCTGATCCTGGGATTTTGTGGCATCATCTCATAGGTACTGTCAGAATTTTGATAACAAGATTTGGGACCTTTGATTGGGCAATCATTGATGAGAGGGATGGTTACTTCCAGAATCTCATCCTTCAATATCCAACAGACATCTCCATGGAAAATATGGACAGCATTCATATATCCCATTGGTAGTCTAGTGAGTTGAAGGGTGCTGATAGGGGTTTGGAAGGTAGTAAGGTCTCAGTACTTGTCATGGATGGTGCAATGATCATATCTGACCATAAGATCTAAAATTCTGTAGACAGAATGACAGGCAAAAGCTTCTGCAATTGAGTCAACAAAGGGGGGAACAGCAGAATCCTGGATAGATACTGCATTTAGAGGTTGTAAGTCATGGACAAGGTGCAGAGATTTTCCATCCTTCTTGACTATGCAGAACCATTTTGAGTGATAGGATGGGGTAGATAGCTTGTAGACTCCTGTGGAAATCTTCTCTTTGATTATGTTGACAACTTTGCAGAAAAATAGCTGGAGGTATGGGGATATTCTACTTGACCCAAGGCTTGTAGGCTAATGTAGGTATCTTCAGGGGTGGAAACATGTCTTCTCTGAAGGTCCCTCTCTCTGAAGCATCCCAAGTGAAGGTGTTCTCATGGGTGTGAACTAGCCAATGAACCAGTCCTAATTCTGCAGGCCAAAAGAATTTTGTGGGATCCAGTTTGAGCTCATCAGCTCACTCTTGGGTAAACCTGTATCCTGGTATGAACAGAGGGGGATGAGGAGGTATTACAGGCAAATCTGTGAGAGGATCATCAGCCTCCTGACACTCAATGTGGAATTCCACCAACATTGATGTCAGCACTGGCCTGACCTTCTTCACTACAAGCTTGTACTTTAAAACATGAAAAATGGGGTCAAACTGATAAGTAGACTGCAGAGCTGAAATTGTCAGTGGAGAAAGGGTAGTGCCAGTGGAAATCAAGAAGGGGTTGTTTGAAGAAACAGAACTAGAATTGAAGGGGTCAATGAGAGACATACTGTGGCTTTGTATACTGTAGTGAAACACTGCAGCAGAATCTTCAGAAGTGTCTGAAGGCAAAAAAGTAGAAGACTTTGAAGGCAAAAACAGAGGATCAGAAACATAGAGGGAACACATGGAGAAAACATTATTATGGTCTCCTCAAGATCCAAATGATTCCTTGACTGATACTAAAAACCCTGTTCAGGATATTTCATGTGGCAACACATCTCTTTGCAGGCAAGGTATTCTTCTTCATCTTTGGAATTTATGAATTGCTGGAGAGGTTGTAAATGATTTCAAGGGCACATTGGAATCAGTACCTGTCTGCTGGAATTCAGGTCACAAATTTCCAGTGACTGTTCTCTGCCAGGGAAATCCTGTAAGATACTGCTGAGTAGACAGAAGAAAGGTCAAATGAGAAGCAGGTCAAAAGGTGTGCAATCAACCACTTGGATCTGGGGATGGGCTTTGATATTCCCTATATGCAAGGATGCATTCTTTATTACCCCTATAGTACTCTCTTTAGACTGGTTAGTGGCTTTGAGGGTCATTCTCATATCAGAATGAAGGGGAGCCCCTAAAGCTTCCCATAATTCCCATCATAAAGCTACTACCTGGCAACCACTGTCCAGGATACACTTGACATGGAGCTTGTCCATTAGAATCCCATCAACAGCATGTAAGGGTACAGTAGTGAGGCCTACACATTTCCCTTTGGTGTCCCTGACCCAGTACTGCTCATAAGATGCCCAAGTGGCAGACATAGAGGCCTCTGACACTGTTTCCAAACTCCCAATCATTATCTTCTTTGTTGCAGACAGCTCTCTGACCTGTTTGTGAATCTCCAGGCTGATGGCTAGGAGGTCCTTGGTGGAAATTTCCATTTTTGCCTCTAGGACTTGGTTCACAAGCCATTTGGTGGCTGCTGCTTCATCAAAACTGCTTTGGTAACAAAACTGAGGTGTGTTGAAGGTCTATGGAGTTAGGAGCAACCAAAGTTTTACCAGCAGCTGGAGTCTCTGTAGATGGGACAAAATTGGTTGGTG